CTTATAATCTCAGTTCAACACTGTGCCTCACGCTCGACGCGTTCTATACATATTCGTTCATCTCTTGATCTTTTTACCTTTTTACTCTCTCTCTTTGCTCTCTACGGAGTACCTCTACCTCTTTTAATACCCTAATATCCCTCTTCCTCGCCATACGCCTTCATCTTTACCTCCTCCACCCTCAAACTACATACAAACCATTCCTACCATTCCTCCACAATGCCACACAAAGTGAACGACTCCAATTCAACACTAGCCAGCAGAGGCAGCAACAATGATCAGGTGGTGGCCACCGAAGTCCGGAGTATGTCAAGTGCATCACATCCCTGTCCCGATCTCCAGATTCAGCCCGAGCTAATGCAGACCCCAGCAACCAATCCCGTCCGCAAACCTCCGGTGATCGTTCACAACAAGGGCGGCCGAATCTACGATGAGACGCGGCCATCTGACTGGGACAAACAACGCTGGAAGTAGTTGTCCTTTACAGTTCGAATTGCCTACGTCCCTATGCATCTCAATTGCTACATCTACATACGGGGCGTTCGGCTGGAGAGCGAGACGCGAATACCACCATTTTACACGCGCGTTACAAAGGCGAAAAAGGGGTCCAGACTAGAAGAAGAGACGAAAAAGCCCAGGAAAAAAGGAAGAAAAGTGAGGCGGTGATCGACCAAGATGGTTCGCGGAGATCATTGGACGCCAAAACCCCCTTTTTTCGCTGCCTCTCGTCACCGCTTGACGCTTTCTCTTTCGCCCCTGACCAGATCGGGCTGCTTCTACTTTTCGGATTCCTCGGATTCTCAGGGCTTTGGTGCCGTTTCTTCCCTTTTTTGACTTGTCCATTTGCCTCTCCCCGGATTTTTCGCGTCTCCACTCTTCCCCTTGTATCATTATTCTGGAGTTCGTCTTCCTTCATTCCTCTACTCTCTACTCCCCTTCCCCCTTCTACTTTCTACATTCTACCCTTCCAACTCTACTGGTTACTGTTGAACACGTGTTTTCCTCTCGGCGCTGCCACCAAGCAGCTAGCTGCATGGTCATGCTGTGAGGGCTAATTGGGTTGACACCCTTCTATTTGTTTCTTTTGTTTCTTGCGATGCATAGCGTGGGTATTACTGGATCTGCTGGACTTGGATTTATTGCGAATGAGCGAAATTGTATTCTTAAGAGGAATTTGACTGTCTTATTATCTAGATCTTCCCTTTATTTGTGCTTCTTTCACGGAGTACTCCATACCGTAAACACGGTGAACGCTGGCCAGAAACGGCCGCTTTGACATCGTATTAGGCCGCCGTCGTCGGTCTGGCGTCAAGTTTAGCAATTAACACGGCTGCCCTGGTTAAATGCCTCGTGTTGGCCGTGCCTCCAGGGTTGTATATACAGTTATCCGACTCTTCTTCAATTCTACTGGAAGAGGGAAAGAGCGATGGGAATACAATGGGGCTCGAGGAAACGAACCTTCCCTGGGAGTTTCTTTAAATCAGGTAGGAACGATGCACTTCCATTGCTTTCCTTTGTCCATGTGATCTATCATATGCAGTCACACGCATGTAGGTCTCGTCTTCTGACGACCTATGCGATATTTAATATGTGGCATTGATTCATCCGCAATACACCCACCCCCTCGAATAGAAAGTCGATGCTATCAAATAACCACCTTCCATTATCATCCAAAGATCCCATAGCATGTGTCCAACATTTCATCCATTCGAAATTAGTTCGAATTGTCACGTCCGCCCGATGCCTGAAAATGAGCACGAGTCGTATCGATAGACGCCCTGTCAAATTGCGGATCTTCTACGATGGTAGACCGGTGTTTGGTGCAAAGTGCGCTAGCATTTCCTATATGTGACTGGGCATACGGAGTACTGTCTCAGAAATTGCCGTTTGATGCAGGCCTCGGTGTGTCTAACAGCGCCTAGAAATGAAGCATCGAATTCGGGAGAGTAGGTGGTGCGATAGATGGCATGTCCTCAGCTCCACAAACCGTACATTCTATTACTGAGCTCCTCCATAATTGCGGTGGATGATTGTAGGTGGAATGTGGTAGGGTTCAACCAGCTTCACCAACAGCCGCTTCCTTATCTCCGGCTAACACCGAACGACTTGAATATTATTCCTAGACCCGAGCGCTTTTGGAATAAAGCATCAATTTTCAATCTTATTTTAACAATGTCTAATAGACTTTCAGATATTTATAGTCTTCGTTGTAAAAAAAAAAGTGGTCAATATAATATATACAGGGCTTCGATGACAGTAAAATATATATATGAGACCTTGTCCGAGTGGCTGGATATACATTTTGAGACACTAGAGCTATTGGTGGAAAGTATCTGGGTATATGCCACTGGCAGGATATACTTTTATTGTGAAAGGCAATGGATATGGGACTGAATTTCAGACAAGAGCAGCGCAGAGAGTGACATGCCGTTGACATAGGTACGGAGTAGAAATATGGCTACCATGCAGTAGCTCGCAGAAAATCCCAAAGGAGAGCACAATACGGAGTACCCTACAAGAACAAATAAAGACTACAATTTAAAGCATCCAAAAGTTCACTGAAAATGGGATATATTTCAGCGCCGAGCGGTATACCGACACCCCATTCTCAAATTCACATAAGAAATGAAAGAAAAAGGCACCTGGCCTGCCGCCTCCCGTGATGGATGACGGACAGGCGTTCAGGGCATGTGTCAAAGGCTAGATACAAAGGAAGGGGAGAGCGAGGGAAAAGAAAAGGCATCCGTTGATTCCAAATATGGACTCGGACACCCTTCCTCCCCAGAAGACATATAATTTTTTCCGGGTTTTCACACTTTTTTTGCTTTTTTTTGTGACCTCCATGAGAAACGAGGCACATTAAAAACGGGTTTGAGGGGGGGTTTTGAGGGGCGGGGATTGGGTGTTGGGGGCGCAATTGGGAAGGCAGTCAAGCTGCTAAGGATTGTGGAGCGCAGGGGGAATGGGGATATCAAAAACGCAGCACCAATTGGCGCGCAGAAATACAAAGGGTCAAGGTGTGCATGGTATTCCTTGACAGAGAAGAGAAGTTAATATGACGAGGGGAGTGAAAAACATCAAACTGTATTCTTGAAAAACAAATAAATCAACATGGCTCGCGCTCGCAATGCTAGATGGTAAGTCAAGTGCAACGGATGACCCAAAACTAATGGGTATGGGAGCAAATGGGTATGCAATTTTTGGAACAGGAAGTGAAGGGCTGGTCTCGACTCTGGTTCCGCAGAACCAGAGCCGAATGCAAAGCGTAAAGGACGAAAGTGGACATAGTCGAGTTCGGGGGATATAGCACAGGTGAACAGCTGGTATGGCGCATTGAGTATTAAGATGGAATATCGAGGTAGATCAATGCGCAATCGGACGCTCCTTGGAGGCATTCTATGAAGATGAGAGAAATGAAATGAAATGCTGGAAATATGTGCAACGGCCAAATTTCATTTGGTTTGCTGGTCGTTCCGTCGTTTCGTTTACATCCCACCCTGATATGTCTGGCACATTCCCATATGGGTAGGTGCCAGAGGGAACTGTTGGAGTGCTGCTTGCTGCGCCATGTACATAGCCTCCTGCTGTTGCTGGTATGCTTCACTGTTCATGTATTGCATCTCAGCGGATGGTGCGGGGGAAGGGGAACAGCCATGGTGACCAGTGGCCATTCCGCGGCTCATATCGTGATTCGCCATTTGTGCATGGGCATGCACAAGCGCCTCGTTGTCCGGGGTGATGGGAGGAGTGAGGTAACCGTGAGGAATAGCTGTCAACTGCTGGGACTTCTGAGGGGTGGCAAGACCAATCTCCCCATTGTACGGCTTGGACTCGATAGGAGTCTCGACCGGAGGGGTGCAACGGGCGTAGGTTGCCAACGAAGCCTGGCGGTTGAGGAAGTGTTCCATGACCTTGGAGACCCGAGAGTAGTGAGCGGAAGCGTACTTGCGGGCGACCACGGTGGAGGGCTGGTGCAACTGTTGAGACAAGGCAACGAGAGTCATCGAGTCATACTGCGATGACCAATGGGTATGACGGGGCTGAGGCCGGTTAAGAATGCAACGTGACAATGCAAGAGCGGCACGGGCAAGCTCAGACGATAGCTTGGCGACAAAGTCCCGGTGGAACAAGGCAATCTCCAGGATGTACAGAGCCATGTGTTCCACCTCGGGGTCGTAAGCATCATCCAAGACGGCGTGCTGCAAGAAAGCATCCACAGTTGGGTGTCCAATGGACCAGCCAAGAGTTTGGAGGACATGCCATTCCATCTGGGTGAACATATCGTCGTCGTAAAGAGAGCAGCACATCGACTTCAACTCCTTGATAGTGGGGACGCGATCCTTCTTGTCATTGTACTTGGCCGCGATGAGTAGAGCTGCACAGCCGACCAACTGGTAGTGACGCTTGTAGACCACACGCTTGGAGCAGTATCGGTCTAAAAGATTGATTGCCAAGAACAAGGTGGATGGGAGGAGCTGGAACGCAGTGTGGGCCTCGATCAAGAAGTCAAGAAGGTACGGTCGCATAAACCACTGGATCTCGGTTTGGATGTCAATGGACTCGACGTCGGGCAGGGTTTGGTTCTATGGCGGAGACTAGGTTAACAACGTATAGCCTTGGAGAGAAACCAAGGGTCTGGTCACTCACATCCATTTCCAACATGTGACTCAGGACATCGTCCCGAAGCTGCTCGCTTGTGAGATTAGATAGCTCATCCGCCATGACGTATTGACGCTCACGAGCCATCTGCTTGGCATGCTCCTGTTTCGCTTGCCGTTCTTGCCGAATGCGACTTTCCATGCCGTACTCTTCTTCCACGAAGAACGTGGGACAAGGACGGTAGTTGCGATGGTAATCCATGATTGCGGAAGTACTTGGATCAACCGAAGTATGAAGCACAAGTTGACGTATGAGCTTTGTATTGGCGAGTTTCAACGAAAGGAAGCCTGAAGAACGGGTCTATCAGGCAACGACGGAATTAAGAGAGTGACAGTCGTGTATTAGTGTATTGGAATGAATGACGGAGATGTTGTAACGATTAATGAATGGACCAGCTGAAACAATAGTTCGAACTGGGAAAGGTTGGCCGGGAGGTCCGAGGAGGATGTCTTCGAAGGGAAGGCTGAAGGAAATTAAGATTAGCGGAGGCCAATGTAAGAAATCGATTAAAAGATTGTAACGTCAAGGTGACAAAAGTAAGAGAGTGTGGAAAGGAAAAGCACAAGAAGGCAGAGTGCAGAGATGTATGCTAATATCCATTCAGGAGACGAAAAGGGTCATCCTTCTGAGAAATACTAACCCAGAAAAGAGCCTTCGGGTAGAGGGCACAATGCAACCCTTACCGTGACGGCAAGACTGGCATCTAGGCAGGAATGATCCGGTGAATTAGGATTCTGTTGGATACCAACGAAGAGATGGAGTACGAGTCAACGTCTTCACCCCTAGGCTAGTGATGTGGAATGTGGAGTAGGAGAACAACCCTATGAAGGGGGTCATAATCATCAGGGGGATGTCTTGGCAAAGGAATGGTTAGAACTCACACTTCACAGATTAACGAGTTGAATGAACAAGGCTCAGTGAAGAGACTGATATAGTTTCTGAGATGGAAGTGGTGAAGGATGAAGTCCACGTCAAGAGAGACAAGTGGATTTATATCAAATATGAAGATGAACAAATTCTAGATCAGGCAACAATGTCAGTCATATTCATTAATAGTTCCATCGTGATAGTCAAGGCTCCAAAGAGCAATGGCAATCAACGATTGACGCCAATCAACAATTAAGTGCAATGAGGTATGTGGTGCCGCAGCCTGATCGGCGCCCCAACATGCGGTATGTCCAGTAAGAGTACGGGATTTTCATCGACCCCTTAAACTTCCCACGCCGGGAGATATAGAAGCAGCCACAAGCGCTGGTTGGACCCTGAGATTGCATGTCAAGCATTAAGATATGCATTCCTCAGTTGTATCTGAGGGCATGATCTCCCGTCTGCATGGACAGCAATCTTTACCGCTCAATAAAGAGCAACCCCTCCATATCTGGCTCTCGGTGTGTTGTCTCGGGTGGGAAATGCAAAATTGGAGGTAAATGAGGTTGGGGCTGCTGGATTGAACATGGCCCTGAGGCCATACCATGATTATGTTGGTGGGTCGATTTTTCATGCACTCATTGGAAGGTTTTTTTTTTTTTCGTGTGGAAATTTATTGAATCTCATGGCTCATGTTGAGAAAATTCGAGTATCCGTTGCTCGTCTATCCATCGGGGCGTTCCGATCTTGACAACCATGCACACCTCAAAGTACCAAGAAAAAAACAGGATTTCTTACCCAAGTTTTGAACGTCAATGTCTGTCTGATACCCAAAACCAATTTGTATCAACCAAAAGTCAACCTGAATGTGTTTTTCCTACACTGTCGCTCGTCTAACCGGCAGGAGCTGGAACAGGAGGGTCCAAAAAGTCCGAGGATCAGGGAGGGCACCGGGCGGACAAGAACGAAGGATCGCCGTTTGAGTTAACAAACGTCGAATTGGAGGGTCAAGTGCGAAGGTCAAATCGACTTGACTTGAGTGCTAGTGCAGCGGGCTGGAGGAGATCGACTGGAATGTCGAACCGTAACTCAGCCAGTAGACCAGACTCGTGGTCTCCGCAAGATTGGCAAGGAGGAAAAGGGGGAAGAGAAAAGGGTATGAAGAAGAGAAGGAGAGAGGTACAAGGAGGAGGATTTTGACTTTCTCTCTCCAGGCGGGTGGTGGGAAGAGAAAGAAGGAAAAGGAAGAGGTTAAGAAGCTGAGAAGACACGGAGATACACACGGAGAGAGCTGGTTGTATGGTAATCCACGAGACAGAGAGTGGAGGCTGAAGGTTGCGTACGGTAACCGTATGATTTCCAGAATCTTACCGATTGTACCTCTGGTACCCAGCATGTATGCCAGGGGACCGGTAATTTTGATGGCTAGGGCTTCGTCTCTGCAAGGACAGGAGTTGAAACCTACTTGCTTGAAACCGGCAGTTACATATGTGTTATTTTAAAAGGTCGGAGGTTTCAAACGTGGAACAGGCACAGGTACAGTATGCAAGTGTTGAAGTAGCTACAGTAAAATAGCAAAATAGCAAAATAGTAAACAGAAATTACTCGACAGTATTCATACCTACAAGCAACCTCAAATGCGATGTATCTACGAGGTTGCATATGCTATAACTTTGAAACTCGAATATTGCGTTTTCAACCGTATGCCGCGACCCAGTCATTTTCCTAGACTAGTAATTTGAAGGACTTCTGATCTCCGACATTTCGACATTTCAACTCTCAACTGAACCTTCAACCTTTCACCCATTTCAAAGCCTACCATTTCCCCGTAAATCGCCTTTGATCATAGTACAATCTCCAATTCTCCGAAATTCAACCACCGCGTTTCCCTATTTCTGATCAGACAAATAAAGAAAAAGTATAAATGGAGCCAAGACAACCGCGAGTTCCGGCCCCAAAAAAGCTCCTGATCGACAAGTATTAAGGCCAATCCTCAACCATTGTTGGCTCGTCATCCAGCACCTTGGTTACTAGTGCTGCAATGGGCTGGTGTGGCTCTCCCTCTAACTCCGTACGAGGCCTCCGATACGGTCGCGCGTTCTAGGGTCTCCTGCGCCTGGGCGTTGACTGGTCCAGAAGCCTGGGATTGCCCTGTTGACTTCATTTGGGCTTTTCCCCATTCGCGTACCTCAGCTTGGGCTTTCCTGAATTGATAACCCGAGCCTCCTTTGTCTTGCATGAATCTGACTATCCTGCGCCGTCCATGTGGGGATATTTCCAAGCTTCGGTTTTCGGTCGCAAAAGCAGGATCTCGCCCGTAATTTGGGCCTCCACGTTTCCATTTCTTTTTCTTGCTGGAATTGGTTAAATTAATCTGACTGTCACTATGTATATAGTTCACTAACTGTTTTAGACACTGCGCATGTAATTTACTTTCTCGTATACAGTATCACTTTACACCTTCATCCCTACAACGTCTGCCGCCTGTGACACCACTGGAGATGCACTTGATTCGTCCCCAACTTCTCGACCCGAGATAAGGTTCATAGACGTCTCATCAAGATTGACTGGTTTAGTCTTGAGAATGTCACTTTTTACTGGACGCGTATATTCCCCATGTCGATCTGCGAATCAATCCCTGGTACTAAAGTACACAATTGCGACTCGGAGCTTTTTACTTATCTCCCCTTACTTCATCCCCTTACAATGCACAATTTGAATGAGAACCCTCTGTAAGGTCCAGGGATTAAGCTCAGCCACTCAATTGCATATCAGAAATATCGATCATCATGCGACTCGGCCGTTTCTCAATGACATGCACAGGATGCGTACACACCAAGTGACTGGATACGATCGGTCTATACTATTCCGGAGCACGGAGTAAATGCAGCTTGATATACGACAGCGCATAAGGCTTTACATCTAGCACGGGGTAGTGGATCCATACGTTTCACTTGCTCAACTTCAAGGAATGCGGGTTGAATCATTGGTTAGCGCCTTTTCATTCAAACTGGAAAACAGTTGCCGAAGCAATGGGCTATCGACGGGGTATTTCCACCTCGTGCAAACTAACAGGGAAACGAAGGGGGAAAAGATAAGCGATGGCCATTGAAGGGTGCTGTCGAGAGTCGGGACTGTACAACGTCGTAAGGCAAGGGACTGTCAAATAAGAGAACTGAATGATAGACATGGCTGATATGCAGAAGCAGATCACAAACACCCTTCTACAAATTTAGGTTCGTGTTATAAACTCCCATCTCATAGCATGCCAGGGACTTTTGTTGTCGCGCCATAGCAGCAGTTAAATGAATCGCCAAGGCTTTGATTGGAATAATATGTACTCTAGATAATTGAACAGAGTACCTCTTCATCCTTGATAACCTGTCAGCTGCAGAGGAACACGCCTAGCCTTCATACTTGCCTCGGTGAGTCTGGCCCGTATGTTGCGTCAATCAAAGACACCCATATCCAAACACTCTCATTTTAGGCTAAGGTACTCCGGGATTCCACTTGATCTGCATATATGATCCATGCCAGTGGATAGCATTATATACCTAATTATATACTTCTGTTGCTTGAGTAGTTCGCCCCAAATGGCGGGGATGACCTGTACTACCCGGTAGATGGTAATAATATCAAAGGACATTATTGGGTGTACCACCTGAACACAAACCTGATACCCGTACTCCGTATAGCCTCCTAAATCCTCGCAGCAAGGCAAACTTGTAGAAACAATTGGACTAAACACGCCCTTTTGTAAAGCGGTCTAAGGGAAAAGGGGGCTCCCATGCAGCAAATACGTGGTCGCAATGGGGCATATCCCACTGCAGCCGCGCACAGTCTCAGGATCAAATCAGTAAGAGATACGAGTTACTTCGTGTCCACAAAGCTTGCCCGGATGGCTTGGAAACTAGGTACGACCTGGCCGATGCTTCCGATGCGCCCAGCCGGCACGCTACTGTACCTCCTGAAAAGGGAAGAAGAGCCTTGCGGTATGTCAGCTTGCCATTTTCGTCCCCTGACTCGTGTCTCGCCCCATGTTTCAAGTACCGACCGTAGGAAGTCCTCTAGAGGATGAGAGCAAGTCTAAAGCGCGCGCATATGGCGATGGGCATAATTTGAGTCTGGACCTGGACTGGGAATTCTATTGGCCCCGGACTCTTTAGCTTCCCGTGGCGGATAAGTTGCAATTTTATCTATTTTTGGGTATGAGTCTGAACCTCCCATTTATTTTAGTCTTGGGCATTTTACTCGACGTGGTTCTTTGAATAGAGAATTACTTGTTAGAAGTGCTTGATTGGATTCAAGGGGTACCTGATCCTTGTTTGTGAGGTGGTTGGTAAAACCTCGCTGGCAAACACCCATGCAAGTCAAGTCTTCAAGGAGGCGTCACTTGTCTATAAATGAGAGAAATTTAAATAACCTGCCATCGAGTGGTTTACTGCAAGATCTCACCCGGATGGGCGCCGAACATGATGGTGGTTTCCCTTGCTCATGACTCTGCAAATCAAGAGACAGTAATATAACCCTTCGATTTCCCTCCACGTTGCTTATTTCACTTGCAGTCCGCGCAGTGGATATTTCATTCTGTAAGGGGAAGATCCTTCCCAGACGTCAAGCCATCTGGAAATCTGTTTCCAATGTAGATCAATGTTCTTTGGCAGATGTTACTCGTTTGTTCGAGGGCGGTGTGGACTGGATATTAGGTATCTCATCAAATCATGTACCAGTTGCATGTTCTGCATCAAATATCATCACTGGTAACTGATATATAGGGTATTCATTTCCAAGTGGATATTACAAGCAGTCTATACACACAATACAAGCGCGATCTGATTCATACTTGATATCCCATATCGATACATTCCATACTCCCGAGGTCCGTACAGGGTATCTAGAGACCAATTTCCGAGACTTGCAGTAGTCTAGTATAATACAGCCCACAGAAAAATCTACCAACGAACCCGGCAAAACGTAAGAGTGGAATCCGATCTTTTTTCTTCGCCTCGCAATCGTTCCACCCTAACCTGAGAAATTAACGCGCTCCGGCATCACACGCCTGCTAAACCATGGAACCATGGCCAATGCCTCGGACACAGAACCCATGGACGTAACCAGAACTCCACGTTCAACAGCGGTTATTCCAGGGCCCGTGCCGGAATATATCAACCATGGTACTATTGGGAAAGAACGGAATCCTTACCGCTCTTTGCGTCCTGTTCACCGTCCATTGAACATTGCAATATGGTCTCAAAGTACGTGGTATGGAGCCCTAGAGTACATCTGTACAAACTCACCGTTCTCTTCCGCCCCGCCATGTTTGATAGTTTTCCGCTCCACCGTCTGCCTAGATGTGCAAAAACACAGGTGGCGGAATTGGCTGTTATCGGATAGCACGGATACCGTACGGAGTACGCACAAAGAGGTTGGGATTGTGGCTCTATTCTCGGATATGTTTCTCACGTGTAGAGCAACGGGTACAGCGACGGGGGGATTTAATAATAGCTAATCATTGAATAAACTTAGAATTTAACGTACATAGTCCTATACTGCTTAGATTATCCATTGGAATTGAACTGCTAGATATCCAAATACATCCCCGAACCTCATTTTTTCCCATGCGTATTAGGCCAAAAGGCTGCATTCTTGACCGGTGAAAAATTGACGTTTCGTGGCCCCTCTGCGGGGAGTTATACAAATGCCACAAAGGTTTTTCTGTGTTTAGTGGAAACAGCTCCACTACACGGGTTTTTCTTTCTTCTTTTCTTCTTTCTTATTCCTTAGGTTGGAGAAGTTTCTAGGTGGTTGACATGGTGCAGCTCATATGGAATACTCGGAAACCCTGAAATGTATAAAGTATGTTGTAGTGCCTCGGATTTACGTACCCCTAATTTCCGAAATCATCTCCGCAGGATACATGTCGTCATTCGCATGTATAATCCTCACTTTTTCAGTGCTGGCATTTTCAAGACGGTGAATAATTGTCCAGCATACAGAATCCTTGCAAAGCTCCACCCCGAATAAGCCCTGAAGGACGATGCTAATTACTAACGCGGATCGGGGATTCGAGACAAGATTACCCTTTTAGGTATGGTTCAACATACACAGCTTGACTGGGGCAGCGGAGGCTCAACCCATGGTTAGGCTGTTTTTTTCACTCCCCTATTCCCCGCCCCTTTTCTTTAGCTTTCTTTCAATTCAATTTGAAATCGCCACTGCATATCTTATGTGGCCCTCTTCATAGATAGGGACTGTAGGATACCTCCGAGTTCCCCAAATTGGATCAATTGACCTATGTACTATTCGATCCGGTTTTTCAAGACTCCTCCATTCCAGACAGGCTGAGACAGCAAAGGTAATCGGAGCTGCAAGGCTGTTCATTACGTCGCTAAACCTGACGCGGCTTAGGGCATAAAACCGAGTGGAGAATACCCGTAGTGTAAGGAAAGAAAAGGTCCACTGAAGCTTTACAATTTCAATGTACCGGTTACTGTACGTACAAAATACAAATGTACCTCGAAACCTGTCCGAAAGGGGATAAATTGATTTGTACAGGATTTGTTGCCTACGGGCTTTGCACGGTACGTAACTGAATGCGACCGAACTTTGAACCCAACCCTAACGAACACTCATAAATAGCATCTTGCATAAGATTACGATTACACTTGTGCGCCATGTGTCTGAGTGGCACCCGGCATAGTTTAGTCTATGCCATCATTGCCCGGCTCACGTCCCGCACTTCTTGCTTTCTGTATTGCGGTTCGCTTTATTGCAATCGACCAAGGTTTGCAGGAAGATGTATAACATACAAATTGCCTTTCCATCAACGCATGTCTTTGTGATATGTGTCCAAAAAAGGGAATAGTTGATTCCCTTCTACAGTGGGCCTAGAACAGACATGGGGTTGGCCGCTCGGTCACCCTCTACTAAAGGCAATTTGGTTTCATCTTGGCGCGAATCCCAGCAAACTCTCGTGTGCATCATCACTGATTCCAAGGTCGTGTTTATATTGCCGATCCGGTATCTTTGTTATCCGAGGCAAATCTGACACTGGCCTAGATACCCTCGGTCTTACCAGGAAAGGGTCCAATGGGGAAGGTGCGATGGATGCCAAATTGGAGCTAATCGTGAACTATAATATGTGAGTTCACTAAGCCTATGATCTGACCTCATCATCCCCGCAGCACGCGATTCCACGAGGCTGCGCAATTAGGGGCTACCGGCTTGACAAATAATATCATCCATGTCGCCTATGTACACCATACATCACGTATCGGGACTGCCGAAGAGTTCCACTGGGACCGGAGTCAAAGATCGTGGTCCATCTCAGCTGGATACTGTACATGTGTAAACCTAGCTTGCACCGCACCGGCCTCTGAAAATAGAGACAATCAAGCACAAGCATAGGGACAATTTAATTGAGTTCGATGACCCCGGTTGGCAATTCCTTCCAAGCCAACCACAAGCACCGGGGATAAAACAGAACAAAGCACCGAGGACAACATGAACGTGATCATCCAAATCAATGAAATGACATGACAAGTGTGTGTTGTATTTCCCGGATATCAAGTGAACTATCGAATCCATGCGCCCGAATTGGGTCCGAGCCCATGCTGACAGGGGTCTCCAATATCCTGGGCCGTCCCCGCAGCTGTTGCTGTAACGAAGTGGAATCCCGCGACGCAACTCGCACAATCAAGACTATTTCCTCGGAAATGTTTCATGATGACACGGAAAATACCACACACACTCGAGGTTGCATAAGGCTTACAAACGATTCGAGCTGCGCCATGAGGGCCCCCGCAGCAGATGTCATACACAGGTCGCCTTATCCGCACTTTGATTCGAGATCGTCCAATGAAGACGTGCCAATTCATCTCAGCCTCCCCTGTTCTTTAGCTCGTCCATGCCCATCCAGTCATATGTTCCCATTGCGATTATATGTGGGTTGCACACTGCAGAGCCAAGTACCGTCGCGACCTATCAGAGAGTTTATCTGCAAGTGTCTCAGGAGCCCGATACATGAGCACGCATAACAGGTTACTTTCTCATCAGCCACAACAGACTATGTCAAGCTAAATGATGGCTGCTTCTGACGTGGCAGCCCGTCGATGGTCTCCCTGCCCTCTGCCGAAGTAGGTCATAGGAACCTGTCGCACCCATTTGCTATTGCATGTTACTATTGGTTGCAGACTGCGGCGCGCGTGGCGAACTTCGTCTACTCGCGACATGTTCAGCTGAGCCTGCATTTTCAGGGCAGATCCCCCCTCTGGCTCCCTTACATCTGGCATGGTAATCTCCATATACAGTGGCCTCGATAGCACAATACACTTCATGCGGCCCCGCTGAAGTTTAGAACTGGGCTACAGCTCGGGTTCTTAGTTTGCACTGGCCGAAACTTGCTCGGGTATCCAATGCTTCCGCTGCACACTTCTGAGCTAGACTACGACGCGAAGTCAAGTTGCTTATCGGCAATTGCTCCCTGGTCAATATGTGCATAGAGGGTTCAGTATTTGACCGCTTCTTATCGGTTGGTCGTTGCAGTTCACTCGTCTCTATCTATGATGGGGAGTTGCAATAGGGAGTTCGAAGATATCCTACAACGTTCGTGGTGTTGCACAAATACAATATTACCAAGACTGTTTGCTGGACAAGCAAGGCACATTAGATATATAGTGGCTGTTGACTACATACGACCTGAATTACTCGATCACACTTGTGTCAATCCTATCTCTTGTACAAAATTTATACATATTTCGATGGGATCTATGTCCTGACCTGTATCTAGGTACTAACCCACCTCAGGAAACACCTGTATTTCAATTGGAAATAAAGTCCACTAAGAGCACATCTAATCGATGGAACAAGTTTTCACTACAGAGATTATCATCGTTATTGTTTGTTCTTCTCATCATGCCTCCAGATACTGGCCCGATTCCCAAGGCACTATATCTCGATGACTTACTTACACGTGATCTCGGGAAAACCTACCCAACTAGTCAAGATATTCCGGCCGCTAAAAATTATCTACAGAAAAAAAAAGCGGCAGCGCAACAGTCGCAAGGAAAGCTTTGGCACCACGCTATAACCACCTATTTGTGTTTAAGAGATGACTGTCTAGAGGCTGGTTTTACAGCCTGAGCTGAATTATTCCTGAATTGATCTTCAGCACCTCCATTCTGATTTGCACCCCGTTCAAAACTATCCGAAACGAGCTCTCTGGCTTCGAAGCCCACAACTTCAATCATGGATATCCACCGCTGCCGTTTCGTTTCTTACAACCCACAGGCGATCAATGCACTTGCATTCTCGCACCCCCCGTCAGCAGATCTAGCTGGACGTGGCGTACCCACCCTCCGACTCGCGATCGGTCGTGCGAACGGTGATATTGAAATATGGAATCCGATGCGCGGCGCCTGGTTCCAGGAGACCGTGATGCGTGGAGGCAAGGATAGAAGCATTGAAGGACTTGCGTGGACACTGGATCCCCAGGAGGATGGGCCTGATGGCACCAAACTACCAGGAAAGCTGCGTCTGTTTAGCATTGGATATTCCACGGCCGTCACCGAGTGGGATCTTGAGAATGGCCGCCCGCTGCGCCACTCAAGTGGAAACTACGGAGAGATTTGGTGTCTTGCTGCGCAGCCTCGCTGGCAGGCGACTAAGGGCAAAGACGGGAAGGTGGTTTCTCCCGCCGAGGGCGAGTACACGGGTCAGCACCTCGCCGCAGGATGTGCGGATGGGTCAATTGTCATCTTGTCTACTGCCGATAACGACCTCAAGTTCTTGCGCCTGATGCGTCCTTCAACAAAAAGAGCGCGCGTCCTGAGCGTTACCTTCCAAAACCGCAATACCATTGTCGCGGGTTATGCTGATAGTTCTATCCGTCTCTTTGACATTCGCACGGGTAAGATGCTGCGGACAATCTCCCTGGGCAAAGGCCCCACGGGTGGCCCGAAGGAATTGTTGGTTTGGTCGGTCAAATGTCTGCCGGATGGCACGATCGTGTCCGGTGACTCGGCTGGTGAAATTCGGTTCTGGGATGCAAAGAACTATTCTCTCTTCCAACGGATACAGGGCCATCTTGCCGATACGCTTGATATCGCAGTGAGTGCCAATGGAGACACTGTTGTCAGTGGCGGTGCCGACCAGCGAACGGTCGTCTACCGCAAGAAGGAGGGCGAGAAGGGCGATAAGAAAGGTCGCTGGGCTGAGATTATGCACCGTCGCTACCACACCCATGACGTCAAGGCATTTGCTGTCTATGAAACAAAGGATATCAGTATCGCTGTGTCTGGAGGTATGTTGACCTTGGTCCACTATGAATTTGAGAGATTCAAGCAATGCTAACTTGTTTCGTTTAAAGGTCCCGATGCAACACCAATCATTCTCCCTCTTCGTGAATTCGGAAAGGAACACCACCGCAAGCTTTCGAGTCTCCCGCAAATTCCTCAGCTCACCTCCGCGCCGTCAGCTCGTTTGATTATGAGTTTCTGGGATAGAGAAGTGAGCTTGTGGCGTGTGTCTCGAGGCCCTACGTCCTTGCATGAGAACATTGATGGTCAACGGCATAGGCTCGTTGGTAAGGTTCTGATACAGGGCGAGGAAAACATCTCCTCGGCGATGCTGTCCTCGGATGGCAAGACGCTCGCTGTTGCAACCATTGCCGAGGTTAAACTGTTTTCCCTCCGTCGGAGAAAGGGCGACGAGAAGGGTGCTCTGCGCATCCAGAAGATCGATGTACCCAAGGTACTTTCCGATGAAGGTGCTCGCCTTGTGACCATTTCCCCCGACGGCCGATGGCTTTCAATCGTTCGCCCCAACAGCGACATCTACATGGCACGGATCCAGCAAACCTCCGCATCTAATGAGAAGCCCCAGGTGATGCCACAGTTCGCAAAGCTCAAGAGAGCTGCACGTCATGTACGACACGAAAAGGCATCCCACGGAACATTGGGCGATTACGAGAGAACGATACGATCTGTGGTGTTTTCAGACGACAGCAAGGTTCTGGCGAGTGGTGATATCTCTGGTTGTGTCGATACCTGGGTACTAGGCACAGCGACCGCACCCACGAACGGTACCGTCAAACGTAGCGGGGCTTCGGAGTCGGACGATGATTCATCTGATGATGAAGACGACGACGACGTTGTGATTGAGGGCGAGCGCTGGACTACCGCTGCCACTGAATCACCAATCCCTCGCATGAATTCCAGCATAACTTTGTTGTCCTTCCGTCCTAAGTCCGCCCCCACACAAAAGCTTCTCGCCAATGGCACGCATCAGTCTGGCGAAGATCGGCTGATGGTCCTCACAAGTGAGCACCAGCTCATCGAATTTGATGCTCGGGATGGCAAATTGTCCGACTGGTCTAGACGCAATCCCAAGGCATACCTCCCCGCAGAGTTCCGAGGCGTTAAGGACCGAGCTATGGGCTGCATGTGGGATCTCTTTGAGGGCCGTGAGCGCCTCTGGCTCTATGGAGCATCATGGCTGTGGATGTTTGATCTGCTCCAAGACTTCCCCTCCCCCGACGAGGCTGCTAAGACCGAAGAGGGCAAGACCGCAGGTCAGCTTGTCAAGGCGTCGAAGCGCAAGCGCGAAGCCCTCGACGATGACGAGGAAGAGCGGAGGAAACACAACACCGGTGCCGGTGATCGTATTCCTCAGACACAGATGGATGTCCACTTTGGCACCAAGGTCCGCAAGATCGTCGGCAGCGATGAATCGCAGGGAGAATGGATCACCCTGGACAAGGAACGTCCCCGCGTGCCAGGCGAAGATGATGAGGCCTACGAGTACGACGAGACCTTTGCAGCCACCAATGAGACAACCCTCGCCAGTTTAAGACGTGGAGATGGGACTGCGATCGAAACCGGAACTCCACAAAAGGGATCACAGAAGCACACTGGCGAGACCAAGAAGCAGCTGGTAGAGGCCAATGGTGCCTCAGCTCAGCCTGCACGTCGGTGGTGGCACACCTATAAGTACCGTGATATCCTCGGCATCGTACCTCTCAACACCTTGTCGGATGACGATTCCGACGACCAGAGACCGAGTGGAACTTTGGAAGTCGCAGTGGTAGAGCGACCTATGTGGGACGTTGAACTGCCTGGCCGCTACGTCAAGGACTACGAGTGAAGCAGAGAGATGTGAAAGGGCTTTCTGTAAAAAAAATAGAATGCAGCTGATTCAGATATGTAATTTGGTTTGAGCATACTTGGGGAGCGCATGTTACCGGCGCCTTATGTACAGGGATTCTGAATTGATGATTACCCCAAAAACAATTTGCCTATAACTAGTGGACTTGTATATTCCCTGTAATGGGATCTAAATATCTCAAGTGAAGTACAAAAGTCACAAAGGAACAGACCAACGACGATCCAGAACCAGTGCGGGGCCTTTAGGCAGAGTGACTTTAACCTCCGAGGTCAGGCTCAACTCTCACTTGACCTTTAAAACTTCTGTACACCCTGAGCCAGCTGATCTTTCTGAAAAGCCTTTGATCCGCTGCCCTACTTGTCTCCGTGAATCCCGAATCTCATCCCGATCCGCTTATCGGCTTATCGTCTACACGTCAGCTCCAAGGCTGTGAAGTCCGACGACACATCCTCCTCCTTCCATAGCCCGTCTGCAAGGGCCAGGGATACTTCTATCATATATCGAGAAACCCTACATTTGCCAGAACATAAACGCTCGAAAGATTCATTAAGGAGGTCAACAGCAGGACTGCAGCATAGGTCCTTCCAAGTCGAAGTCAGGGCGGGGCCAACTACTGCATACATTCGAAGAAAGCAGGCAATCACGCCACCCCTTTTCAATAAACGGACTTCCTCTATATTCAAGTGTTCTCTGCTGCTTCGAACTCACCTCTCAGGCCCTCGACTCCGATCTCCGATCCCTACAGAAACGCATCCCACGCCTGTCCGGCAATAACCGCATAACTACAGCCATGGGTCTCTCATACAACGTCTACTTGACTGCCAATAAAATCTTTGGATGTAAGGGATGCAAGACTCATCTTGCAGATTTCAATGATATTATGAGTCGGGTATGAGAATTCCTCGAATCCTATACACTTCCCTACTATGAATAACCTGTTACTAACCCATGCCTTTCGACTCCCTAGAACTTTCGAGGCCAGCACGGAAAAGCATACCTCTTCAATAAAGTCGTCAACGTCACACAAGGCGAACCTGTAGAGCGCAACATGACGACAGGTCGACATCTCGTGCGCGACATCGCCTGCAGACAGTGCAAGGAAACGGTAGGCTGGAAGTACGACAAGGCATACGAGAGCAGCGAGAAATACAAGGAGGGCAAGTTCATTCTCGAGGAGGAGCTATTCTGTGTCGTCTGTTGAAGGGTGTGAGACTTTCCACCTATCTTCATGTGTGTCGACCTTGATCTTCGATTCCTGCACCTGACAGGCCGGCTGGTGGTTTTATGATAAGAATGGGATTGCATTCTGTGAGCATTTCTTGTATTTTTGTTCTTTGAAGACTGATTCTTGCGACTTGTTTTGGTCTATCTTTCTCAGCTTTGGTGTTTCCGAAAGGCGTTGCGAGGAGTATTTGCTTTTCTTCATTCGGTTTCTTTGGGCCCGATGAAATTGGAACTAGCTGCACACTTGCAGAGCAGGACTTGCATGTCACGTCGGCCTTTCTGATACGTCCTTTGAATACAGTTTGACGGTTTATCTCTCTCCCGCGTAGCATCGACCATCTTTCGGAGTATATAGTCTGCTTGGAATGGTAGCTATAATTCCGTTGTATCCACAAATCCGTACAACATACTCCTATGAGAAGAGGAGCCAGCTCCATCTATATCCCATTTTGGCATTTTCAGTGGAGATCAACCACTGTAGTGTATCAGCCCCACCAGGTGATTCGCACAGAAGCCCGAAACTGGAGAAATTAGTCCATAGATTTCTTTTTAACTCATTCGGATCCGTCTGCAATCTGATCGTTCGATATTGAAGAAATTTGACTTGGAAAATATCCACTATTATTACAGCTGACTGTGAATTCCGCCACCAAATTCCAAAGTAGGTTGCTGCTCTCATACTTCGATCCTCTGTGAAAGATTGAGATCTGACCATTGTTAGAATGACTCCTGCTCCATCGGATTCTGGTATGATGCAGGCGGTCGTGTTTCACGGGCCCTACAAGGTCGCCGTTGAGCAGAGGCCTATTCCCAAGGTTCAGGACCCGGAGGATGTTATAGTCAAGGTTGGATATACTGCGCTTTGTGGAAGGTGGGATTGATCTATACTTTTCTTGCGAAAAGGCCCATGCTAATTTTCGTAATATTCTACAGTGAGCTGCACATGTTCCGTGGCGTGGAGCCTGCAGGAAAAGATTTCATAATGGGACATGAATTTGTCGGTACCATTGTGGAAATGGGCAGCGCTGTCAAGACTCTACAGAAGGGTGACCGGGTTGTGACTGCATTCACTACTTCCTGGTAGGTTGTATGCTCATTATATGCTGGTTCTATATTGCAATTGTACGAATGTTGCGCTGACACCATGATAGTGGCGAATGCTTCTACTGCAAGCAAGGGTGGTCTTCTCGCTGTGATAAGAACAGTCTTTTTGGATGTGACAGCTTGGACGGTGGACAGGCTGAATACGTGAGTTTCTAAGCATGTTATAGCTTTGCTCTATATGCTGATATTAACAGGCCCGCATCCCGAATGCGGAAGGTTCCGTCATGAAGGCCCCCGAGGGCGTTGACGAGAAATATCTGGTGCTCATGGGAGATATTTTCCCCACGGGCTGGTTTGCAGCAAACAATGCATTCAAGAACTCAACCCCGCAGCAAATTGCTGAACAGACAGTAGTCCTAATTGGATGTGGGCCTGTCGGTCTCTGTGCGCTCATCAATGCTCTGGAGTACAAGCCCAAGCATATTCTGGCGGTTGACTCGGTTCCGTCGAGACTGGAGCTTGCCAAGTCGCTTGGTGCCGAGCCGTGGAACTTCCAACTGGACCGGGCTGGTCTAGACAAGCGTGTTCAGGAGTTGACAAATGGACGTGGTGCCGATGCTGTCATTGAAGTCGTCGGGTTGAGCCCTGCATTGCGCACTGGCTTTGAACTGTTGCGGCCTTGGGGAACTATTAGTAGTGTGGGTGTCCACAATGGAGAGGTAAGTAGGTCTGTATTGGTACTAGTGTTATTGCTAATGAACGCAGATCCCGTGGGACGGCAATGATGCCTATTCCAAGAACCTCACTGTCCAAATGGGGCGATGCCCTGTTCGGTCTGTTGCTCCTCGGGCTCTTGAGGTGCTCAAGAGGAACCAACATAAGCTTGGGTGAGTCCATGGTATAGTTATATGACTGATATATTGGTGCTGACAAAGAACTTTTAGCTTCATGACAGATAAGATCATGCCGCTCTCGCAGGCAGTGGAGGGCTATAAGCTATTTGAAGCGCACCAGGTGCAGAAAGTGATATTCCAGGCTGATAAGTAGAGAAGATGTAGACAGAACCAGGTAATATAGAATAGAAAGAAGAGTAGAATATAGAAAGATGAAGCTGAAGTCCAAAAAAAAAAGGCAGATTTTCATACTCGGGTTCTCTCCGCTTAAAGCAAAACACCACCACTCCAACTTCTTCAACTCTTTCACATCTCCATCTTCCTCACCTTCGTCCCTTTTCTTCTTCCTCTCCTCTTCTCCTTCTCCTCTTCTCCCTTTCTCCCATCGACTGCTTTTCCTGTTCACCTTCTTCTCCCCCTCTCTTGATCCGAGATTCTGCCGCTTTCCCCTCCCATCCATTTCTCCACTTCCTATCTCCCTCTTCTGTGAGTCCTCACTCTTTCTAGCAGTTGGATCCTATTCACGGACTCCCTCACCTGAGAATTTGCGCATAGCTACATATGGCATGCGCACTTCTCTTTGTCTCAATTACCAAACTGACTTTGCCACTATTTGGGTGTGAAGTCTCTACCGTCCCGCGACCGTACGGTCTTCAAGAAACCTTTTATCCCGCCATTCACTTGACCTTTTCAAATCGCTCAATCGCTCCTCCTACCTCCATCGATTATCGATAAAAATGGATTCCACTGAGATTCACCAAACTACTGTCGTGGACGAGCCCATGACCGATAACTTCAACGACAACCTCGCTGAGCAGGGTGACCTAGAGGCCCCCCTCAAGACCGAGGAGGAGTATGCTATCGCTGAGCTGACTCTGCGTGCTATTGTCTCCTCCAAGGAGGCCGGTGTTATCATCGGCAAGGCTGGTAAGAACGTTGCCGACCTCCGCGATGAGACTGGTGTCAAAGCCGGTGTGAGCAAGGTAGTTCCCGGTGTCCATGACCGTGTCCTGACCATTACTGGTCAATTGCGCTCGCTTGCTCGCGCCTATGCGATCGTGGCCAAGGGTCTTTTGGAGGGTGCCCCGCAGATGGGCATGGGTGGTATTGTCTCTAACAATGGGACCCACCGTAAGTGATATCTTTTTTTTATTGCCCCTCAATATTTTGGACTTGGACTGGTTATGCTGTTCGGGGAATTAAAGCAACCCATACAGAGAGTCTGGAAATTCCCATTTTGATCTGAGCTTGTTCTAACTCTCTCCAGCCGTTCGCCTTCTAATCTCCCACAACCAAATGGGTACCATCATTGGACGACAGGGCCTGAAGATCAAGCACATTCAGGATGCATCGGGTGTTCGTATGGTCGCGCAAAAGGAAATGCTTCCCCAATCCACAGAGCGCATTGTCGAGGTCCAGGGTACCCCCGAGGGCATCGAGAAGGCTATCTGGGAAATCGGCAAATGTCTGCTTGACGACTGGCAACGTGGCACCGGCACTGTTCTCTACAACCCCGCCGTGCGCGCTTCCCTCAGCGCCTCGCAGCCACTCAACAACAACCCCCCTGCTGGAAATGGCTACCAGGGCAACAACAACAACAGCCGCCAGTACAACCGCACCGGCAACGGCGCCGACTTCAGCGATGGTGGCTATAACCGCCGATCCAACTCGGATGCTGGAAACCGCGGCTACCCCCTAGTTACGGAAGATGGCGAAGAGATCCAGACCCAGAACATCAGCATTCCCGCGGACATGGTTGGATGCATCATCGGCCGGGGCGGAACCAAGATCACAGAGATTCGCCGAAGCTCTGGCGCTCGGATTTCGATCGCCAAGGCTCCTCATGACGAGACCGGCGAGCGCATGTTCACCATCATGGGAAGTGCTCAGGCCAATGAAAAGGCCCTATACCTTCTATACGAGAACCTGGAAGCCGAGAAGACTCGCCGCAGCCAGCTTCCCCAGGAGTAAATCCTGCGGGATCATCTCTGGTGTTTTGTGTGCGGATGAGACGGTCCTAGCAGGACTCCTTTGTGTTCTCTGACCTTACGACTTCCTTGAAGACTTGTCGGTCACGATCAGCGGCGGTCATGTGCTAGCGCTTCTTTTATTTCTTTTTTATTTTCTATTTCATTCCAATTGCTTTTCTCTGTTGATCTTCTTCCTCGGCTATCTTTTGAGGTTCTAGCCTCGTCACACGTCGCTTTATTCACAAAAAAGACAAAAGTTCACTGCGATGGATGGAGGGAATACATGCGTATTAGATACCAAGTTTGTGTGGTCTTTATCGACCATTGTGCGTTGAATTGCATCGCGACCCGGCTGTCTCTCGATCCTATCTCTCAACTTTGTCAATTACAACAGCCTCACACCTCCATTCCCTCCCTCGCTTCCCCCATTCAGCTGAACTGTCACCGCGATGTCCCTAATCTCTCTTTACACCTTACCCCGACTCCTGAACCACAGACCTCTCCGCCACTATCCCGGTCCCTACCTCCACCTTGTCCTTCTCATCGTTCCGCCTTGTACGTCGCCAATTCGCTGGCGGGGTATATTGATCCTTGTCTTTCCTCTACTCTTATCTCCTCGACTTCTGTACCCTGTTCTCGTTCCCTTCCTATCCCTGACTTACTGCAATGCTACCACCTTTTACCAACCCTTGAAAACGAAACCTCTAAATAATAAAAAAACGCTCCTCGTCTCCTAATTACCCTTCTTTCATGTGTCTCCTCGCTGCGTACCACCTTGGCTCAAGTATGAATATATGGTGTTGAATGTCAATAGGACATTGCCATTATCTGAATCTCAAGAAATATCCAGAAAGACACCTATATCCTCCTACATTGTATTATATTTAGAAAGCAATAGAATTAATCAAAAAGCTCTTGAATATCATTTCATTCCATTCAATCGTTATGTATATGTTCGTTGCGACTCAGGACAACAAAAGAAACAAGAGAAAAGACCTGCGGGCAACAGACTTAGATACAAAAACGTGCCCACAAGAAATGAGAGACGTGACAAAACAATAAACAGGGAAAAGAAAAAGAAAAACAAGGAACGGTAAACCCTAGCGCGGGATACACACATGGAACAGTGTGCCACCCGGTAGAGTATTATGGACAAGAGACGCCGCCAATGGTAGGTTTGTACATGAAATGGCAAGCCACCGGTAGACATGATGATAGTCCACGGTGGTGAGATGGTGTTTTTGCTGTCAGGGGTATTTCCCGCAGACAAAGATCACACAGAGAAATGTGGACATTTAATAGAATGTGTAATGTGCTGGCAGCGTGATGGGAAAATACAGAGGAGATTCGTGGGAATGCATAGCGAAATTTTGTGAACCGTGCATAGGAGGGAAAACTTCGAACTGCCGTGGCTGCTGAGACATGCATAACAGGCAAAGTCCGTTCAAAAGATGGAATGAATGCCGATGTCGAAGCAGATGTCCAAAGAAAATCGCTGCGTAAGTGACGTAACCGGATATTTTGACGGTTGGCATGCATGATAGTGGGGTTCAGCCAGAGGATATCAGAGATTTGGACGTTAATCGATGCTGTCATCGAGGTTTGCATTATTGGGGGTAGCCGGAGCACGATTTCGAAGACCGAATCTTCGGGCCCCCAAGCTGTTCGTTCGCAGTCGTGGTGTTTGGATTGGTGTGTAGCTGGTTGCCACTTTGCTTGATGGGGTCGAAATCCTGGTCTGGGAGGGTTCCATTTGGAGTGATCGCGGACTCTCTTCGGCTGAAGATCCCTGGACGTTATTGGAAGAGAAGCTGGGCGTTAGGCCGTAACGGCGAGACCCAGCCTGGATGTTGGAGCGGGATATCGCAGGAGTGTACGTAGCAGGGTTCATGTAGCTTCGGCGGAATGAGAAACTCGACGAGAGAGTCGGTGTCCGAGGCTGGGATGACTGCACCTGCGGCTGGGGGAGGTGGGATGGTTGTTGGTATTGGTGTGATGGTTGGTATTGTGGGGAGCGAGGGGAGTATCCGAAGCCGTTATGTTCCTGCTGCGCACCGGAAATGGAGCGGGACACAGTGTGACCTTGGGAGAATCGTTGCCGAGGAGGGGGTATGGCTTGCGCAGGAAGCGATGTGCGTATTTCTGTATTGACTCTGGAACTCGAACGACTATGTGAACTTCCGGTCTCTCCGTTCTCCTCGCCAATGGTCAGCCTGCGGCTGCGGAGGGAACTTGGCATGCGATTGAGACGACTGGCTGGGCTAGACATGCCGGGAGATTGTGTTGGACTCTGCTTGATATCGTTCGTGTTTCCAGGGCTGGCATTGACCACGGATGATCGACGTGCTTCAAGGCGACTGGACATGCGATTCGTACTATGGCGCCGCTCAACTCCTTCAGGCTCTTGGTTCCCGTTTCGCTGATACGTTGGTATGGACATACGAGCATCGGCTCCTGCACCATTCGATAATTGGGGCTGCACGACTGTCTCTCGGCTCGAGGACGGTCGGGCACTCTTTAACTGCTCATCCGTCAAGGCTAGGCAGAGCTCGGTCAGGCTACGACATACACTGTCCGCTTTGCGGCGGGCATGTCGTTCGGGCGAGGAGTATCCTCCATTCACAACAGAGACACTGCCTGACGGAGCGGTATTGACGCCTAACGCGGTGGAAAGGTTCAAAGCATCGGTTATCGTCGCTTCGAGGCAGGTGTACACTTCACCGCTCAAAACAGCTTTTGCCTTGGCCAATGCGGATTGCAGGATCGGATGCGCCGGGTTATGTTCAATATCTGCAGCTGAGATGCTGGTTTTGCGGCGTTGCTTTGGTGAGGAGGATAAGGTGGTAATGGTAGTGTTTGCAGTCCGCGGTCTCTCGTTCGTAGGGGTGTACATCGCCGCCGAAGATGATGCGGGCAGTTTGCCTGTCAGTTCCAGCTTCTTGATGCGATCTTTGAGATCATCCAATTCGTCCCAGACGGTCGATGGGGCCGTGATAGACAACGTCGACTCGCTTCCATCAGCGCGCGATCGTTCTGTATCGGCTCGCGGTCGCCCGATCACTTCGGAGTTTGAAGTTTGCCGGCTGCTTCGGATTGTAGAGAGCCCCGAATGGCGATTGATGCGCGGATCATTGAGAGAGGACCGACGCTCCAGCTCCTCGGCAGCAGACGGTGTGCGCGGTGAAGTTTCTGGGCTCGTGCGGCTGAAGCGGCTGCGCGGAACACCGACGGCGGATCGCGCACTGGATAGGGTACTGTATCGGAAGCGAGCAGGGTCGTCTAGAGGATGGGCGGATGACGCTAGAGTATGGGTGGCGCTGTAGGGAGCAGTAGGGGAATCATTCTGGAAATGCAAGGGGTTGTCGAGATTGCTATACCGCTGATCGGGTGAGGGGGTTTGTTCTGTCGTTGGCGACCGTAGACTTTGGCTAGAATAACCCAGCCGTGACTATTATGTTCTCGTTAGCCATCGGGCAGTCGCAAGAAGGGGTCACGCGGATAGCACAAAAGCGATTCGGAATGCGATCGGCTCAAGACCTGTTTCCTTCTCACTTACCCGTCTGAAATCTGAGCGTCCTATGGAGTCGCGCCGACCGGAATCGGTTCTCGCAATATTCAGAAACACATCCTCGTTCTTTGGGCGGCCCTCGTCCCCCGAGGACTTGTCCTCGGCCCCCCGATGAGTACCGTTGAGACTGCCATTGTGAGAGCGATTATTCTCATTTAGGGTTCTGGTCGCTCCAGAATAAGCCAGACTTGATGGCATTGCTCTTTTCACATCAGGGCGATCTTGGTGTAATTCGTCCTGTCTGCGCCTCTTTGAAGCATAGGGAGATTCAGAAGCTTGGGGGCTGGGTGAGCTGAAGCTTAAGACGGATCGTCGGGCGCGGTGCAATAAGGAGCGTTTGGTGGTTAGATCGGGCGTTTCATCAGTGGGGCCATGGAAGCGAGTGTGCAACGACAAAGAACGCGAGAGAGGAAAATGTCGGGGAGGTTGGGAGTGCTGGTCATGGTCATGGCCAGAACGCTGATTGACCTGGTTGGGTCGCAAATGGTCACGGGAACCCGCAGTCATCGTGTACCTGTACGGAGTACGGAGTACAACATACAGAGTACGATGAAGTACAGAGTACCGTTTGAGGTGTTCCTACCTCGCCTGACAATTCTGGGGAAAGCTGGGATGGTATAGTTCTGATGGATTGGAAATATGCACAAGCCCTAGTCACTGCAGAATGTCAGTAAGGACTTGAGGACTTGACCTGTCAGAAAATATTGCGGGTATATACTTAGTAGTGTGGGAAAATTTCAATATTGACAAGCTTTTTATTTCTATTGATTGGGTTTAAAACTTGGGGTATCCTTTTGACTTGTTCATATGAAAGTTGATAGAATTTGACGTGAATGACCTCTATAGACGGGGTATGGACGATGCTACCTATATCTATGTAACGATGTAGATGCTGTAGTCGAATGGCCTACCTCAAACCCAAACATCAGGAAGAAGGAACCGAACAACCAGAACGGAAAAAAGAACGGAAAAGAAAAAATCAAAACAAACAGGGCAGGAACCATGGTTCCTCTCAGTCAGGATCCATGGTTACTTTGAAACCACCCAAATTGAATTCGACTGACAGGTTTTAAAACGAACCAGGTACGATTCGATGTAGTTCACTCTATAGACCCTAAGGATGCTAGCCAATGGTCTGTCTAGGCCTTCATTGGACTATATCTACAATATAGGCATGCCCGGATGTGCTGCTTCAATTCCAAGATGCACAAATGTAAAGTGGGCAGCTTGGGTTAGGAAAAGTACTTGGCGCAAGTTGTTTTGCTGTTAATTAACCTGCTTAATGCTCAATTAAGTAATGAAGTAGTGTGGCACTGCCTCAACCGTGGAAGGCTAGTTAGTTATAGCTGCTTTTCTTGAGAAACTGGGCTACTAGTTAACTACTTAAATAGAGAAAATAAGCAAGGCTATGCCAATAAAGGGGTTTATTCAGTGATCTATATCCTTGCACGGAGTATACCTGATCTCGCTACTATCATTTAATCTGGAATCCTACGGAACGCTTGGTCGAATGAGATCCATGTAGCAATATAAGCCGAATCCTTCGACGTCTGGGCACTGCCACTCAGCTTAGCCTACTATCGCGTGACAAATCCATTGTCGTGCATATTGTGGCAAACCTCAACGTTCAATACAGAGTAGACCAATCCGGTATTTTGTTTATATTAATCATTGAACCGAAATCTATTTGTGGAATAATCCGGAGAACTCGATATATTGCAACGGCTAGCCGTAACCATATGTTGCAGTGCTATTTGCAATCTGTACCCCGTACCTGTGTCAGTAATAAGACAAGACCAAGAGTTCACTAGTAGTCGAATTGAACAAGCTGTTCTCTACTCCGTACTCTATGCGACAAACCAATGTGTCAAGTCCGAAACACAAAAGCATACGTTATAAACAGCTCATGTGCGATTCAGGACGTTTATTTTTAGAAGCCAGTGAAACACGCTCCCTTAGGATCACTACACCAAAAGGGGCTCATCTATCTGGAACTCTTCTGGCCCAAACCAGATGTTTTATAGAATGATGTATGGGAATATCTTCTCCAGACTCGGTATATCGCCAACCGAAGATCCAGTTTCAGGATCGTTACGAGAACCCACGTGGAAAAGGCCGATCATTCGTCATTCGAAACCAAGTGGGCCTCAAGCTTCAATAACTCTCCTCAGCCTCCATGGGAATAAACCTGGATGATGTAATGTAGAATGTATATTCCATGAAATCAAATTCCAACCGAATTGACTCTGTTTGTATATATATATATATATATTCTACGTACTTCATAGACTATCTAGAGACAAGTAACTGCCAAGACCTGCTAGTCACCCACTAGTGTCAGTTTGGCGTGTTTCAGACAGCGCCAAACCAGATCCATGGGGTTTCAGGTTGTGCCTTGTCCTCTCGATCTCCACCAATCAGATCCCCCTCAGTTCCTATTTAGGGACTGCCAATGGTATGCCCACACCATCCATGGGTCAGCCAGCCCACCGTTCAGCCAGACCGTGTGAATGATTGAATGCAGGTGGACTTGATAGCGAACTCATACGACTGAGAAACTACATATAGTCGAACCGATAATAGTGGGGTGATCGAGGGGAATTTGGAATTCACCAAATCAACTCCCTTTCGGGTCACTACGCACCAGCACATCTCCACCATATCCCGTCTCAATGTCTCCCCCTTGTCATCTCGGTCCTGAGCCGTTTGGTACCATGTGTAACAGATAGTGAGAGCACGGGAATTGTCAATCTTATCCAACTTTAACAGAACATACTCGGACGTATGTGGGTATTACATGTATTTTCCTGGAGGTTCCAAAGGCCGAAAGACTATTATCTCACCTGTAACATCATCGATAATATACACTAAGGCAGGTGATGGCACACCTGTAGCCTCTCATCGTCGGCGGTTTGACGCCTGAACATTCCAGGGCGGCTAAATATAGAGCACGGCGCAGTGATTGGTGTTGCTCTCTCCAACTCTCTGGATCCCCTCTTTTTCGTGTATTGTATGTTACAGGTGAAAATCGATCTCTAAATAAAACCACAAAGGGTCCAAAACCCGTATACTCTCATTTTTCTTTCTTTCCTTTTTCTCTTTCTACATCGATTCTGCTTTCTCTTTCATCCTCTCTCCAGTTCCCTGGAGGAACCCGCTTGGATTCTATATTCATCGCCTATATTGTGATACATTCGATTACTTCTTTGATCTGAGTCTTGGATCTTTCATTCCTTCATCTTCCTTGGAAAATACACATACCCTTGTGATCTGGTATGTGGATGGCCTTCCTATCCAACCTCTTCATTATACTCGATCTCGTGTGGATGCCTTTCCCCTTGTGATTTGCATGATCGGATCATTAGTCGCAAAACCCTTGCATTTCAGCTGCCCTAGATTGAAGCTAAACGCCCATTCCTCCCCCATAGAGATCCCATTTGCGCAGGAAGCAAGTGCATCTTCGATACCCCGAATGCCAATCTAGCCTCTTCTGAGAGCCGGATTGAAAAAAAAAAGAAACTTTTCCTTTCATACTACCACTCGGACAATGCCAGTACAAACTAGCCAGTCCTTTCCGGACGCATTTCCTTCTTTTATGTCGGTGTTTGGTGGTCCCCTTCCGCGATACAAAGAAGAAGCAAACACTATCCACCCTCTACAATACCCAACCCATGTCCCTGTCAATACACGTCTACTTCCTTCCCCCCACCGCGAAAGTGTTTCATCTGTGACCTCGGCATCTACGGAGTCCTCCCCGACCACCACCATCTCGCCCTTTGATTCGCCCGGCGGGGGTGACGTCTCTCCGAGCTCGTCCCCGGAATCTCCGTCTGCGATGTCCGTCGCATACCCAAAGTTCATGCCTTCCTCACGGCCCGTGGAACTTGCGTCGCGCCTTGCGCCTGTTTGCGAACCGCGCCTGTCGCCACCGAACTCTCATAATACGCGCCCCGACTCCCCAAATCGGCGGGCGCGCAATCTCAAGAACCTGTCATTGCGAATGCCACCTCCATCTCAGGCTCCCCCACCTATCGCTACTTCGTCGGTGGTGGAGACCACGGCAAAACACCATTTTGATGCCCCGCTCTCTCCCATCATCCCGATCCCTTCCAATAACAAGAGCGCGAGGCGACGCGCCGCCAATCTTACCATCCAGACCCCCACTTTCAATAAACCCTTATCCGGTATCGCCACCGATGCCGTGCCCCCAACTCCATCCCTACGTCATGCAGAATCCTCACCTTCGCTTGCATCGATTACATCGCCTTCGTTCGCACCCCGGGGAGGTATGAAGCTTCCCCGGTTAATGTCACATGGTGCGCGCCGGTTTTCTAGTGACCCTCCCGATGATGCTACGTCCCCTGTCACCCTGAAGCCGATTGATGGATCTGGCTTCTCGCATCGAGTTCTTGATGGCCTGGAAGAGGAGGATGACCACCTCGACTCGCGCGAGTCGACCCGCAAGAAGGATCGTGGCTACCCGGATGGGCCTATCCGGATCCACGACTCTGGCGTCTACCTGTATCTTGAACCGACAGCAGAAGAAGCGGCCAAATTCGATGTCGTGATCAACGTCGCCAAAGAAGTGGCGAACCCGTTCAATACTAGCAAGGATGAGCGGAGTGATACAGTGATGAGCGCATGGCGAAACACCTCCATGTCCTCGAAACGCTTCTCCTGCAGCGAGCCCCAGACCGCGATTTCAGAAATGTCCTTCAAGTCTGCCTGGGAATTCCAGCCCTTGGATTCCGAGACGGCAATCCCTACTATTTCCACCCCTGCAAATTCCGTACCGGAGTACCTCCATGTCGGTTGGGACCACAACTCCGAAATTCTTGAAGACCTCCTCCCGCTCTGTGAGCTGATTGACGACCGGATCGCGGACGGAAAGAAAGTTCTCGTGCATTGCCAGCTCGGCGCTAGCCGCTCGGCATCGCTAGTGATTGCCTACGGATTGTATAAAAACCGACACTTGGATTTCAACTCGATGTACGAAGCAGTCAAGGGACGCAGCAAGTGGGTTGGCCCGAACATGAGTCTCATCTACCAGCTCACAGACTTCCGCTCTAAATTGTTGCGGGGATCTACCTCTAAGCCCCCGCCCCAGGAATGGTTCGTCCAAACCGGCCGACGAAGCTCAGAGCCTCAGGTTGCACGAGCTGAGCGCTCAGCGTCCAATGAATCAAGGCCACCCTTCCGTGGGCTGTCACAGACACCTTCAGTCAGTTGCCTCTCAATTCCAGAAACGAGATCGATGCGTCCCAATACAAGCGACGACGGTACCTACACAAAGTTCAAATCCTACTCTCCCAAGCGGAGTCTGTCCCCCCGACCCCTCCCATTCCGACAGAAGTTCCAGTCCGTGGGACCTGCATTTGGCCGGCGAGGGTTACCGCGTAGCGTCAGCAGCTGTGACCCGCTCGTTCAGAGCCATGTGTTTCTACGCGATGCGCCAGACTCCAGCGATGATTTGTTTTCGCCGAGGACAAGCGCATTCCTCTCGCCAACTCCTTTAGCACCACCATCATTTCACCGGATTGATCGCTCACCTTCCATCCCTTACGCCATAGGGTTTGCCACCGAACCGGCAGACCCTCGCTCGCCTCCATCTAGCGGCGAGCCCCTGATCATGAGATCTATTGATGAATTCTTGTGATCTCCGCCTTTGTCCTTTGATACAGGCCTGAAACGATTCCACGACCCGACATATTTTCCATGTCTCTTTCCTGATTGAAGACCATCTGACCAACCCGGGGTCCCGGGTCGATGCAACCCTTCTATTCTCTTATTAATTTCTTCCACTCATCTAAATCAGATGACTGGCTTGATGATATTCATGACCAAAGCAGGCTTTGCTGTCGCTCATCGCCATTTTTCCCAACTTGCATACTTACTGCATATTTCTTTTTGTCATTTGGACCTACGGGTCTTTTCAACGCCATTACTGGTCATCATCGCTCGAACTTATTCTTTCTTTTACCACTGGCGTCTTGGGTGTCCAAAACGGACAAATATGATACCAAGGCCAGGTTCTGAAAGGTTGAAACAGACCTGTCTGCTTCCTTTCGGCCTGGTACCTGTAATATTATCGGAGGGTCCTATCTCTTTGGGGTTTCTCTTACCTCCCTTGGCTTTCGTCTCACTTTCGCTTGATTGTCTCGTGTCACTCTCCTGTTTTTCCATCTTGTCAGGCAAGGGATTTGCTTCTGCACCTTTAGTGTCAGCATTCGTGCTGAAGCTTCGACCCTTGAAACTCACGGTATGCTGGGATTATGGGTGAAATATGGCGTGATAAATACCCCACTTGCACATTCTCACAATAGAGATCGACGTTAAGCTTGAATTATTTCTCGTAAAGCTGTAAACATGGAATCCAGTCTAGTTAGTTTGTGGCTGGCTGTTATATTAGAACGGAGATAGCGATAAGCTCCGAGAACCTCTCCAGAGCTCCATCCCAAATTTTCCTTGCGCATTCCTCTCCACGCTCGCGACAATGGCTGAAGAATCCCATCCGGCATACCTCTCACCCAGCGAGCTAGGCACAAAAGACTAGTATGTGTCCTTTTCAGCCACACTTCCTTCCTTTGCTGGACGGGACTCCATGAACCCCGCTCTACCCCTCCACGAAAGCTGTATACATCAATTGAGCCACCAATTGATCTAAAGACTGCATCTGCTATCTAAACCAATTCTCAATCCCAAACTAACAACCCCAACCTAGCTGGGAATCCTACTACGCCCGCACCCTAGCGCACATCTCACACGAAGCTCCAAAGAACAACCCCAATGCCAATGCCAACCCAGACCAAAATGACGACGATGCCGCATCTACCACCTCCGACCTAAACGAAGAAGACGACCCCGGCACATCCTGGTTCTCCGAACACAACGCCCCGCAAAAAGTTCTCCGCTTCCTCACGCGCAAGTCCTTCCCCCTATCGCCGCGCAATACAGCGCACAAGAAAGGCGCCCGCCAGCCAAGCGTTCTGGATCTGGGCACGGGGAATGGGAGTATGCTTGCGCTGCTTAGGAAGAGGGGTGGGTATATTGGGCGTCTTGTTGGCGTTGATTACTCGCGCCAGAGTGTTGAGCTTGCGAGGGAGTTGCAGCGTGTGAGAGGGCATTCGGCTTATCGGAGTGACTCTGAGGATGAGGATGAATCTGAATCTGATGATGAAGAGGAAGAAGAAGCAGAGGCTGAGGCTGAGGAAGATACTGGATCTAAGGACTTGCCGGGACAAGATACATCCATCCAGTTCGAGGAATGGGATATCCTCGGCTCGAAGGCTGTTCTTTCTGAGACGGGTCTCGAGGTATCACCCTCGTCCTCGTCTCCCTCGGAGGAAACACTTCCCTGGTTTCCATACGATCAAGGCGGCTTTGATATCGTTCTCGATAAGGGGACGTTCGATGCTGTTTCGCTTGCTGATGATGCGAAGACTACCCGTGTCTGTGAGAGGTACCCTGATATCGCGCGGCACTTAGTGCGGCGCGGTGGGTTCTTGATTGTTACTACCTGCAACTGGACTGAGGAAGAGCTGGTGCACTGGTTCACTGGTGAGCGGACGAGTGGGGATCGGTTGGTGGTTTGGGGCCGTGTTGAGTATCCTCGGTTCCGGTTTGGAGGACATGAGGGCCAGGGGGTTTGTACGGTGTGTTTCCAGAGGCTTGGGGACGCTTGATATTTGAGCAGACCTGCGGATTACCATGCGAACTATACCCTAAGCAGAAAAAAGGTGGAGTGCAGATAGCTAGTATAGCGATATGCTGAATATAGTACTGAAACATTTCAATCATTCACTATAGACTATTGTATACTCATCTATTCTGAGTTCGTAGTATCATCATGCAAGGGGAGAGATATCGCTCAAAATGCACCCAAGACCATCATCAGAACCAAACCAACGACTCTACTCCCCTCTCCTCTTGAGAACAGCAATAACACACCACCTCCTCTGATTCTCCGTGCCCTCCCCTTCCCTAATCGGAGCCCACTCCCTGCGAATCTCACCGTCATCCTCCGACCTTGCAATCAAATCCCTCTCATAGATCCTCTCAATCACAAAGCCATTCTCAAGCGCCGTCTCAAAGAACCCGGCAACAATCGCCCGACCAGTATGGAACCCAGAAACGACCCACACCTTCCCACCGGGCGAAAGGAACCACTGCATCGTGCGCACAAGGTTCTCATGCTGCGCGCGCATCCAGTAACAATCCGCCGCCACGATTCGCGTAAAGGCACCTTTGTTCGCCGTCGAGAAGGAGTCATCCAACAAACCCCATTGGTGCGGGTACACTGATACTGCTTTCACGACCGTAGGCGAGCGTCTGGCCAGGTTGTACTCAACATTGAAAGCGATTGCGCCGCTGAGCGCAGGCGAGGAGGGGTGGTCGGTTGCCACGACCCTCGAGGCGTTGGCTAGGGCACAGACGACGGATGGGAGGGCGGCGCCTGTAAGTAATATGAATGCGTTAGTTTGGTTTGGGTTAGGGGGTTGAAGAGGATGTATAGCATCAACGGCCAGTGGCCACTTACCAGCGCCTAGTTCCAGCACACTCTCCCCCTTGATCCTCCACAACTCCCGGTTCTCTCTCTGGGCTTCTGTCTCGGTCTCGCCTGGTGCGGTGGGTGTGTCTGCTTCCTCCACGGCCCCGGCCACGACCATTGCTGCGCTCCAGAGGAAATGCGCGAAGAGCCTGCGTCCCTCGTCGACTTGGTTCACGGAGCTGTCTGCCTCGGGCCGTTGCTGGCTTGAGCTTGGGTAGCTGGGGACCATGATGTTGAGGTCGCCATACCGCGGGGAGCTGTAGAGGAGGTGTTGGCCTGGGTCGCCGTGGAAGGAAGGTGCGTCGTCTGGAAAGAGATGGGGGAGGAATGTACCGAAGAGATCTTCGGGTGATTCGTCAAATTCGCAGTCGGCGTCCTCGTTTTGGAATTCTGGTGCCGGGGCACTGGTTGTGGGTGTGCTAGGATGATGATGGCGGGGGAGGGGCCGTAAACGGGAATGAAGCATTGTTGTGGTTTGTGAGGGATTTTCGATTTATTGTTTAGTGAAATTGAGTGGTCTGGTATGCACCGAGGAGAACCAAGATTTGTCTGGTTGAAAAAGTCAATTGACCTATTATCAGAGGCCGTTGTGATCCATTCCGAGGGATGCCCAATCTTTAATTTCTTATCTATTGTTGCGATAAGGGCTTGACGAAGGTGTTTGCATTGTTTGACGGATTAGCCTTTCAGCCCTGGAGGTCCGACCACGTCATGCCAACACTGGCGAGTATTATGGAGCATACGGAGTACACCTTGTGAGGGTCACGGGTTGAAAGGTTGTCTAGTTAAACCCATTGAGAACAATTCCCACAGCTATAGTAGCTCCCGATAGCTCTAATAATTAGATCGACACCGACCCAACTTCCTAACCCAATAATACGGACAAGAAGAATGTCCCGAGTGTCTCAGCCGCAGGTTAAGAATGGCGGGCCAGGCACCTTGGGAATGTGCCAGAAACAGGAAAGATCAAGGGGCTTCCTACTCCTAAGGGCGCCAAAAATAATCCCAAGTGCTCGTGCGCAAGAAGGCGTGACGGTCGGAGTAATGATCCTCTCCTGTAGGCGTTAGCGCGCGAGATGGCGCGACCTGATCGTAGCAATGTGGTGACCTGAGCGATTACCTAACTGACACATGTCTTCCGGGGCCCGGGTGCCTCTAGTGCCGGCTTAGTGATAAGCCACGATTCATCTTTGCCACAAAGATATTTTTAAGTCGCACATGTACTCCATAGTTACAGGGCAACGACCTAGATAGGTATATGAATTAAGTGTATCGGGGTGTCGTTAACTACGCCGTAATTAGTTAGCGAGGTCGTAGTTAACTACCTTAGTTAATATCTATCAGGTGATGCGACTGACTAAGGCCTCATGACATCATTGGGCCCACCCCATCCACTCTTCCAAGTACTAGACCGGTCGATGCTATGCAGGTGATCGATACATGGCAAACCGGTCGTTTCCAAGTCACTGCACTGCTTGCGGCCATCTCCTATCAATACACATTCGTCATTGCCCGGGCGGGAACCCAGTGACCTGATTGGTACTTGAATCAGGAGTCCAACTGTGCCATCTTGTGACCCTAGTTGATCGTCAGGCAACTGGCTTTTTTTTTTTTATATGTGTTCTTTCTATTCGGCTATGTGGCATACCTCCATATATTAAAGTACTCCGTATATAATCTTGGAATAGAATTGGAATGATTTTATATCCAAAGCCTAGACCCATGGCACTATCCTTCAGAACCAGGGCGCAGACCCTTCCCCTGTACGGAACGCTATCCGAGCAGGGCCCGATGTTCAAAGATTACATATTTCATATTACATATTTAACAAGATTATGCCCAACATTTGCCATCTCGAATTCACCGGGTTGATACTACAACGTACGTACTCTGAACATGTCTTTATTCGGATAGGTGGATCCACTATGCTATCGCCATCACAGGCATTGCGAACACGCACAGAGACAACACACAATATAGGGCATATTTAGGGGCATATAATAGACTAATACCACATTATCGACAATAATATAGCCCTCCCGTATAGATATCTTCGAATATATTAGCAATAAAATACCCAAACTCGTATGTGTGACCGGTGATCGCTGCCCCCCCGCATGCTCAAAGGGAAAGGCCCCCGCAAACCTGAGCGATTTTGGCTCATACCGGCCCTGACTCTTTCTCTCCTTCTTTCTCCTCTTTTTTTTTTCCCTTCCACCTTTCTTTTTTTGGATCACCTCACCTTTTTTCTTTATTCGCTCTCATTCTCTCTCTTCATATCATCTTATTCTCGCATTCATTGCTCTCCTCTACCTATACATCTTCGACCCGGAATTCGGCCCCATTTCACCCTCACGGAATTGAGGGCAGCTCGTGTTCAGGAGGATTGTCAATTCCATTGGAAGCTTCCTCTCATTTCTTACCATGGCCTCGTTCAAGGTATGTATCCAGCATTTCTGCCGCACATCTTTTTTTTAAAGGGGGGGCCATACTAATGTACCGGCTTCTTTTTGGCCCTGCACAGGAATTATCCATGTCGCGTCCTCTCCCCAATACCAGCCAGCGGCATCACACGCATTCCATCTCGCTCGGTGCTCTCAATCCAAACCACCGTGTAACTCGCCGAAAGAGCGTTACCACCGCTGCCGCCAATGCTGCCGCAGTCGCTGCCTCCATGGAGGGCGGGGAGGCTACCTCGCTCCCCATGGGTGCGCACCGCCGCGCCCTAGGAGGCCGCAAGGGACTGGAGTCCGGTTCCATCGGAAACGTATCTGGCTTCAGCTCCTACCTCTCCCGCAGCATCAACAGCTCCAAGCAGGAATCATCGGTCGCCCGCAAAAGTTCTCCGGGATCAGACAACTCCGATGGCAAGCCCGATGACCGGAACCGCCGAGCCAGCGAGGGTGCCCAACTCAAGACCGAAGGGAAGCGTGCTTCGACGGCCATACGTTGCGATCGCTGCGGGAAAGGGTATAAGCATGGCAGCTGCTTGTCCAAGCATATGTGTGTATCCCCCCTACCGCTCGGCCGTCTTCTTCTAGCTCGATCGGGAATATGCACCATGTCGGCTCTGTGCAGGTCGCCCTCGTGGTTATTCAACTTCCCTTCATCACTGCCCCCCCTTTTTTTTCCCATCCCTTTCAGCAACATTTAATTGACCAATTTTTTTTTTTCGTGGTATCTTAGGTGGGAACACGACCCAGCATGGTCCGTTACTTCGAAGCTTCTCATCTCCAAGCATCAGCAGGTTCAACTGCTGGAGGCCGCCTCCGTTTTGGTCACCATGAACCACGATGATCCACCCGATGAGTCCGCCGAGTTGGAGTCGGAATTGTCGTCTGGATCGCCGGGCGCCCTGTCAGAAATGCAGGATGGAATCAGTTCGGCTGAGACCACCCCACCCCCAATGGACTCGGAGGAAGATGACGATTTCGAGATGTCGGGTGTGCCGGCACAGTGGACCAAACGCCCCAGCATCAGCAACGCATCCGGTTTCTCTCGTTCCTACCAGTCCATTCCGTCCAGCTCGTACAACGAGAGTGCTCCGCTGCACTCGCCTACCTTCTCCCACTTCCGCCACTCGAGCATCGACACCCGTCCCTCAACTGCGGACACACGGTTACACGAGGATGACGAGGCGGATCTTGCCGCGGCCATCGGCCTGTGCAATTTCGGCACTCCTCGCACGGGGCCTCTTTCCATGACCCGCGACGTGCCACCAGTGCCCCCATTGCCGGCGCGTTACTTGGACTCAAGCAGCCACCCGAGCAACCAGGGTCTCTACTCCCCTCAATTGCGCCCTACAGAAGAGGCCGCTCGCCGAGACTCCGAGGCCAACATCTTCTTCTCCCGGTCGCTCAACCCGTCGCTGTCGTACAAGGTGTCGGATGAGCGTGAGGTCCGGACTACTGGTGGTGATGAGGACCAACAATCCCGTCAACGTCGCAACGCCGATGTGGACTTTGGTAACCGCTCCGCGCCGGCCGACGATGACGATGGCGGTGTCTTTGGCCACATGGAAGAGTAAATCCCCCAGTACTCTCCGCGCCTTCGCGTGGGTCAAATCGGCGTATGCCGAACGATGACCCCTTCACGATCTCATGTACGAGCTTGAGCGAATTTTTTGAACCTTCTTGTTTACATGTTTCCAACCTCTCCGGATGGAGAATAGAGCCGATGTCCAATAATCGGTCAGAGCTCTTTTCTCAACGGGGTGTTTCACAATTCTCGGGACCTTTTTTCACCACCTTTTGAGATCCCATGTATCAATCATGTCTCCTTGGTCCGCTTTGTTTTCTTTATGTTTTGTCTTGCCACGGCTTATTCTGGAGACCCCTTTAAACGGCATACTCCGCATGGCCGGCGCAGATTACCATCCCCATCAAATATTTATATCCATAGGGACGTGACATACCACTTTCATGCCCTCTATGCTTCTCGTTTGTCTTTTCCCCTGTTCTGTTTCTCTCACCTCGCACATATATACCAAACCCACAAATTCTACGATCCGCTCCCCTACTTTTCCCACATGTGCATCTCGTCCGTTCTTTTCTCTCTCCGTCTCCTTGCCCATCCTCTTCTATCTCTCGCCTATGGTCTCTGACTCTTGTGTACCCAATTGACCCTCGGACGGGGCATACAATGAATATATTTCATGAACGTATACTATTCTATAATGTAGATCTACCTGTCATTTCCGCATCTGTCCCTGTGCCTGTACATCATAAGCGGGGAATCAAAAGACCCACTAAAGGGTACAGTTCCATATTTTTGTCGAATCTATTTTCGTCATAGGGGAAGACGTCGAGTGCATTCGAGAACAGAAAGAAAGAATACCCCCTATAGAGTAGTTATTTTTGATCAAATACACAGACTAGGCCGTGGGGATTACGCGAGCTTCGTGGAATTAGCATGATTGCAGGTCGTGTGACCCCAGGATTTATCACTCTCTGAAGAGCAGTTACCTCGCTAGCTTCCAATCCCCTAACACTCATTTCTTTAGTCAAGACCCTCCGCGGCCGACATGCTCCTGCATAGCATCGTCCTTGTTGCCATTTTTAACGTGCCCCCATCCGAAAATGTTCGATTTTATCGCCGCAGTGGACGTCGTTTCTCGACAGAATCTCGCGCCAATATCGCCACCTACGACTATCAGATTAGGTTTCCTCATACGATGCAGCTAGGATTGGTATAGTCGCAATGCCTCAGAATTTAGGCATAATGCTCATATGAGAGTTCGCTTTGAAAGATAGCATCGATTCTAGTGATCAGTACAGATACCCTCTCTAAGAACAGTCTATCTATTGCATACAGATCTATTGGCTTGGACACTTTGGGAATTTACGAGAGCGCAGAACTTCTTCGACAACTCCCCCATGTGACCGAAGATGTGGACATTCGCTCAAATAGTACCACTTAAGCCCATGTATAGGATGGTATTTTCTGTCGCTAGATTCGGGTGAACCAAGTCTGCTACCGCCAGATCCTTGTGAGCATCAATCAGAGATGATGAGTTACAAACAATCAGAAGCCAGTCATTGACAGGACCTTTGAGTGGCTTCCATAAGCTGCCGGCAACGACAATGAGCGCTGGAATCATCGAATACAAAAGGTGTAGGAGTATCTTACTTGATCCACTGGAAGCTAATCTAGACTAGATCTGCCTCTTTCCCATCTGGCCCCGTATCTCATCTATCGTTCCTTCACGGCTTGTGTCTAGGTTTAGGTTTGAGAGACTGCGCTGAGCGACAACACACATAGCGGTGCAATCTTACCTACATGAGCCACTGTGGCTGGCTGATCATGCTCATTTCCATCTGATATTGGATATACAGGGTGCGGTTCTCGTATCTAGAAAAGCTTGTTAGAAACCGAGGTAGGGGAGAAATTGTACACCGTGACGAAAAACTTCCACCCGACTGGCACGGAGATGGACACTCTCTCCGTCAAACGAAGGTACTTTGTGACCTCTTCTACCCGAGAAAATCGCTGTACTGGAGAACCGTGTTGAATAGTAAAGCCATTGCGCTCGAGCTGAAACTGGTCTTCCTGTCCCCGAATTTCCTCGCCAGGAATACCGTCAATTGTCTGATGAGTCATGTTGGTCTGAAGGCAGCCATTGTGGGTGGGAATTTGAATGAATAGGGCCGCTGTTGCCGGTACAATCTGTCCGGCTTGAGAAAGAACAGGCTGGGATGAACTGTCGAAAAAAGATTCATCCATCGGCATGATCATTCTTTGCTTATTTGATTCAGTCGTAGTGTGAATCGAGAGCAAGGAAAGCTTCAAATCTGATGTATCAACAAGCTCTTTTGCTGAACCTGAGCCATTCCAGGCTACCGGCAGATTCTCTGCTTATAGCGCGACCTGTACGCTGTCGGTTCCCGACTCGCAGGAAGTCGATGCAAGAATCCCTGTCCCATCATCATCATTACGTGGCTCCACAAAAGCCCCTGCTTTCTCTACAATAACACCGTTCATTACGGGATCACTCAAACTTTTCCGCTTGGTCATATCTATCATCTACTGGATGTGGGCAGGGCAGGGGACTCAGCCATCTACGGGTGTATAACAAGCTTGAGATAAACCTCTTGCTTCGTCGCAAGTTCAAGCCACATGTGTGTGATAGTGATTGTATATGCATGGATATCACCCCAAATAAGCGCCCAGGACGCCACGGCTCAAAATTCAGTTTGATTGTCGTCCACCAAATCAGCCTAGTATACTTACTACATGCTGTGATTGGTTATTCTACTGCCACTAGATGTGCCTCTCACCCTATTATGCGGATACTAACATCTCGACACACGTAGCTGTCTATAATTGGCCATATCATCACCCCAACAAATCAAGTGCCGAACAAAGGATGTGATTGATGGCCAACGGCGTTTAAAATTGCAGGGTCTGATTGGTGATAGTCCCCACATCATTCCATCTATTCCGGGGGGAATGGTACTTTTCGAGAGTTTTGTTTGGCCCCTGACCACGTATTTATTCGAGTGTTTCTCCTCAAAAAAAAACTCTTCGACAAGTTCTGTGAAATCCCCTATTGAACAATCAAGGACGACACATATCAAACGGTATGTACGTTTGGCATCAACTCATAGACAACCCTATCTCTAACATGAGTGTTGTAGATTTATCAACATGAGCTCTCTCCAATGCCATCTTGACATTACCAATGAGCCTGGCTCAGAAGATGAGACAGGCGAATCTGTCACTTCCGAAGGCCAGGTTGAGCAGGAAGCCACTCATTTGCGACCCTGGAATGGCTTCTGGCCACGCCCTCTTACCGTTCTGAAGCCGGGCGGCATCATCCCGATTCAGGGCAACTAAAGAGAGTGGTTTTAGAGTTTAAGGGATGCGAAACACCTCTGAGCAGCGGCAGTAATCTGGAGATTTTGTCGTTGGCGCTATCAGATCAGTCATTACAGAATGAGATGTTTATCCTTGTCAATGATGCATGCATTGTATTCCAATCGAAGTGCATCCTATAAAAGCCAATGACTCTTCAATATGATTTGCCTCGAATTTCATGAAAACATTCTCCGACCTGTTTGACTTCACAAGGTCTGCCCAAGGGAATCAAGTCATGAGTAAGACGAATCTGGAAAGCCCCATTTGCCATCGCGGGTCAGCGTCTTCCCCATGTTGCGGTTGCATAAATGTCAACCAACACGAGCCTCTGGCGTTGTTGTATCGGAGGTACGTTGGAACGTAGTCAAAGGCCCCATTCAAATCATCATCTGGTTGGAATATATTGTCGACATGTAGCCAGGCCTGAACTTGGTCTCACAGTGGCACTCAACCGAAAAAACAGTGGCGAGGGAGGGAATAGTGGCTGGTGGGTCGAACTATGCTCCATGAATTAGTTCAAAGCCCTATGATTCTATGGTATCATAGACAGACCTCCAACTCTGGCAGTGCGAGGAAGTTGTTGTTTAGTTGAAAGGTGTGATCCTCAAACACTGGGACAGGTGCCATGGCGGAAGTGCCTTACTATAAAGTTACTAGTTAATGACTGTAATGTCGTCTATTGCAAATAATTCTTCTTGATCTGTTCTAATGGAATATTCCAAGGTCAAAGGAAGTCAGTTCTCCGGGTTACGGGCTGGCCCGTATCTCCCCCACTACACTACGCATGACTGGGCATCCACGTGGTTGGTATAAGCCTTTGCTTTTACTAGGCCCACTATAACTATTAGCAGACCTAATCGCCTCATTTTATTTTTTGGGGGTATCTTAGACCCTAATATCGGGCTACAGCCATTCACATATAAGACGGTTGCGTGCGTTAGGTGTGTCCTTGAGCAATGAGTATAAGTTGTTGAACCAGTTCATTAAGCAGCCAAGGAATTAACCAACACAATAAGTATAAGAGAGCAAAAGCAAGAAAAGGCAACGGGGTATTCACGCTCGTTCTTTGATCAGCAGCCTCCACCACAGCCTCCTCCTCCTCCACCTCCTCCTCCTCCGCAACCACCGCCGCCACCACTAGATCCTCCGCAGCCGCCACCGGATCCGCCTGTATAGAAAACATATTAAAATCTACTGCAAGTCGAGATTCATAAAGAGACTCACCACATCCTCCACCACCACCGCCTCCTGCGCAGCTACCTGCGGCTACGGCACCACCTTTGGAAAAATCAGTCTCAGTCAATACTTCTAGAAAGGTGACGAAGCACTTACCACACGTGCCAGAGCAACAATTCCCAGCGGCACCTACAGTAACATTCATGCAGGCAGGATTACACGCGTATGAATCACAGTTGATGGACGGGTCCATCATATATGGTCCATAGTATGGCACCATAATGGGGTACCCATATGCATAAGGCATGTAGTATGGATAAGCGTCACCCTGCTGATTAGAAGCTTTGGAGCCAGATCGTTTACGGCGCTTCTCAGCACGCCGGGCAGCCTTCTCGTAGTTGCTCTGTAGGCGTAGGTGTTGCACAGATTTATTCCACTCGACCTGTTGGTACATGTTTGTTGGCCGGACGGCGTTGTGTGAAGAGATGTGTGGGTTCTTGTTTGGGTCGGACGAGATATCGGGGCTATCGTGCAAGAGGTCTGCAGCGGCTTGGGCCCGAGAGACTGAGCGAGCAGTGATCCACCGGCCATACAGGTCTGGTGTTCTTGTCGCCTCGCAGTACCAGCAGGTACATTCGCTGTATATCTCACCGTCGGTGACACGGCGGTACATTTTGCTAGTCCAGGCAAAGCCGTCCGAGAGTTTTCCCTCGTCGACTTTGTCGTCGTGGTCGATGAGCATACGAATACCAGCATATTTTCCCTTTGACGTGCTGTATTTGTAGTACCGCGATGGGCTGAGTTGGTGGGTGTGCCATGCCAGATCAACATCCAGTGTGGGCACGGCCATCTTATCTGGGTTGTCAATCATAATCTGGAAGAACACCTCGTACTTTTTAATCAGCCGGTCCATAGTGTTGAAGACTGTCGGTGAGTGCAGCCAGTCGATTTGGTCCATTTTCTCCACGAAGGTGCTTTGTCTGATAACAGCGCCCACAAGGTCTAGCGCGAAGGGACCGAGGTTATCCCAGTATCGAGACATCATTCTTCGGAATTGGATCTTCTCGCCATACTTGATACCTTTAAGGTAGACACCATGTGCTTTCCACAAAAGATTTCTGTCGCGAAACTTCGACTCAAATAGCTGCCTCAAGTGGATAATATTCAGACACCGATCCACTCGGCCATCAGTGAATGCCATCAAGTCCGTTTTGGCAGCCTGTACTATTCGTGTGGGGAATAGCATGTCCCGGAGTGCCCGCGGATTGGGTTTGACAGATGGGCCCCCCTCGGGGATTCCATAAAGATTGGTGAACGACCCGGGCATAGGGAGACCTTCGTAAATCGTTGCTTCCAGGTCTTTTCGAAACTTTGCCACCTTGAGCCGGCCATGGTCGATCATGTGGTCACAACCGACGCATTTCGTCTCGAATGAATAATCGGCGAAGCCATTGCTAAATTTGAAGGCATTGGCAACAAGTCCCCCAAAGCGAGCTTCTGTCCACTGGACAGCGTTCACTCGTCCGCAGCAGGGGCAGTGGACTTGCGTAGTCGGCGGGTCGTGCAGATTATTCCACTTGAAGTTCATTTTCTGCTCGAACAGCTGCTGGGCTTGTTCAGAAACTGTATACTCCATCGTTTGGTTGTTGATGCAGCTGTTTATCGCTTCCCATGGAAATCCTGTGGCCCATGTGCTCATCTTACCGTATCGAATGCAATCCTCAAGGAAGTTCCGGGGATTCAACGAATGAGCATGCCAGACCATCAAAATATCTGTAAAGTAATTAGTCAATCGTCTTTTTGCCTTCAAATCAACACATTACCTATCGGGGGTAGATTTTCCGTGCTCCATGCAACTATCGTATCACAATTAAGGATTCTTTCATAGTCGATACACTCCAAGTCATTAATAGTTGCCATCGGTCTTGACCGGGGGAGGCCAATAGACCACCACTTGGTATATCGATCGACTGCACGCGCTGCATAGACAGCCCAGCGCTTTTCGCGAAGACGAGCCCGCGCTTCATTCAGTGAATTCGGGAATTTTTCAGCTTCAGCATCGTGGATACCAAAGATCCCGTCATCACTAGAGATGGTATCTCGCAGATCTGCCAGCACAGCCAAGAACTTGAGATGCGCAACACACTGGTCGCGAGTTACGGTAGTTGAAGAAGATGGATGGGAACTCAGATCCAGCTGGGGCAGTTCTAATGGCGGCTGCTGCTCGACCTGGTTGGCCGAATAGGAAGGTGGTTGTTCGCTGGAAGATTTGACTTCAGATTGCTGGGGTGCCTCTTTGGACACTTTATCCGTTGAAACACCCATGTTGGCGGTTGATAGAGTAAGTATGTCGTGAGTGAGTGTGTTGAGTCAAGTCTGAGAGGCGGGGTCCGGCGGCCCTTTATATTAGTTTAATGATGAACACGTATCTCATTATCCGAGGACACCCAGATAAAGACAAGTCGGCATGGCGCTTTGATCGAACTCATGACCTTTCAAAGCCCCTGAAACGGACGAGGTGGACTAGATGGACATAGTTACGGACAACATGATGGCAATTGCTACTACTAATTGGTCTGAAGTATCGAAAGCCTTGGCTAAGCCTCCACGAAATGTGAAGATCGTGGTAAATTAACGAGACCATCGTATTCGTTTATCATCCGAGCCAATAATCCGAGAACGTTGTCTTCAACTTCATAACGGATTGGTTCACGGGCGTAATCGGGCGCGGTTGCACTGCCTTGCTGCCTTGGTGGCTTCGTATGGAGTAGGGCCCAAGGCTGAGTGGAGATGCGCTGTACAACTTACATTATACATTGTACACAAGAGTTTCTAGTGTTTTTCTAGCGCCCTTTTCATATGCTTGTCCTACGTACTTGTGGAATTACTCTGTCCTATGAAAAGCGATATGGATAACTCTGACGGCTCATATCCGGTCACGTGCTAGGAAGACCGAGCCCAGGTCACGTGGAGAAAATGGGAGAATCTCCGGTCAGGTGATATGCCCCTCCGAGCTGACTCATCGATGTTCCCGGAAGAAGTGCGCTCACCGAGTGGGAACGAGAAAGTTGAGACGGTTTTGTTGGAGAAAGACAAGAAGGAAACCGGAATAACCAAACCAAAACCAAACTGCGCGTGTCAAGACCAAAACTTTGTATCTGCGAATCCGTCCGAATCTCTCCCACTGTCTCAAACCGAGATCTCGATCAGCAAAAACGTCATTCAGCCTGGCTTCTCTCGGGCGATCAAACGGCATCGGAGAGGGCCAGGCCCAAACTCTTGAACCGATTACGACCATTGATAATGCTTCTATTGGCACCAATCCCGTAATGGCGGGTGTAAATCAGTTGCCTGTCTCAGTTGCCGCCGATGGCGTGCATGGTCGCAAACGCAATATGACCATTGCGGGGATCGACAGTTCTCCGGGGAGTATCGAGGATATGGATGACAATGATGCGCGCGAGGAGAAAAGACGTCAGCCAGTGAAGCGCGCCTGCAATGAATGTCGACAACAAAAAGTAGGTCTAGCGTATTACCGCAAAAGTCCTCCAGCTTGACTAACCTTTTCGGATTGGACAGCTCCGATGCGATGTCATTCAAGACCCATGGACCGATTGTTCACGATGCCGTCGGCTGAGGCTCGATTGTAAAATCGAGTCTAACTTCAAACGTGTCGGAAAGCGCAGCCGCAATGCAGAAATGGAGAGAGAAATAATGGAGCTCAGGAAGCAGATTGCTACTGGCCAACCAGTCCCTGGAATGTCACAGCAACAAGCTTTGACCGCGGGACAATTGACACCCAAGCAAGAATCGAGTCAAGTCAGTCCCGCAGTCTACCAAACACCATCAGCTATGTCCGCAGATCAGTACATGGGATCTCAAGAAGCTGTAGCATCCCTCCTGGACCTTCGTTCGGGCTTCGATGGCACCAACTTCGTGAGGAACGGTGGACAAATTAGACGAATTGAGGACGTTATGGTTGTTCCCGAGAAAGTGGCAGAACTGTTTAATATGTGAGTCCCCATCTGGCAAGTCTCTGTGATTGATCTAACTTCTTCCCGTCAGATTCTTCACGTACTACCACCCTTTCCTTCCATTTTTGGACCGAAACCAGTCACCCGATGATTATCATAGTTCCTCTTCGTTACTTTTCTGGACAATTCTTAGTGTCGGTGCGCGACGCTATCTAGGCGATTCGAATTTGTTGAATTCCCTTGCTGGTCCTGTCAGCCGGCTGGTCTGGAGCACTCTAGCAGATATCCCTCAAAGCTATCATGTTGTGAAAGCTCTCGCTCTACTATGTTCATGGCCGTTCCCTACAAGCAGCACCTCAACGGATCCGACCTTCATGCTGTGTGGAATGATGGTACAAGTTGCTATGCAGCTTGGTCTCCACAGGCCTTCTCACACTCAAGACTTCAGTAAATTCCGAGTGGAACTTATCGAGGATGAATTGAGAGACAAGGTGCGAACTTGGGCGATTTGCAATATCGTTGCTCAAAGGTATGTACCAAAACCTAATCAATTGCTGCTTGTCTTTATCTCATATTTTACTGTGCAGAGTTTCCACCGGCTATGGACAGCCATCATCTACTCTTTATGACTGGACGTTATCCTCCAGCGATTCGTTAGACCCGAACTTCAAGCTTCCTGACGATATAAGGCCAAGATTGGAGATCGAAAAGTTCTGCGACAGGGTCACTCAAGCACTTTACACAAATCGACGCGATCCTGTTGGCTTAACCAGCGACCACGAACGTTCAACAATGATTGCCTTTCTATCGCGAGACTTTGAGGAGTTGGAAGAACAGCTTAAATCGCAGAATGACTGTAAGCTTCCGAATTTCAAGTGGGGATATATTAGATGCATGACTAACGACATATAGGTATTACTGACTTGTTCCTCCGTGCTGCTAACCTCCATTTGCACCTTTCGGCATTCTTTGACGAGCCGACCACTAAAAATTACCGCGAACGCGTCTTTTCTCTGTATGTCGCGACGACATCATTCCTCGAAGTTGTCCTAAACCTCGAGACCGAGGTTGGCCCGGTCATCTCTTACACCCCGTACTATGTCTACCAGATGATGGTTGCCGCCGGTTGCACTCTTTTAAAACTGTGCAAGAGCTTCTTTGCCTCTCACATAGACATGGAATACACCAAGAACCTATTCAACCGTACAATATGGGCCATCCGAGGAGTGTCAGCATCCAGCAACGACCTTCCCGAACGACTTGCTGAAGTGTTAGCTCAGATGTGGAGATTGGGAGGAGCTACTCAACGGACTAACAATAGTACCGATGTTGACGACTCCCTGCGACTCAAAGTTCGCTGCCGGATGAGCATGTCCTTGCTTTACGACTCTGTGTGGCGTTGGCGAGAGGATGCCAGGACCAAAGGCCGAAACATTGAAGGTCAGTACTCCTTTAGAATATAAGATATAAATCAGAAGTCGCTAACCTTTGATTCTAGCCTATCTGAAAAATCCAACAAATCCTGACTCAGCAGCTGATTCTTCGGCCACTTCATCTGTCGGGCCTGTACACACATCTGCAATGGCACCAGGAATCTCTGGGAATGATCCAAGCCTTGCCCCGGCACCCCTGCTATCCCAGGCTAGCCTTGGGATCCAACAACCCACAGGTCAAGCAAACGGACTCCCAAGCGGCTTCATTGAACCTAATTACGAAGTCTTCGATCCGTTGAACTGGCTGCTTGACGGCCTGGTAGACTTGCCTTACTCATACTCCACGATGGGGGGAGTAGAATCCCAGGGCATCGTATAGATTGGCCTGCTAATATTTTCTCGGCGTTATTGCCGGTTTTTTTTCTATTTTTTGCGGGCGTGGCTTGCGTTACTTGTATCATTATACCACATATTTGATCGCTGATACTTCCCAGGGAGTTTGTTTATGTTGATGTTATTTTCATATCCGTCTATATTTCTTATGGGTCCCTTGTACGATGTCCTTGGTTCTTTTCCAATATGATGCTATGTTTGGCCTCAAGTCCCTGTCCAGAAAAAGCCGACAGATTTAGCCTCATGCAGTTATAAAGTCCGGTACATTATGTACGTATATCACACCGAGTTATTTTTGTCGCTTCTTTTTACGAGCCCATATTCGCTCCGTAGAAGAAATTTCATCCTAGCATGGTGATATTCTTGCTTTTCTTTCATCATCCTTTTTGCTAGACGAAACCTATATAATCTCGGTCATCCTGGCCCTTCTTGTCTATTTCTTCTCCTTCCCATTGCTTCTTCAGAATACATAAAATGGCTTTCCTTTATGACCTCAATTGGATCGATGTGGAGCCTCGCATTTTGACTATAGTACTGTGCTTACTTGTTTCCTTTCTCTTTTTCTCTGTGGCTGCGGCCGCTTTGGTGTTTACTTCCTATCTAATGGCTAACGTTGGTGACCTCCCCCCGTCTGGTGATGATTGTCCAAAGTACAAATTCACAAGATGCTGATATGATTTGCTGAGGCAGAATCAAGTTCCTTTCTCTGTACGCAAAGACTGTTTCTCGATCTTATACCAACAGTACAAGTTTGTCGTGGACGGGCCTAGTATAATAAAGAAAGGCTATGAACAATTCGCAAATGGCTTATTCGAAATCCCGCGGACATTCCGCTTTGGCCAAGTCATACTATGCCAGCCAGAATTGATTGAAGAACTAAGAAATAAACGGAGTACTCTTGTCTCCCCGGAGCCATGGATTGATCAGGTAGGGCTTCCGGGTGGATTCTCTATGTTTAGGCTAACAAATATTATACAGCTCCTCCAGGTTTCTCATGTTATGCCTGGCTATTTCCCTAAGGAAATGGGATGGCCAAAAATCGCTAAGATTACGCCTGGTTTGATTCGTGCCACGGTTTATAAACACTTGCATCGGTATATGCCCGCTATGAATCAGGCAATTATCTCGCAGCTGCAGACCCTAGAGTTCAAAGACGGGGGTAAGTTCAGGCCACTCTATAGCTGAGATTGTCTCTAATTTCTTCAAACAGAATGCGAAATTGGCTGCTTTGATCTGGCATACTCGATCGTAGCTCGCAGTGGCAGCTTTGCTATTGTGGGCTCGCGGCTTTCTCAAAACGAGGAATATCTTAAAGCTGTCAAGGACCACATCCTTGGGATGATAGTGACCACTCGTGTACAATTTCTTGTTCCAGATTTCTTGAAACCGTGAGTGAGATACTTCATTGATTTCATTTTCCATGGACTAAGACACGAATAGCTACATTGGTGGGCTCATCGGTCGCCTCGCCACTCTTGGGACTAGTTGGGATATGCACGCCTCGCGTAAGATTATGCTAAAACACTTCGATGCACGTGCAGCAGAATATCACGCCGAGATATCCGGTGGCAAGGGACCTAGTGAGACTAATCTTGACAAATCGAACACTCCGGTACCCCTGTCTTCCCCTCCCCCTCCATCCAATGACACCATGACTGAACGATCTATAGGTTGAAATCTTCCAGTGGCTGTATGAGAGCAGTGTTCTTCGGGAGCGATGGACATATGCAGAGGTGATAGGCGAAATGTTGCTGCTGCAATTTGCCTTTATCTATACCACGTCCTATGTAAGTGCTCTGTACGCATGTCATAATCCTGGAATCTGCTAATTTAAACACCAATAGGGACTGTACGGCGCCCTGGCTGAGCTAGCTCGACGACCCGAATATATCGCACCCCTGCGTGAGGAAATTGATATGTTTTTCTCCGCAATGGGACCAACCGTTCCAGCCTGTGATGGCATGGTTTTGATGGATAGTTTCTTGAAGGAGTGTCAGCGGCTGCATCCCCCTTCAGCACGTATGTCGCGATCACCCTTGGGTATTGTATTGTGCGTGGCTAATGCAATGATATGATATTAGTCTCTGCCCATCGGGTCTGTGTTAGTGACCTCAAACTTTCCAACGGTTCGTTCTTGAAAACACACTACCAGCAAGGAAACATTGAGCTGATCAAGTATGGAATACAACAGGAATCACACTCAAGCAGGGCTCCCATGTAGCCGTCCCAAGCGGAATCATCCAACGATCGAGCGAGCACTATGCGAACCCTGACGCGTTCGACGGTTTCCGGTTCGTCAAGCGTGCAGCAGCTGGAGCCAAGGACTCCCGGCTTGTCGACCTGAGCCCAGATTATCTGGTTTTTGGAATGGGCGCACATGCCTGGTAAGTCATGTTTCTGGCTGGCCATTTTATTTTCATGTCCTGGTTTCAAACCCAACCGCCCGAATCCCATCGGCTGACTTTTGCTCGTGTTTGTAGCCCTGGACGATGGATGGCTAGCGCGCTCATGAAGCTCGCCTTCGCACATATCCTGGATCAGTATGACGTACTCCTTCCTAATTCGGCCTCCCTGCCCTTGACTGGCTCGCTGTCATTCGAGGAGTTTTATGTGCCCAACTTTGGAGTAAAGATAGCTCTGCGCCAGCGCTAGTAAGGACATCACCCGGGTGTTTGGGTGCATGCCAAAGGGAGCAGCTAGAATCTTAATAATGTTTCGGGAAGATTAATATTTATTTCATCATGTTGGACAATATACAGCGCAGCGTATTCTACCACTTGACCATAACAAACCAAGCCAGTCTGACACATCAACAAATACGTTGGTTGCCTTGGCGCCTTAAAGCACTATCAGATAAGCTGATAAGATTTCGACTCTTATCTCCAACTGTTTCAACTTCATCTCTTCCTCGTCATCCCTCGAAATCATGGCTTCGGCTTCCTCCCAGAAACCTCGACCTCTACTCATCCCACATAAGCGCACCCTTTTACCCCTACCAACTAAGGGGCAAGGCCCCAAAGTATACAAAGTCCTCAATCCTAGCGCCATCCCCGCAGAAATGAGCATCAAACAATCATACGAAGAGGCCACTCAAGAAAGACGTAAACACACAACTTCAAGCGCGCATAACAAAAGTACATTTGAAGACGAAGAAGACTACGAGCCCCAGCCCCCACTCTTTGAAGTCTCATTCTCTATGCCGCCACAGCCCTTCCTCGACCCACCGACTTGGGAAGCGATGCTCAAACACAGCCGTGAGAGACTAGCGACACAGTCAACAAAAGATGAACCGCGCTCAGCGTCGGATCAGGAAGACGAATGGGTAGAGCGAATGAGACAACGAGTGGAGCGCGAGACGGAGTATGGGTCAATGGCTATTCGGGGCCGGTCAAGTGTACGCGGGCGTGGGAAGAGGGGAAAGGGGAGAGGCGATGTCTACTGGGGTGGTAGACATTGATTTTGATGTGTTCGGGATGAGCTTGATGCTTTTTAGATACCCCCATATTTGGTTAGTAGGCCAGATACGACCATTTGAATAGCCGGCTGCCTTTAAAACACCTAGAATAGTTATGTAGTATCACGCTTTCATAGTACATCGTGTGTGCTCCTGTATTAATACATTACTTAATGGACACATTTACATCCGCCCTGGAGCCAAGAGATTATTGCTTCATAGGCCATCTTATGTTACACAACGTGAAAGCAAGGGGCAGCTCGGAGCCCTTATTCGGTCTTGGGCTGATTAGACTGATGAACAGGCTAGAAATTCGATACTTACATATGCTAGAAGTAAACAAAACAAATTAATGGTACATCTGAGAAGTCAACAAAAGTCGAGACAAAGGAGGAATAAAAACAATGGAATCATCATCATGGGTTGGTTCATGGTTCATAATCATCATAGATCTCACTCATATCAAATGATCATCTCGGGACATCGAAGCAATTTCAAAAAACCAAAAAAAAAAGCAAATGCATCGTGAAATCGTCGGGCAAGTGTGTTTGAAATGCGTGAAACATATCGAATCATGAATGTGAGGATAATATGAGACGCAACGGAGAAAAGGACATCATAAGTCATCTCATATCCACCTCAGCTGTAGCACTAGATGCCACGTAGACAGGGCCACCGATACTCCGTTTGAGGATTTCCCTTCGGACAGCACGCTTTCTCTCGTCTCGTCTCTGCCGTACGCGTCGCAGACGATTCCGCACATTACGCCATGACATCGTCTGGAGTCGCAGTCCCCAGCGAGAGAGAGACCGGAAGGGAGTCGGCTTTAAGGGGGATCCTGTTCGGAACATGCCCTGATCAACCAAGCTACCGTTGCTAGTCACCCCATTGAACAGGCGTTTCATTTCTGGGCTGCGGCGTGCTAGAGCAGCCGGGCCGTCGAAGATGATGTGCCGCTGGGGCAGGCCTAGAGAGTTGTTTACAATCAAGGATTCATGGGGGCGCGGCAAATTGTTCCGCATCGGCGGGGGTTCTTTCTCTGGGGACCCGGGTACGTCATCCCAAAATCCACGGGGCCGCCAAAAAGGATACTGACGACTGTCCATTTCCAGTCCTGCGGTTCGGTTCTTGGCCGATTTCATGGAGAATGACCGCGCTATAGTATTGAAGGAATCCGACCGAGGGCGTGCGCTCCAGGTACGACGGACGGACCTCCATCGTCGACCGAGGCCTGTGTTTTCATCTTGAGCGTCATGTAACGGAAGCGCGGGAAAGGGTCTGGTGGATGGTGGCTTGGGTGGAGTGCGAGGGTTCTTTAAAGGCGAGTCGACGTTGAAGGTTGCTGTTTGTGATGGGTTGTCCGGCGTGCGAGGGGGTTGGGGATGATCATAAGAAATCCCAAGCGCCTGGAAAGGTCGCCTCTCGGAGGCTTGTACCCGAGGGTCAACAAGCAGCAGTGAGTTATTGTTGTGTGCGAACAGACTGACCGCTGTAGCCTCTTGAATTTCAATGGGTCCCGGCGAAGACGATGGAACCGAGCCTTGGGTGAAAGGGAAAGATGGAGGACGCAGGGTTGCCATATCATCTGAGCTAGCAAAGAGGGAGCGCAAATTGGGAGCTTCGAGTAGGCCATTGCGGTCAGGCGAAGCCAGAACGTTGTGACGAGGCGGGGGCACCGGCTGATGCTCACGGCGTTTTTGCATCTTGAGGTCAATGGCTAAGTTATGGCTTCGTAGACTCTCGGAAGTAAGGGAAGTCGCACGAGAATTATTCTGGCTCGTTGGTGCAGAAAGCGACGAGCTTCGGGGGGGTACTGCGGGACGCTCCGTGGGACAACCTTTAGAATCGGTCTCGCGATATCGATTCGATGTTGAATCAGAGACGGTGCGTTTTTTCTGCCCCAAGATATCCGTGCGGCCCGTTGATGCTGTCAGAGGACGACGAGTTGATAGACGAGAACCCGGTTTGGAAGAAACATGACTGGTCGGACGAGACCTGAGAGATGAACTTCTCTCCGGTATGACCACTACGTTGATGGTTTCGATATTGGGCTGTATTGGACTGTTGCTAGTCTTGACCGGGAACGGCATCTCCGATGTTCCGCTTCGAACATCATCAGAGATGCGAGCAGCCTTGTGAATCAGGCGGTGCTGGGATTCAGGGAGGGACGCATAAGAGGTACGCTCAGACCTTGTGATGGGAGAGCTGGCAGACCGTAGAGAGCTCCTCTTTTCGGTATGCCGGAGCATTCGCTGGGCTCGTTTGGGGGAGTCGATTATCATGGCCTCAACGGTGGATGTCGAGGAGATGACCGACAAAGGACGGGCGTCTGGTCCACTAAATATTGCTGGACCCTCCGGTGATGACGACCCAATATTCCGACGGAACTGCTCCACTGAAGTACTTTCTTTGACTTCATGCGCACCATTTGCACGGTCCTGCAGACTTTTTTCCCTCATCAAAGAGGCATCCAGGTGCTTCAAATCCAGTGCTTCTCTCTCGGGTGTTGATTTATAGACTGATTTAGTGAGGTTGTGATTTTGTGCAGACTTTCGCTTTCCTGCTAACGGTGTTGGCGACCCATCGATGGGGTTTGCGGCCCAATGCCCATCAAAAGACTCGAATCTAGTGTCGCATCCAGTTTCGCCATGTTGAGAAGAAGCAGGTGACGGAGATCCTTTTATATTTGAAGGGTGTGAAAGATATACATTTGAGGTGGGTGGCTTTGATGGTTGCCGCCTTTGTTTCGGTGTCTGGGCCGTGGTCTGAGACATGCGGACCGGGGTGTTCATATCTTCTTCGGATGAGATATTCTCCAAAGCCGTTTGAAATGAATCGGCTCGAGACGACGAGGAGAAATAATTAAACTGGTTCAAGGTAGGTCGCTTATTCGAGTTTGTTCGAGGAGGCGTCACATCCGGGGTTGGAGGCTTAGAGGCACGGCGAGGGGTCAACATTTGGGATGTTGGAATATCTGACAGAGAAGAATTCATTTTCTGGGGTGTTCGTTCGTCAGCCACGAGTTCTTCGTGGCCTGCACCCGGGGGTGTCAAGGGAAGCGACGGCGTCGCAGTATGTCTCCCAGTCTGATCCGGGGAGGCCGGTTGGATAACTTCGATGCTGGGAACGATTACACCCCGCCGAGGCAGCATCTTGTGAGACCTTAAGAGCGGCCGCTCAAACGCTTGCAAATCCTCCGATGACCCCATCACTTCTACGCCCGGCATCTCGGAAACAGCACACCACGGAGACCTGAAGCATCCACGGTCGCTTTTGTGAATTCGATCGAAGGGTTTAGATATCCTTGGGCATCATAGTACTGGGTAGAACGTTTCGTTTAGAGGGTCGCAAGGGTCGCATCACGCACGAGCACTTCGCGACCAGATGCGACCTGGTCAAAGTCAACGGATCTACTCCGTAAAGCCCAGAGGCTTTGCTTTGTCTCTGTATGATGCAGGGGGTCGCCGATCGTCCGAGGTACATTCGAGTCCACTGCAAAGGACAGACAACAGTCCAATACGGAGAAAGGAGCATGGATATTTTCACAACTGAAGACTCCGATCTGTACAATGTGAGCTGTAAGGGTGGGGATGGACGATATTGACGAGTGGCTGGGGAGTCCAGTCTCAAACCCTCTTATCCCCGTGTTTCAGCCAAGTATGAGGCAATAAATAATCATCCAGACAACGGGGGGATAAGAGAATAAGAGAATTAAAAAGAGTTCAAAAATTCTCGCATGAAAAGATTGAATAATCTGACGAAGGGGCTAACTACAGATTCCAACCTGTTTCCCGCTGATTAGCGCCTGTTTCCTATTCAGGTAATATTGATGCCTTGCAGCCTCATCTGCCTCATTTCATTAAGACTTCATCACACCCGTGATCACACTGCAGATCAAACTAGCTTCTAGATCTGATGCTACCATGGCTTGGGGTTGCCTTCTTATTAAGGTAGTTTCAGTGATAGTTATTATAGGTTCATCCTTAAGTGTGAATTAGTGGCTGAACTACATCCTACAATGTACGATGTATATGCTCGACCTAATCTAGGAAATGAGATCATGTGGAAACTTGAAATTAAATATGTCAATATTCCCTGGGCATACTCCGTACTCCGTAGGTGTCTGGGGTCTCACGGCTCTATCAGAGCCCTTACTTGGCATGGTTGGCCCTTGATGTAGCATACATTCCAGTCCTGGGGAGAGAGGAATGAAATGCACATCCTTATTTCGCGCTCTCGCAAATGAAGAACTACGGATGTCAAGTAACCAAGCACATCATATGTATGTTTGGATTCTCTTTTCCGATGGCTCTCATTTGAGGGGATATGATCTTCATTTGAAAGTGTACACCTAGCTAATCTCGTACTGCGAATACATCAAGGATGAACACGGTAGACTTTCGAAAACTTGAAATAGAATTTATGCCTCTACCATATGAGGAAATTTCCTATTCGAGATCCATTCACGCCATTGAGCGTGGGTGGTCACTGCATGCTCATATAATGAGTGGTAACCCTAGACGATGGACCTCCCAAGGTCGGGATTCCTAGATAGTTACTAAGCACGGCATTAGGCCGGGGCCCCGGCACACGGCTAAACCTAACGCTGTACGCTGTTGGACGGTTTCTCTTATATGACTTGATCTACATAGCCATGTGGGGCCAAATGTAGGTAATATGTCAAGATATTCCTAATACGGAATATGTTGTATATCAATGGAGCTTCATCCCATATTTATATCCTCCTCACTTCCAAGGCTGGTATGCTTTCGTAGATAAAGTAGATAAAGCATTCCAGGAAAGGGTTCCAAGGTCGAGATCCATCTTCATACTGGGGCTCTCCGGATGATTAGGAGACTAGAAGCATAGCGGATGTTCTCAGATGGGCACCATAGGTTGGTTAAAGCAATATAAATCTGTGAATTTGTGAATCTATGAATCCAGAATTCTACAGATCCAATAATCCCAAGCATGTGGCAACGGGTGATGACGATATCAATATCCACACAAGCCAGGGTTGTAAGACTTTTGGAATCAGGTCAAACCAGCATTTGATGTGAAATATTACCTTGACAAGGTAGTATTGTCTAGGAATATTCCAAGAAATCGAATTGCCTATACAGGTTAGGAGTTAGGAGGTCTGGCCTCTGGTCTCTGGTATCAAGTCTCTGGGGTATATCCAAAAGAAAGAACATCCCACAGACTATGCAATGAAGATATCAGAATAATATACTTTGAATATAGATAGATTGCCCATTACCGTGGATCAGTGGCGTACCATGACGTCCTGCGAGGATGGTGGACTTGTCTGGTCTTGGCAGATGACATCGCAGGGAAAGATCTCTCATTTCGTCATAGTTCTCCCCCGCCATCATCTTCTCTCTCTCCTTTTTTTCTTGGTCTGTAGGTTTCTGGTCTTGCTTTTCTCTCTATTCCTCTTGTTTTTGTGATTTTTCAAACTCCATCAGTGGAGTAAATCCATCCTTCGACTTGTTTGAAACGCTTCCCCCATTGAAAATCCCTGCTTCAATCGCCGACACCCTTCTCTTCGATCTCTCTGTTTTCCTTTCTTTTCCGAAATCAAACTAAGACATCCAAGACATCTGTTTACGAATCGCGATTCTTCTTCGATATCATGAGTACAATACAGAATATCAAGAATTTCATCCGGCATGGCAAGCAGGCCCGCCTTGTCACCCCTCATTCCGAGCCGACGACCGACGTTTCCACTATCCATGCAGAGCCACAACGCCAACCGATAGGTCAATATTCACCTGCACTCGAGGCTTTTGGCCCTGAAGGCAGAGCCAATGCCCTCCAGAAACCTGATTCTCAAATCAGACAGGATCGCTCTGTCGAAATCGAACGTCTAGTGGCAGAGGAGAACTTGAACCGATCAAAGATGCCCAAATACCCTGGCCTAGAGCGCTGGATCTTGGTAGAGAAGATGGGCGACGGCGCCTTCAGTAACGTTTATCGGGCCAAGGATACGACAACGGAATATGGCGAGGTGGCCATCAAGGTCGTCCGCAAATTTGAAATGAATAGCAATCAGGTAGGTTCTACCGCGAGGTGCCTTGCTCTTCTTGTTTTCCTTGTGGTTTTTGTGTTTTCCTTCCTTCATCGTTACATGGTTTGCAATCTGTCTATAAACATGGCCAATACGTTATGTAGAACGATCCTCACTATCCAACGGTCAAAAAAATCCCCGAGGCGGCGGAGGTGCGCATACAATTCTTTTTCTCACGCTCGGCTTACTTCATGGCAACTTGCGTCTGCCGGCGAAATGATACACTACCCTATGGCATTGCCTTTTTACATGGTTGTGCATCAATCTCGTTTCGTCATTACTGACTAGTCATTTTTAACAGCGGGCAAATATTCTCAAAGAGGTTCAGATTATGCGCAATCTCGACCATCCCAACATCGTCAAGTTGATTGATTTTTCCGAGTCGCGGCAATATTACTACATCGTCCTCGAACTTTGCCCCGGGGGTGAATTATTCCACCAGATTGTCCGATTGACGTATTTCAGCGAAAATCTTAGCCGCCACGTCATCCGCCAGGTTGCGGAAGCGATTGAATATCTACACGAGACATCGGGTGTCGTTCATCGGTTTGTCATCCTGTCTGTAGCGATTTGCGCTTGTGAAAGCTAACATTCTCATGAAGTGACATTAAACCGGAAAACCTCCTGTTCTATCCAATTCCCAACGTTCCCAGCAAGAATCCCAAACCTCAACAACCAGGCGACGAAGACAAAGAAGATGAGGGAGAATTCGTCCCTGGAGTTGGTGCGGGTGGTATTGGTAAGATTAAGCTTGCAGATTTCGGTCTGTCCAAGGTGATTTGGGATAGCCAGACGATGACGCCTTGCGGTACCGTCGGATATACAGCACCAGAAATCGTCAAGGACGAGCGTTACTCCAAAAGTGTGGACATGTGGGCCATGGGTTGTGTGCTCTACACACTTCTCTGTGGATTCCCTCCGTTCTATGACGAGAGCATCCAAGTCCTTACCGAGAAAGTGGCGCGCGGCCAATACACTTTTTTGTCACCTTGGTGGGATGATATTTCCAAGTCAGCCCAAGATCTGATCTCGCATCTCCTCACCGTGGACCCGGAAAAGCGGTACACCATCAAGGAGTTCCTTGCACACCCCTGGATCCAGGGTACCGATGAGGAGACTACCGCTGCCGCAGACGCACCCCCTCTAGCAACGCCCTACCTCCATACCGAAAAAGGCCCGCAGCAGCTCGACTCCTCCAGCGCCGAACACGGGCCCTACCAGCCCGCCAGTGCCCGTTTCCTCGATCAACCATCCGTTGCAGCAGACCGGCGCATGGACTTCCGATCTCCGGGCGCCTTCAACCTCCGTGAAGTCTTTGATGTTGGCTATGCAGTGCACAGACAAGAAGAGGAAACAAAGCGTCGTGTGATTGCGCGCCAATCCAACCGCAGTGGTACGGCAGGATTCCAGTCGGCACTGGGTGCTCTCAACGAAGATTATGACGACGAACCCGAATACAGCAACAACCTCGGAGGCCAACCACTCGCTAAAGTGGCCACTCGCCAAGGTGACATGGCCGGAATGGAAGCCAAGCTCCGATCCACGAACCTCGGCGCTCAAAGCAGCGCTGCACAAGCACGACAACTGCCCCACCAGTCAAAGCCTAAACAGGGCTACGGGATGCATGACGCTGCTGTCGCGAGTGCTGCAAAGAGCTCTATTCGCAAGCATCAGCAGCCGTTCGAGCTTACTCTGAGTGGTTCCACATTGCTAGAGAAGCGTGGCCGTCGTAATCAACCGGTGGCTTAAACAGGATGTATTTCTTCCATTGGGGTCATGATGTGATGTCTTCATAACGTCTTTACACTTTGTTGATGAGCGATATTTTCAGATATTTTTATCTCTTGTGTTTTTGTTTCATGGCCATTTTCTTCTTTGTTCGTTATTTTCTTTTTCTCGAGCTCTTTGCGCGTTATCTGATCGGTCCCGGCGAGGAACCTGCACGCTACATAGTCACAATTGGAAAATGGGTGAAGTGGGTTTTCTTTTTCGCTTTCTCTTGATTATCCGGGAGCTTGCTTGGACTGGAATGGAGTTCTGGCATTTTCTTCTTTTTCTCTTTGCTGTCGTTATCATAACTAAGGGTTACGTCCATATTTGTCAAGGATTGGATAAGCATATTTTTCAACATTGCAAGGTTGGAACCTTGAAAGGTTTCACGTATTTCATATAATCTTCCTTTGAGTAGCAGTCTCCATCTAGTCTTTTCTTATAGTACTGACGTAGAAACTTATTCCCGGCCGCTGGTCTATTAAGCCGAAGGGCGAGGTACTATAAAGCTATGTACTTGATTTCCTCCGCCAAGGCTTCCTATCTTAGCTGTCGCCCATTTCTTGGGGGCGCTCAGAGTCAGGCTCACTGAGTAGATTTCAGTCGGGGCTCAGATTCAGTGAGCTGCTCAGTGCTCAGATAAATCATGTGATGGACCACTCAGGCGCAAAATCAGGGCATAACCAGTTGATCGATTAACGAGATTGAATTTGGTAATATGATAAGAGGTGGTATTCTGCCAAGAGAGAAAGAAAAAGAAAAAAGAAACGAAAGAACTCAAGCGGGGAGATCACGAATAATTCCAGCTTTTTTCTGCGCAACGTACAGATGGGCATTTCCGGGCGAGGTGGCAAAGAATAAATAGTCACGCATGGCCTTCCCTGAGAGGCGTACATCTCCCGGACTGTCTGGCTTCACAATAGCACGCTCTTCAAACCAGGGGGTAAGTGGCACAAAGGCAGAAGTGAGAATTTGCATGTCAATAACCATTGAATGCTGGAAAGCCGGGCCATTGGCGGTTGTTACTTGCACTACGCCTCGCATGGCTCCAATGTGGAGTACCATGTTGAACTGGAGTGCCTGGAGATCGGAAGAGAAGAGGGTAAGCACGTTGCTTCCAGTATCATTGCATACTAAGAAAGGCCGTGTCAAGTTTCCGATGCCACCATATCTGGGAGATATCCTGATCTGAGCATGTAGCTAGGTTTTGTTAGTTAATGACCTCAATTAATCGTTGACGTAACTCGGATTGATATACCTGGTGCATATGGAGGGTGTTCGAATAAGCGAATGTTTCTGAAACAGACTGGGCCATTTGCTGCGGCTAATATTCATAGCACATGATTAGCCAAAGACTCTTGACAATACCATATAGGGTTGGTTATATGATATTTGCCTGGAACTCATGTTGCGACATCATTTGCTGATAATCTAATGTCTGAATATGTTATAAGTGTGAGCCAGTATGATATATAGCCAATAGGTCGAAGGATATTCAACAACATACCTCGCACCATCTGATTCCTGTCTTAGCTGCATCTTCCCACGAGTCCTTGTCGACTCGTTGTCCATCGATAAGGTAGACTGGGGGATCGGATCGTTGGCGTGGTCCGAGCTCGCCACTTTCATACAGGCGAATGAGGGCTTCGGCATTCACACGCTGGGCTTTGCCGAAATCAGTCTGCAGACAAGCTTTGAGTTGCTCGACGCGCTCTTCTGGCTGCAGAATGTAGGGTATCGGACACGGACATGCAGGACTGAATTGGGGATGTGGATCTGGCATATTGGAGATGGTTGGTGGAAAATGTGGAAAATGTGGGATTGTGTGGGTTAGAGGAAAGTGGTGGGGCTCGCTTATCCTAGTCTGGTTAGCGTGTCACATGTCTTTCATTGGATAATAATACCTTACCGCCTACATCACCGCCTTCACAAACCATCTTCAATAATAGTACGACCAACCATTGATCTCAGACTATATGGCTTTTTTAGTGTATTTCTTTGGTATCTTATTTGGTGTATTTTATACTTATCTAGCTTTTTTAGTACTTATGTGAGCACTGAGAGAGCTTCTCCCATTCCTCATGGCCGTCTTTCGCATCCCCAATTTAAACGAGGCTGAGGTCGTGGCACAGGTCGTGGCACTAGTCATACAGAAAGGCTGAACTCTCTTCTGAAAAATACCGCTCGTTCAAGGCACAGACAGAATACCAGTAAGTGAGCTTTAAGGGATCGCTCCAGATGTCCAGTGGGCGAAAGCCACTTTTACCCACTGAGCAAGGTAAATCCGAAAGTGGCAGAGGAAGTCAAGTACATAGGTAGACAAAGACCAGTGGTGGCTTTTTTTTTATAGGCCAAGTACATTTTATGAGTTCGTGATTTGACCTGGAATTTAAGAGAGAAAAACACAAACTTGGTATCTTGATTGGTATCTATGTTCAAGTTCAGAGGCCACCTGGGAATGGCCACTGGATGATGATATATATGACAAGAACACTCTATCCGGTCCATATATTCCCCCCGAGTGCTTTGAGCATGTCAATCCATTGGTCGAATCATTCAGATCGCAATGGCAAGGGAACGGATTCGTGATATATGGGTGCGGTGTCCGTTTTCATTTTGTCGAGTTCTCATCTTGCACTTTCCAACACAAGCAGAAGGCTGTGTGAAAATCGACAATATGCAAGACATTTTGGCAAACCGAAGAGATTTAATCCGCTTCTTAAAGGGTCTGCTTACCCCGAGTCTCAATGGGTAGAAGACACATAGCTACAAAAGAAGCCAGAATCAACCCGCCGGACGCATAGATGGGCGAGTTGGGGTTCGCACTACCGGCATATATAGCGACAAGGGGAGCACAGAGACCAGTGATACGGTTCAAGCAGCTGGAGATACCAGTGCCAGTACCGCGGTTCGGAGCAGGGAAGGTCTCGGGGGTGTAGGCGAACAGGACACCGTACATAATGTTCTGGAAGAAGGCCTCGAGAGAACTGCATAAAAGCTGGATGTCTGAGTTCGTAGATACGGTAAAGCAGAACAGCAACACACCGGTGATCAAGGTGGAGATTGCCATGGTGCCCTTGCGACCAATGTACTTGAGCTCGACCGTCCAGCAAGCCAGAAGAGAGCCAGGAAGACCAACGATAGAGGTGATGGCGTAATTGCGGTAAGTGATGTAGTTCGAGTTGGTCTCACCACCGGATTTGGAGAGGTACTGCGGCAGGAAAGCGTTGAAGAGAGGGTAACCCATGCCGATGGTGGCCCAGCAGAACCAGAGCAGAACGGTATTCCAGCCCATGCGCTTGTTAGCGAACAGGGGCGCAATGCGCTCCATTGAAAATTTGGAGAAGAAACGGCCCACGATTTGAGAGTAAGGGAGCCCTGTCTCTTTCTCGTGCACCTCGACATGACCACCAATTTCGTTGAGGATCTCGCTGGTCAACCAGGTCTTAGTGCCGTTCTTGTGGGCAATGCCATGAATAGCGGCGACGGCTTCTTCCTGGCGGCCACGGGAGAGCAGGAACTTGGGCGACTCGTACAAGTGGAAACAGAAGAAACGTAGGATGAACATGACAAAAGTGATGGCACCCAGAGTGAGAACCAGGTAGCGCCAGCCCATGTTGTTCTCCTTGGTGCAACCTTCATAGCTAGTGCAGCTGAAGTTAGGAATGAAAGCCCATGCAAGCAGACTGCCGATTAGTTGGCCAAAAGGCCACCAGATACTCAACATGGTCAACATGTTGCCGGAGACAAAGGGGAGGAACTCCAGGAAAAGAGCACCATCGACAGGCAGGTTACCACCTACACCAAGACCCAAGCAAGCGAACAGAGCACATGTACTGCATTTATGATCAGCGCAAAATTCAAAATGAGTTATTCTCATGAAGACTTACCCAATCCAAGTAGGGCCACCACCGGCAGCCAGACCAAAGGCACCAGCCATAAATAGAGTGGTGTTAAAAGCAAGACGACGACCAACAATATCAGACGCAATACCCCAGAATGAGGCACCAATACAGAGACCTAAGAATAAAGCACAAGTGGTAAAACGCACCCACGTATCGGAGAGTCCGAATTCGTAGGAGATAGGGGTCAGCGTCAGGGCAACTCCCTACACATGGTTAGATTTGATTTGTGTGATTTGTTTGATTTCGATCTCCTACCTGAAGCCAAAGGTTGTCTGCTGTCCAACCAAAACCACAAAGGAAGAACAGCTCCCATTGATACCGGCCCATGCCGATATCCTGCAGGGCTCTGTTGATCACCTTTGCCTTGCCTGTGTCGTCGAGTTAGATCAAACCCCCAATTTCAGGGAGTTTTCATACGGGAACTAGTGTGAAAATGTGGGATGAACATACGGTCATAGGCAGAGTCATGGGTAGCCGTGGAAATATCAGACTCGATTTCTGCACGAAGGGCTTCGAGGGTCAGATGAGTTGGATCTTTGGAGCCAGCAGCACCATTCTCCGAGGAAGACGAGCGGTCCGAGCTCTGGCTGGACTCCTTGTCTATCTTTTCCGAGAGGGAGTGGACAGGCGCATCGGCGAGTGGTATGACAACGCTGGGAAATGTCGGACTATCCTTTTTGAAAGGGTTAAATTTTTCGAGTCCCATAATGACGGTTTTATATGGCGCTTTGGAATATAGTTTTCAGTCGCCTGGGATTTGCTGCTTCCTGTCTGGTATGTCGCTTTTCGCTTGTTCTATACCGTGAATGTATCGCTGGGAATTCGATGAGAGGTCGACGGTAGATCTACAGATGTGGGAAGGAGTTGCAATGGGGTCATATATCGTAAATCCGGGGGCAATTCGCTGTGGGCCGAAAGTGTCGCAAGGACAATGGTCGAGATATACTGCTGTCAGGGTTTGCAAATGGGCTTGTCGCTATCGATGCTGGGTTTGTCGCAGTCGCAGTCGATGAGACAGTTGTCTCCAGGGTAGTGCAAGCTTGCTACTGAAGAGCGGAAGTACCTCGTGCGCGGCCTTTGTTGAAATGGATTTCTTTTCTCTCGCAAGGTGATGATGAATGATATAAATGATCCGAGGGCATGAACCAGAGGTTCTGCCACAGGGATATAAGATAAAAAGCTAAGAGACGAAGCTCTAGCAAGATATATGAAGGAATTAAGGCAAGCTGGGGGTAGCTATACCTTGTCCAAGATGTTTTGAGAGGTAGCGAGGGGAAAGTTGCGAATTGACAAAAGAGGAAAGAAGGGAAAATGGCGAGGTGGGATTCCAGAGTTGCTATATACTATTAGGGCAATATGCTTCCTTTTTTTTCTTTTTCTTTTATATTACCATTGGTTCTCTAGTACGAGATTTCATCACTGGTCAACGCCGAAAAGTGGGACTGCCAGGAAAAGGTGTGATGACATTCTGATATTCTGCTATGGTCTGTAATTTGAACAAATCTGAACATTTGCCCGCCTTTGGCCTCGCCGAGTGCATATAAATTAGAATGAAGACATACTTGGCAGTTGGACCTGATATGTTTCCAGGTTTGGAAACCGCCCTACCACCTGCCGTAACTAGAATGAGCTTTCTATAATGTCTATCTCCCCTTATTTTTCTGTGGTTGGGCTTTCATAGCTGTAATTAAAGCATATCCTCGTACTCTATTGGTAAATTCAACACTCATCTTTTATGAGCAGTACCAGCAGAATCCAAGGTGGTCAAAAAGAAAATTGTACATAAGAGGTTCCACTATGGCGTATTATATTAGTAAAATTGTTGATGTTAGTTAATAATTCACAGCTGCACAGGGAATAGCTCAAAAGGAATACTCAAAGACCTGTAGCACGGTACTTCTAATGTTCTTGCGATCTAGGATTGAACGCCACCGAGGTAAATCCGATATACTATTCAGCCTCAAGGGTCTTCAACTTCTACCTTTATACATATCCGGCTACTCTGTATGCAAAATTCAAATGGTCCTATATAGTCATCACAGATATATTTACCAACATATCAAACATTAGAAAAGGTCGAAATAATGAACACATTTGACTCTACCCTGACCCGAGACCTCATTGGCCTTCATGATCCACCAGAAAAATTTTGCAGTAAGACAGACCACTCTATCCGTACCCGTACCTCTCACTAGTACTCTTGTTTTGGGCGAAGTATTGAGAATACGGAGATCAAGAACCGCATGCGTGCTCCGCTTGAACGTCACCCTCTACGTTGCCCTTCTTACCTCTCTCCCAAGATATTCAAGATGTTTTAGTTCTACAGTATAATAATATAACAGCAATCCTGGATCCTTGCGAATACCAAAAATAACGTTAAAATCTTGTACAACATAGAATAAGAAAACAAAAAATGGTTGAACTCACCAACGTTGAGGATCATGAATCTTGGCGGGCGCATCCATGCCGCATTCAGACCAGGGGGAATCCTTGCTCTCGGCCAATCACAGCACTTGAATACTCCCGTAACCTCCAAGGCTCCTTCCCGGATAACTTACTGCTTGCCATTTTGGGAGTGTTGTGCATACGGCCTCTAGCATTACCTGCTCGGAAACTGCTTATGTTCTTGACTTGGAGAGACTCTACACGGCTCAATACTGCAGAGAATAGGTGGCTCTCGGTTATGTGTCGAACATTCTTAACATCCGGTTTTTGTTCCCTTTCAATACCTTTCTTGCAGAGTGGATAAGTCAATCCGAAAATTTGGAGGGTCAGGAACGACTCCACTAAGAATAGCTTTTACCTTTAATTCCTTGTGTTGGATCACTACGGTCCGGTTTATAACATACAACATACAAACAAATCCCCTGCACCGGCCCGGCGATTGTCGTACATGGTTTGTCCCTTTTAATATGCGAAACTGGTAACCAGCTAGAGTACACCACTTGGTAGCGGCTTGCGATGTATATACCAGCCAAAGGGTTGTGCGTGATTTCTCTGAGTTATACTGAGTACCTTGTAGGGCACTGCAAGAGATTTCAGGTACTCGCAAGCTTAGGCGGAATGAAAATACTACTCCTACCAATAAAGCCGATTCTAGGCCCGCCAAGACTTCCACACATATGTTGTAATGAAGGCCTAATCGGGCAAGATATTCGGCATTCATTACAGTCAATCGTATGAGGCATCAGAAATAGCCACGGCATAGGGAATGATAAACTCGATGGGATTTGATCTCTAGATACCCTATGGTGATACACTTTGTAGCCTATTTCCAGACTCCGGTGTCATGCATGAGCGGTTCTGCCCTATAAACTACATAGATTCATGGCTTATATTTTATATACATATTGTCTTGATATAAAATCTGCATATGTGAGGATTCGTCCTTTGCTAATAAAACACTAGAGTTCCTCGGTGCGTCTGAGCAACCATTCAAGGTGGCGATAAGCCACACGAGGCTGGTACTGCGGTTGCATGTGACCAGCCTGGTAACTCTGAGCCCACATCAGACCACGCTCATAGTGCTGAACACCCATGATACCCTGAGAACCATCGAGACTAGACGCACCGTTCTCCGCAAAGACATCGGCGTACAAGAGGTCCGGAATTTTGATATCGATGGGAGTGTGTGGCTTCTTTTGGAAACCGAGGTGGCCGTTCCAGGTCATATTCTGGATGGCTAGGAGCGTACCGTTGGTGATAATAACCATGTCAAAGTCACCGTTTGCAATGAGAACGCGGTTAGTAGCCTCGATGACCTGCGGCAAGACGTGCTCGATCGGGTTCGCCGAAATGTCGCCTTCTTGCTCCGGGCCGGAGTCGCCACCGACATACACGGGCTCGAGGGAACACCCGCTCCAGGTCTCATTGGGCGCGTGTAGCGCTCGCTTGACATCTGCGCGATCGAAGTAGACGCTTGCTCCAGGCGCTTGATAGTCGAGCGAGGTGGGGAAGGCGAGAACGTCCCAGAGGAGCGGGCACATCTGGTTGATCTCGTAGAGGTTGAAGCATGGGTTGATGTGGAAGATTTCATCGTAGACGAGGTCAAACAGATCACAGTCGTCGGCCAAGCTGCTGGATAACATGGGCGGCTGGACTTTGGGTGGCGGGAAAGTGAGGTACTTGTCGATGAACTCCTCGTATCCGCAGGATTTGTGCTTCTTTTCGAGCTCTGCCATGAATGATTCGTTGAAGTTAAACAGGTTTGCGTTTTGCTGGACGAAGGGCACAACGGGCACTTCTTCCTGCACGGAGTCGAACTGTCCAATGCACGGGTCGTATGCCAGCGCGCCTGGGTAAGTAGTCAGAATTTGCATCCAAGCCTCTTGAATATTCGCGATAACTCACCATCTAGGTCGAAATACTCCTTGTCTTTTTCGTCGAGCATCGCAGCTGAGATGTAGGGCACGTAACGTCCAGCATAACTCTCACCAGTGACATAGATCTTGAAGTTCTTAATTCCAAAAATCTTCTGGAAGTTCTTGAAGAACTTGACAAAGTCCTCTGCTGTCTCTTCTTGTGAAACAGCAGTTGGTGTGCCGACGGAGTAGCCTGTTCCGATAGGCTGGTCGACCCTGCGAGATGTTAACAGGGTTTGGGGTTCATATGCATGACAATTACTCACCACAACACATTGGTTAGGTTGACCCAAGCATAAGGGTTCTCTACCGGGGCAAAAGTACCAGGTTGCCATATGAAACGACCAGTCTCTTGCAAGAAACTCTCCATCGAACTGCATCCAGGGCCACCGTTGAGCCAGATGGTCACTTCGTCTACGGGCTCGTTGATGGTAGGCTGGAAAATGAAGAAGAGCGATCTGGAGCTATTGTTCATATCAATTGGCACCAGACCAGAATACATCTCGCCGATATCAAATGAAACATCCGGCAGGGAGTCGACCAGGTAATCTATAGGTCTATTAGAGATTTTGCTGCTGACAATGATATAGCTCGACACTCACGCTTAGTCTTCTTGCTCAAGAAGCGGTAATCTTTGTCCGATTTCGCATGTTTCTGGTTACGAGCCTCAACTGCCCGTTTGGCCTTCTCTTGTGGTGCACGAGCTATCTCTGCAAAGCGACCGTGTTTGGAGGCAGTCGCAAGATCCGATCCCAGCGAAAGGGCCAGGAGAGCAGATGACAGGACTGACTTGAGTAACATCCTGGACCGGTGGGTATGAATGGGCCAGAGGGCAGATGGGATGTGTCTCTTTTTTTGTCTCGGGGAGGGGACGCAGCTATATACTGCCCCCGAAAGGCCCTACCAATAGCCCCCCGACCGGTGCACTCGGTATCTGTAGGCCCATTTAATTTAATAAAAGGCTACCTTGCCAGACTAAGTGCTTCCAAGTGGATGATTGGAAGAAATCCTTAGCTCCAGGCCGGATGCTTCTTCTGCGCCACCTGGGCACGACCCCTTGTTCGTATCCACTGTTATCGCATCCCGGGGTCGACCCCAGGATGGTAGGCTCACCTGTGTATCTTGCTGCTACTTCTTTTGTCCCTGGTCTAGGTATAACGCCGGTGGTTTGTCTGCGATGTTGGGCAGTTATAAAAACGCTAATCGCATGAATGGTTGCTCTAATAATTCGGTCGCATTGTGCATAGCTATCATTGGGACCGGATGAGCGACGGATTCCGGCGAGATCGACGTTTATCTCTCACTTTGGGATAACAAACTCCGTGAGTGAAAAGCGGGGGCAGCTCGCGATTGGTCTGGTGTGCTTCTTGTCCCGGATAAGCATCGCGTAGCCTGGAACAGTTGTATTGGTCTGATAGAGGAATCTTCATCATTATTCATATGTTGTACGTACTGCTCAAAACCTCACATGTGAACATCATCTGACTTCATCTGACTTATCTCCTTTGGTGGATAGATTCGGCATACCGGGGAAGAATACTGCCAGGTGAGATCCGTATATGAGCCGAGGTTCCCGCAGCTCTTAGGTATAATTCAGATCCTAGGCATGCCAAGCTTTCCACCAATAGTAGCTCGAAAGCACTTGTTCTAACAGGCCTCCTTTTCACTGAAGAGCATCAGCTGATGTGATCAAAATACTCGATAGACATGTTCCTTTTTTGAGATAAATAAGGGTCCTTCTACTCCGTAGTGTGCGTTTGTTTAACGTAGTCTCAAAAGCGAAAACAAAAAAAAAAAAAGAAAAAAAGTGGACTCGCGGGGAATCGAACCCCGGACCACTCCCATGCTAAGGGAGTATTATACCACTAAACCACAAGCCCAGTTTGATGGAAGAGGCTGCCTTTTAAATACTGATGAGCCTACACAATAATTCTTGCGCTAGACTACTCAGCAGACAAGATTCTATGCTAGTCAAGTAAGACTAAGGTTGCATTTTTAAATATTACATGTTTCATGCTTACACACTTCTAGAATTTCCAGCCTGGGGAGGTTATATGAGATTCACATACATTAAATGGCCGATGATAAAAACCTGATCGTGGTTATATATATATATCTACCTGCATCACCATCCGATTGCGTGCGATTCCATGTATAGTACATCAACCTTCTACTTTTTCTTTAGAATTGTAGTAATGTATTCAAGTATAAACCAACTAACCAGTAAAGTCATGTCTACTTACGAATAGTTAATGTTATGCCCGGATGTAGCTAAGTATATGCGCTCCGCATGCGTTTCGAATGTCTCGCGGAGTTCGGAAGTTCGGAAGTTCGGAGTTTTACCACCATTCATAGCTATAGCCGACAAATACATTGAATCATCCCGTATAGATTGTCATTCTATATGATGCCAACAAAAAGAACCGTCAGTAATGTATATCAATCAAGCTATGTTGTTCAATTGAGAGCACCGAGTGATAGTTCTGAAGTCCCCCATCATTTAGTCGGTGTAGAACAACATGTATAGACAAATAATATCCCCAAGGCGTCGGGTATGGATCTAAGCACGATAGATCCACTTCCTTCCCTGCCAATTATCACGTACCCCGAAAATTTCTCTTCTTTAATTATTACACTTAAACTCCAATGGGATTGATTCCGCGGAAAATTATTAGCCTGGGCACTTTTGCATATGAGTCTTTTGGAAGTTTCGATTTCTAATATGTACTGCCCCTCCTTCAAATACTTTCTCCTACAATATCATCCTGGATCCTCAACCTCAGAGATCTAGGACTTCATTACCCCTTAATGCAACAAAGAGAATATAATAGCTGCTCTCTCCACATAGAATGTCTACCAATGTCGGGTCTGCCGGCGGCAAGACCGGCGATCATGAATTCGATATTTTGAACACCAACCAGAGCGCCACATCCTTTGACCAGAAGACTACTGCTCACATGGTCAATGAGAAGTTTGACACGGAGGCTGCACCAGAGCAAGAACCCAGCCTAGATGATGTATACCGGACAGCATCCACCGTGGCACCATCTCAGAGATCAGCCAGAAGAGACCCCATTAGTCGAGCGACTACAGACGCTGAAGGGAACATCTACCCCGAGGGAGGACTCGAAGCCTGGCTGGTAGTGCTGGGCAGCTTCCTCGGTCTCTTTGGATCGTTGGGCCTGGTCAACACCATTGCCACATTTCAAGCATATATCCAAACCCATCAACTAAAGGAATACAGCTCAGGAACCAATGGCTGGATTTTCGGAATGTTTGCCTTTCTCACTTTCTTCTGTGGAGTGCAGGTCGGTCCCATCTTTGATGCTCGAGGCCCACGTATTCTTGTCTTCGTGGGTTCCGTGTTTGAAATGGCCATGATCATCCTGCTCGGCTTCTGCACTGAATACTGGCACTTTATGATGGTCATCGGTGTACTGGGTGGAGTGGGAGCGTCCCTCATTTTCACACCGGCGGTCTCGGCGATTGGCCACTATTTCTATGAGAAACGTGGAGTTGCGACTGGCGTTGCTGCCACTGGCGGCTCTGTCGGAGGCATTGTTTTCCCTCTGATTCTAGAAGCTCTATTCCCCAAGATTGGCTGGGCCTGGGCCACTCGGGTTGTTGCGTTGATCTGTCTGGTTGTGCTATCAATTGCAAACCTCTTGATCAGGTCTCGACTCCCGCAGAAGCCATTTTCCAAGGAGAACGTGCTTCCTGACTTCCGCATCTTTCGAGACCCGCGGTTCGTACTTACTACCGCCAGCGTCTTCTTTATTGAGTGGGGTCTTTTCGTGCCAATTAGCTACATCTCATCCTACGCCCTCGACCATGGTTTCTCTAGCAAGTTCTCATACCAGATAATTGCCGTCTTGAATGCCGGCTCATTCTTTGGGCGATGGCTGCCAGGATTCTTTGCCGATTTTCTTGGTCGCTTTAACACTTTGATCGCGACGGTAGCGCTCTGCGTGCTCTGTAACGCCTGCCTGTGGCTTCCCGCTGGAGATAGTATGCCTCTGCTGATCGTTTACGCTGTTATTTTTGGATTCTCAAGCGGCAGCAATATCAGCCTGACGCCAGTCTGTGTCGGCCAACTCTGCAAAACCGAACACTATGGCCGGTATTACGCAACTGCCTATACCATAGTGAGCTTCGGGTGAGTTTTTTTTTTACTTGTGATGTCACTTGCGTATCTATAACTGACATACGTTTGCCACCAGAACTCTCACCGGAATCCCTATTGCAGGTGAGATCCTGGCACGCTGTGATGGGTCTTACTGGGGCCTTATCACCTTTACCGTATGCTGCTATGCGGCTGGTCTTGCATGCTGTACCGCCGTGAAGGTCATTGAAGTTGGCTGGCGTCACCCTCTCGCGATCTATTAAATGTTTGGATTCGGTATCCGGGACCCCGATGCTGGTTGATCTAATAATCTCGACACGATTTCATGATTTCAAAGATGAGCATAGACAGAAAAGTCCTTTCCCCCTTCGGCTTGCATTTTATATCCGGCGTCCATGACCGAGTGATTTGTTATACATATGTGGTTGCTAGTAATGTCTATATTTATCAATCTGTGATTGCAATTCTATCGTTAGCCAACTAGTCGGATGCAATTTATAAAATTTCCGACATGATCGGTTCGGCCCTTCAGCTGTACTCGAACTGGTAGCTAGAAATAAAATAATTTGCCGCCATTGAGGCAATATAAAAAAATATAAGGGTTGGTAACTCAGGGTCAGGTTCCCTGCAGGGCTGAACAGGGCAGAACACGTCGCATAAGATATCCGACAGGCACCGGAGCTATGTAAACATCTGGTCACAATGATGCCTTTGTACCTTAACCAACCATGGATTTCACCACTGGGAATGATTTCCAATAGGAGCAGACTCAGCTCTTACCATGGAAACTACAAAGCCATCGAAAGCTTAACAAAAAACAAGCATCGACATCACCCCAGGCCAGTCCCTGTCGCTGCTATGACATCAAATGGCCATTAATCCATCACCATTGAGTCTTCTAGCCTCTCGCTACATATACAACGTTAATCTCGCATCTCCTCCTCAACATCCTTTTGCACTCGGGACTTTGCTTTCCTTTCAATCGCCTCGAACTCTCTGGTGAGCATTTGCTTCGTTGCTCAACTCGCTATCTAAGAAGTCCTGACGGCCTTCTACACCAGCTCATCCATCAAAACCACAGCACCCGGAACCACCGGCAAACTTGCATCGGCCACATTTGCTCAATCGTCCTGCATATACTTGCGCTGGTCCGAATCATGTTTTCAACAAGATGCTTGGTTCTGCTAGCCTGCTCCTTGACTCTTCTACGGGGTGTCGTGGCTGTCCCGGCGGATGTGGCGCTAGAGCAGCCCGGCCTTGAGGATCGTCGTCGAGAGGAGCGTGACTTTGGACTGCAGGAGCGCCACGGCCATCCTGAGCTTGAGAGCTCGCTCCTTTCTATTCTAACCGAGAAGTTAGCTACGAAGACCGCCCCAGGAGGAGGAGGAGGAGGAGGTGCTACTACCGTCCCCGGTGAAGGTGGCGCTACTACCGTCCCTGGTGGAGGAGGTGGTACCACGGTCCCTGGGGAAGGTGGCGGTACTACCGTTCCTGGCGGAGGTACAGTTCCTGGCGGAGGTGGCGCTACTACCGCTCCTGGCGGAGGTACAGTCCCGGGCGGAGGTGGCCCCACTACCGCCCCTGGTGGAGGTACAGTCCCTGGCGGAGGCGGTGCTACTACCGTCCCTGGCGGAGGTGGCGGTACTACAGTGCCTGGCGGAGGAGGTGAGAAATCTACTACATTATTTTCTGCAAGCACTATTCTTACTCTCCCTGATACTCAAGGCGGAACTTCACCCGGTGGAGGTACGACTGCTACTCCAACTGGGGGCACTGAAACTTCTCCCACTGGCGGTGCTACTACGACAACCGGACCTGCTCCTGGCGGCAATGTTAGTCTCCCCCCCACAAGCGGCAGCGTCGGGCCACCCAGCGGCCCCGCTTCCTCTCCCGGCGGAACCACTCAATACATCCATCCCCTAGTGGAACCCCTCACCCGTCCTCTCCTGAAGTAGTAACTGAAACCACTAACACTAGCCAGACTTCTCCCACTACCAGTGAGCAGCCAAGCACCACTTCTCCCACGGGTGGCGGTGGTGTATCTCCTTCCCCATCTCCCAGTGTTACCACTGGAGGCGGAGTTCCACCGGTTTGCCCCACTCCTTCTACATCTAGGGAAACGACAGTCGTCCCAGTGACGGTCACCTGTCCCGCCGTCGTCGTGAGCACCGCCACCACCACCGTCACCGTCACATCTGGTCCGGCCTTGTCGGGACCAACAGGTTGTCCTTGCCCCACTGAAGGTCCTGGTGGAGGTCCTGGACCGGGTCCCGGAACAGGCACTACTGGAGGCCCTGGAGCAGGTACTAGCGAAGTGTCCCCAAGTGGCACTGCGACAGCTTCAACGACGACCACTAGCGAGGTCTCCCCAACTCACAGCGTGACAGCCCCAACGACCACCTCTAGCGAAGTCTCCTCAAGCCACAGCGTGACAGTCTCACCCACTAGAACCGGTACCCTGACTCGGACCCTGACCCAGACCCGGACATCGACGCCCCTTGTACCAACTACTAGATCCCGTACCACAGTCACCACCACTACACCAGGTACCCTCGTGACTTTGCCTACAACATCACATGTAGCTCCCGGAACACCAGGTGCGTCACGTGTTACTCCACGAGAATTTATCAGTCAAGATGTTGTTCGCCGACAATTTTTTAGCAACGCCACAGCAACCCCCCTCTTCACTAACACGAGTACTCCCTCGAATGCCACGACGAGTGCAGTGAACATCACCCGTATTGCGACGGAGACTGCTACCGAACCCGCGCCCGCTTTCCTGCCTCGCTTCTACCGTGGACGGATACGTGTTTAAATTGTTTGGCTGAGTTGGGAAGAATTGACTGAGATATTGGTTGGTTGGTCGTTGGAAAATTTAGATCGGTTTGGTTATTGCCAGTTTTTGATATTTTTTCTATAGTTTGAGAGGAGTTTAATGTATTTGGTGGTAATATGATGTTGCTGGTGTTCAATGTATGGCCTCGGGTTTTGTTTCTTCTACCATTGACGCAAGTGTCTGGAAACCACTGCTAGAGAATACATTGACACTTTAAGACATGAGGCTTATTATACTTGTTTGTGACAAGTCATGATCTACTCTCTCGAATCTATAGAAAATACATGTAACGATCGCTTGTTTTGAATGACGTACAGAAGGAACAAACTACGTTATGTGAGAAACGAGGACGGGATTCTATCATTGGTTTTTCTTCTCTAAAATCAAAACACATATAGAAGCAGTAGCAATGCACCAGAACCGAAAACCCTTCAAACCCTTCAAACCCCTGTCAGGTCTATAGCTCACACTAGATTTCCGCCTCCAATAGAGCCTGACCTATCTGTGACGGCGACGACTATTTTGCCGCTCAAACTCTTCCTCGTCAGAAATCTCTTCGACATCCGGGTCCCACTGAGCAGGTTGTTGCAAAACGGTGGGGATGCAGCTGATCAGATCATCGGCAACGTCCTGGTCGGTCTCCCGGTCGTTATGCTTGCGGAGAATCCTGATTGAGATAGGTATGACAAGCTCAAGGTTACGGCACAGCCGCTCAAACTGGGGATCACGTTCTACAACTGCACTTGAGATAGATATGTCAATTTCGCCAGCAATCTCCTCTTCTAAGGTGGAAATGACATCGTTACGACGATGTGGTCCATGGCGAAGATAGTAGATTGCATCGTGCAGACATGACAAGACGAAAATACGTCGCTCGTTATATGGATCATCGGCTAGTACGCGCTCAAGATCATGGCGAGGCATCGTAGGCGAACACCAGACTGGTAATGGAGAAGCCGGTTGATGTGTGACTTGCAAGTGAAGTTTGTTGACGATTCCTGGAAGCGAGGTGCGACAAATAGTTGGATTGCCCGATGCAGAATCCGATGTGTCTTCGGTATGTTTGTATAAGAACTTGAGAAGGTGGTGGGAATCGAAATTATTTATGCATTTGCACGGAGTAGAGTTAGCACTGATTCGATTTCATGGTTAACGTGTTTGACAAAGACAGCAATGACGACAAAACATTTTATTTTTATTCTCTCAAAGAAGAAAAGGAATATTGAGGCTTTGATTAAATTTCGGGAGACAAGAAAGAAACTCTTCGCCTCCGTCATACTCACAAAGACACTATTTATATCTTATTAAAAGAGAGGATACAGTCCATGACAGGGAAGGAGCAAGAAACCGGCGGGCTTTTTCGCAGTTGCATAGGAGTCAGGATACTGAGAGACTGGAAATAGCCCCAAAGCATTCGTAACACTAATCCCATAATCTCCATGCAAGTATTATGCTGCAGGTATTGGTTCTGACACTTTCGTCATGTTTAAATTCGTACGTCAAATGGATGGACTCGATAAACAAAGAGAAGAGTACAAAGAGTAAACCAAAAAAGAAAAATACCGGTGACCATATGCCATCAAATAAAGAATAAACTGCCAGTGTTCTCATTGCGTCTTTCTGAAGAATCCATAGATGTTACTTGTCCGCTAAGTCCATCAGTAAGGATTTCGACAGATTTGGACATTTTTCATATCACTTCTCAATACTCTCCCTAATCTATGATTCTTTTTCCTAGCTAGGCAAATAAAATTTTGGTATACACTGAGTGACATATCGGCACCTTTTATAAATATTGTATCTCTCGTCTGACGGAGGCCCGATGTTTCATGGCGTTCAAGATTGAGCCGGAATCGTTTTCCGTTGCTTACATGTAATGTACTATGTAGTTACTTCTCCCAACCCAGTCCCTGCGATATAACGGAGTAATTAAATAAACCACACCCTACCAGACTTTCAACAATATCAACTACTCCGGACCGCTATATATACTCCGTTGACTCTAATTATCTCTTATCAGTTGCGCCGATAAAGCCGACACGCTCCACAATGACTTGGGCCAATGACGCAACGACCTGCCTGATTGGGATTAGCGGATGTTTGGCATCTCCACATGATCCAATACGAGCCCGTCCCCCGCGTTTGCTTTTCAGGGAGCACATATGAGATCGACAATCTCGCCGAATGATACGGGGTGTTCGAGCATATCTACAACGTACTATGTACATAGCCGAACTAGGCTGCCATGCTGTCTATATCAGATTTGGCTATCCGCGGTTGCCGGGGCCACGACGGGGCGATGGTCCAAGTGGAGGGACACCGTGTAACACCTCCACAGTGCATAAGTACTTGCCCCGGTTGGAGTTGCCTAGAACGGCTAGCGACATCAAACCTTGGAATGGACGCCGAGGACGAGATAAGCGTGACAATCAATTGGCCCCGGGGATCATCGAGCTCAGGTATATGAGCCCCCGTTCCTCAGCCCTGCAGAATGAGTGCATTTCTACTTCGTACTCATTATTTCCTCGATTGCTGACACCTTTACAATAAACCAAGATCTCGCTTTCATTACTTTTCCCTCCATCAACTCGTGGACCATCACCACTTCAACTCTACTTAGATGGCGGTTGTCTTTATCTCTCACTGTCCCCAACGGCTTCATTGGCATTCTTATACTATATCTCTGTGTCAGGCCATTCGCAGAGCTAGTAGAAAAAGTACCCGGACGTCTAAACCCGTTCGCTAAGAACAATTGTCGCTGTCCAAGAAAACGTAGTGACAAACCAAGAACAAGAACAATGTCAATCGAAATCGTCCCGCTCGTTGAGAACGACATACCTGATGCTGTAAACTGTGTGCAGAAAGCGTTTGCCGATGATCCCTATTTTCGCTGGGCGTTTGATGATCCATCCAAGGTATGAGATATCTTATTTTGCGATGTACCCAAACGACTTCGTTGTGGCTGTGAGAAAAACATACAAAAAGAAATAAAATCATGAAACAAAACGAAGTCGATGTCGAACCAAGTAATAACAGGGTTTGACAGTTCAACATCCAACGAAACGCAGCCTCCCTCGCTGCCCATTTCCAATATGGTATCAACTGCGACTGCCCCATTTCTGTCGCGAAGATCACTCGCGCTGCAAATGAAAGCAAGAGCGATGACGACATTCGCATACCAGTTGGTACTGTGGTTGGTGTTGCCTGGTGGTACTCACCACAAGCGCCTTCCATGCCAGAAACCTGGTCTGTTTGGGCACAAGGCTGGCTTCTTTCCTTCCGACAGCTTATGAACAATATCCGCTTCCTTGGTCGTGGTGGTCTGAATGTGCACCGGTATTGGATTTGGAAGCAAGTGCAGCAAACTGCACACGATGCCATTTGGCAGGACCCCCGCGGGTACTACTTTTGCAATGTCGTCTGCGTCGCTTCGGAGGCGCGTGGTATGGGAGTGGGAAAGATGCTCATGGATAATGTCATGGACAAGGCCGACCGGGAGAATATGCCGTGCTATCTCGAGAGCTCCAAGGGGTATCCGAACGTGGGTATTTATGAAAGAATGGGCTTTGAACTAGTCAAGGAGATTGAATGTGTGGACGGAGGGGATGTTTGCAAGGTGTGCCCTCTTGGCTGTAATTTTCCATGTCAAATGACTGACGCACTAATCCAGTTATATTGCATGATTCGCAAACCCAAGTCCAAAGAATAAGGCTGTGATAAATTTTCCGATACTGTTCATTAACACAGATACACAGGGAGATTGAGTGACATGGCTCGATTAGTATTTGAATCAAGCATTTCGGTGACTGTCATCTTTGATTGCTTTAACAACGTGAGCGAGATGATGGAAATAATCGAATATAGCTTTTCTAAAGCTTCGTTTTCCCAGAGCTAATTTCTTTTCCAATCGGCGTCTCTTTTGTCTTGGGTTTCGGTCGGGGAATGCCACAACCGGTTATGAAGGCCTCTTTCACTTTCTACTGCATCTCAGAAGACTTTATCTGAGAATTCATTGGCGCTCACCGTCATTTTGTATTAGGAATATGGCTTGTTTTGCTGCTGTAAAGACAAAGTTGAGAGCGAGAGAGGCACATCAACAACCATCTATTTTCATAAATCGATCTTTCCAAGCCATGGGCGAGGGTGCAATGCCTCTGTAGAACCCTCGGACCCCAACTGGAAAGCAGTCGAATATGAATATCCACTTCCGGGTCTGCCTGAATTAGGCTTCAATCTCTCTCAGGTCAACGCCTATTCTCAGAGCATGAGTGAGCTTCTACACGTCGTTCGATACTGTCGACAAACGCCTGTGAAGTGATAGCCTAGGTGAGCGCTTATGATGTCTCTATTTTTAGAATCAGTTCAACTATATACATATGGAAGACAACCTTGGAAGGAGACAGGCCTCAGCCCATGTCGCCCTTATGATCAAGCCCATTTTCCTAGCACCCCCATCAGCACCAGCCCACTGATGAAGGAAATACCACCGGTTAGAACTTTTCCTAACTTTGCATTCAACATTTCACCTCCCTCAATGACCCAGTCACGCGCCCACATATCAACGACACCAACCCACACCAGAATACCAGCAGACAGCGCGTCCAATGTTCCTAGTGCAATCAAAGTGCCCCGCGAATTACCATTGAAGGTGTGAAGAACACCAAGCCCAATAGCCATGCCAATAGGTGTGATCAAGGCAAATGCTAGCGCCATGGACGCTTTGTTAGGGAATATAGCTCCGGGGAGGGTTGCAATACGAGCACCGAGTGCCAACCCTTCAAAGAATTGATGGAACACAATCACCACAAGAAGTGTCTTGTAGAATGAGTCACCAGCAACGACAAGGGTGAGGCCAATCAAAATACTGTGGAACAGGATACCAGCTTCCATGACAACGACCGAAAATTTACTGTCGGGTCCGGTAAGGTCGAACGAGCCGTGATTGTGACTAAGAGAAGCCAACGTGGACTGTTGCTGTTGCGCCGAAGAGTGTTCATGCTGTCCCTTCTGCTGAGTTTGCTGAGACTCGGACGGTATGGTTTCTGCGGAGATATTCTTGCTGTGGCGAGCAACAATAATCCGGTGGCCAATGTATTCCAGCAAGAAAGCAATGAATATACCTGCCACGACTACCGCGGAGGTTGTGGCTTCGTACTCGAGTTCTCCCAAACATTCGTTGGTAAACATGAGGTTCGCATGTGTGTATAGCTAAGGAAAAGCAGTCAGCAAGTGATACGTGTGTCAAAGTTGAAATTGCTTACATGGATGAAACCCGTGGCGATGATGATGCCAGTTCCGAATTGTTTGATGACGGTCGAGATTACCCCATTGATAGAGGCAAATGGAAGCTTCATCAGGAGAATAGGGGCAAAGACACCAATTGAACTAGTGACAAGGACAACGAACAATGTGCCAATCCTCAGAGGGATATCGTAGTCTCTTGCTTGGACAGTACACGTTGAACCAGTACTAGTTTCCTCTGATGCACCTGTACTCGTGCAGTGTCTAGAATAGCCAAAGTCAATAACGCCTAAATTTGGAAGGATTATTACAAACTTACTCGACGCCAGCGTGGAAGTGGCAGTTTTGTGAAGCTTCGCTTGAGGATTCCTCCTGGTCATCTTCACTGTCTTCGGTCTCGGTCTCGGATTCCGTTCCTTCTGCTTGAATCAGGACATCGTTTCCGTCTCCATCCATGCAGTATCTTTGAATTTTGTAGTTTAGTATATTGTCACAAATATGCGTACCTGTGGACTTACGACTGGCTTCCGTGAGAGTGACACCCAGTGTATTGTGCTGGTACTCCGGTTGTAGGGGTAGATGAGGCCGAAACCAGAACTTCTTGGCCATCTCCATCAATGCAGTAAATGCTTGAGCCATGAGTATGACAACCAGTTACAGATGATGATTGTGCTGATGTTGTTGCTGTAGCTGCATATACTCTGGCAATGCCCAGTGATAGAAGGAAGGGCCGAAAAATGCGCATGATGAAGCTAGTGCTTTACCCTTTTGCAAATAAGAACGTTGGGATTGAGGTTGGAATTAGGATCGATGCAAGAAACCTGCCACAAGTGAGGAGTTTTCAATCAATGGACACTGGGAGCACTCCGCTCTAAAAAGCCGCATAATATATGAAAAAGCACCATACATAGGTGTCTCACCCCCAAGGTTCTCGATGCCAAGCGGAAGACCTTTCCACCCTTTCGCCAAGAGCAGGCCTGAGCTTGCGATTCGGGCTTTGTCCGGAGAATATCGCCCACTAAACCCTTGTACTCTCAAGGTACCTCCCGCCCAAGTGTCTTGGCGACCCTCCACCGAGCCTTTGTCTTGGCATCAATCTGAGATTTTCAGCTCTGATTGCTGGAGAGCAAGATTTTTAGCGAGAAAAGCGCTCGAGTGAGCTCTCAAGGTCCCCTCTCAGCAGGTCGCACCATCTGTATATTGAGAAAAATGGAGAAGACATCCCACTTTCTCTTCTAGTGTTGCCTTGGATTGGATCGCAGGCATAGCGAAAATGCGCCCACCAAAAGCCACACTTGGCAAATAGTTGAGAAAAACCAAAATGGTCGAATACGGAAGCTTTGGGGAACTTCGTAAAAATGGTATAAAAGCTGCTCCTATCGTGGATAGAAACTTACTTCTACAATTTCAACTTTTCAATCAATCCACCTCGATTATACGAAAATGCGCTTCTTGAATCTCGTTCTCTCTGCAGCAGTTGCTGCTGCTCTCCCCACCCCCGAGAGCTCCGAAGGCAATCAATCCCAGCCCTTCTCTCAGAATGGACTTGCACCTTGGGATGCCGGCGCTGTGAATGAATTTCCCATCCATTCGAGCTGCAATGCAACCCAGCGTCGCCAGATTGCGCAAGGTCTTAACGAGACTATTGCTATTGCCGAACATGCTAAGAACCATATCTTGAGATGGGGAAATGAGAGTACGATCTACAAGAAGTTTTTCGGTGGTCGCCCAACCATGGAAACCATCGGTGCATTCGATGTCGTGGTCAATGGGGATAGGAAAGACCTTTTGTTCCGATGTGACAACCCAGATGGAAATTGCGACATTGAAGGTATTGGATCTTGCTCTGTGTTAGCGATGACTTACTAAACATTTGAACTAAATAGGCTATGCCGGACACTGGCGAGGCGAAAATGGCACTCATGAGACAGTCATCTGCGACTTGAGCTACCAAACCCGTCGTTCCCTCTCAACTATGTGCGGCCTTGGATATACAGTCTCGCAATCTGAAACCAATACCTTCTGGGCTACCGATCTCCTGCACCGCCTATATCATGTTCCTGCCATCGGACAGAACTGGGTAGACCATTTCGCAGACGGATATGAAGCGGTCGTTGACATGGCGAAGACGAATGCGACGCTGTCAACCCATGATTCGGAGAGCCTTCAGTATTTTGCACTAGAGGTATATGCTTACGACATTGCTGTGCCGGGAGTTGGCTGTGCAGGTGTCCAACATACGCACGATGAAGCTGATGAAGCTGATGCTCAAACAACATCCGCGGCTGTGACTAGTCAGTCAACTCCTACTGCAACAACCACCGATGCCCCTTCGACAACCTCCTCAGTACCTGCGGTGAGTCGCTCTCTGGTTGCATTGTGGTGATCAGAAACTGATTTGAATAGAACTGCCATACACATGACGGAGGCGTGCTCCACTGCACTTGATATTTCTTACGGTGAAATCACTCAGGCATCGAGACAAAGATCAAACATTGGCGGGATAATAGTCCTGACGTGAAGGAAATTGATGGGTGATATATGATATCAGGAGAGAGGAAAGGGGTTCTATGGGCCCAAGGCATCAGCCTCAGCAGATTTACGGATTGTAATGTATTATGGTCTATATTATTACTGAGCTTATTTGCTACTTACTATGCGTTGAATAAATAAACATGTATCCAATTTCTACGGTTTGTATTTGGCTCTCGTGGTTTTGTTTATTAAGCATAGTGGATCTAGGGGTAAGAATTTTTTCGCAGTGAGTTGTTGCTATCTTGACTTCACCCTTGCCTTGCCCCTCATATCGTAGCAGCTATCATTTTTGAGGAGTTGTTAGGCTTGGGGTAAACTACATAGTCCATCTTTGATAAGTAATACTGGCCTATTAGTGAGTGAGTGGCGAGGCTGGGTTGCATACTGAGGTCGCTATAGATACTAACTGGCATGATCATGAGGTAGTTATACTTTGCCGGTATTACTCTCAACATCCGCCTGATGTGTAAAACCCCATAGTAAAATAAAGTCTAAAGTCTAATAAGAAGCTTAATTGGCCGAAGTATGACATTTCTCTGTAGTTACTTCTCCATTATTGTACATGATGCAGGTGAGCGATTCTTGAGTATTTGAGTGCCATCCAAAGATACTTCGAGGTTCGTAGGCAAGTCAACGTCAATGCTGCGAGTGAGCCGGCGAATGAATATATATTCATGTGATCAATAGTCTCTCAAATCTCCTATCATATTTAAAGGGATTTGGGTTGGACGTACGTGTATTTTGTTCTACATTCTATGTTTTTATAAGGAACATCGTCAAGATATATATCAATACCATTACGGATTAGATTATTTTGCTCCAACCTAACATGGCCTATCATAGAAAAACGCCCAAGGAAAGTGATCAAAAACCACTTCTCTATCTCATTGAACAAATCTATTGAATTAGTTGTAGCCGAATATAAGAATTTCTAGCTTCCTGGTAAGCTTTGATAGAGGGAGGGCTGTAGACATCTACTCAACAGTTTGCCCAGAAATTTGGAAATTAGATTATGTTGATTTATGACTTTATGATGCTACTTAGTCTACTGCAGGCTGCCGGTGTGAATTGTACAATGTCAGCCAGCTTGTACCGCCTCCAGGATGTGACCTACAATATCCTCCAGGATGTGACCTACAATATATGAACCATGCCGGGATAGAGACAGCCCGATTTTAAATACGCCCCTGTCGCCCTGTAGTCTGTTCTACCGAGAGATACCAACAACAGCGTTTCCTCAAATGCTAGTACTAGGGTGGAGCCCACACCCAAGTGGGAAACAGGGTTACAATGTCAAACAGAGCCTATGGAGAGAGGACGTGGAACAGGGGATCGCATGATCGACCGATAAGAATGCCGTTCGAGCAAAGATTTACCAATGGTAGGGTTCTTTTGCTGCAGGGGAATATAATTTACACTATAAGGGGCATTGGAATGCTTGTAGACACACGAGATGCCAATCTAGGGGTGAAAAACAACCCTCGAGCCAATGAGGGCATTGTATCCCTACAGAAATGATTCAGTTCCCCCACAGGGTGTTCCTGAATGTACCTAGGACCCTTTAAAACAATCCAGATTGCTGTTGCCGTGGAGTTGCCCCAAAACCCGTCCAGGTGCGCTTCAAGAGGAAACCACCACTCATCCATTTTTATCTCAAAATATCCTTTTGACGGGCACACATTCGCCCCTCGACTATTTAAATAATTATATTCCTTATTGTGATAAGTCCGAGTGATGAGACTGTCGCGGTCCGCCTGGACTTGGAGTGCATTCCAGGTTGATACGGCATTGTTTATGTACGGCAGTGTCCCGACTGTTGCCATTCCCGTTGAGGCAATCACAACACCAGCACCCAAGACCAAAGAACCACGCCCAGTAAAACGATCCAAGTCTAAACGAAAAAGCCTGAAGAGGTCACTGTCCAAGATCTTTTGATCTGCGAACTCGATATCCTCCCTTCCTAGCCACATTTGGCTGATCGCTATGAGTTTGCACGGACTTGGAGTGATTGGGGCCCAGGTGGCCGCATCGATCAAAAGCAACGACGAGAAAATCCCTGACACGCCCAAGTTCGCGCCCCCACGATGCTCCATTACATCCTCGCCTGGGGCTCACAGCCAGGAGTTTGATCCATCGATTGGTGCAAAGCCATGTTCGCCTTTCTATCCTCATTCAAGTCCAACAATCTCACATGAACAACTCACCTTCGAAACAAAGAACGCCAATCGGAGAAGCCATATGAGAGATATCGAAAGCCTGGGACCGTACGCGAGCTGCCGAACGGATAGTCCCCGGCGATCGAAGTTGTGGGAGGAAGAGAACAAGCCATTGACATGGCTGCAGACCCTGACCAATAAACAACGAATGGCACTGAAGGCAGTCGTGGCTGTGGTAACAGTGGGGACTATGATTGCGATAGCATTGGGCATCACTGCGGCGGTGGGAGGAGCAGGATGGAAAGCCAGTGCTAAAAAAACGGCGGTTGGTGTATGAGTGAGTTATCTCTTCGAGTCTCTTTCACCTATTGGGTTGGATCCACCGCTGACAGGACATGCAACTTCAAGGTTCGACGTTACTTTTGATCCGGGGCGACGAGCAGCCCGATCACCATTCATTGTGATTCACTTGCCGAGCTCTCCGACCTAAACTAATTACTCTTTTCTTTCTTGCTGCTTGAGGATGTTATGGAGAATTGGAGTTTAGGAGCATTTGAGGTTATCGCACTCGTCCAGGGGCATGTCACATTCCGACATGAACAAAATCCTACGGGTAATGAATTGGACATGTCATGAACTGGCCGGAACTGCTGTATCATATCCTTAGTTATTTCTTTTTACCCCCCTATTCATTTGAATACGACCTGTGCATGAGTTGTCATTTGTAGCTCTTGAACTTGAAAAATGGGAGCGAAAACGTAAGCTAGGTCGGACCGACCTCGGGACTAAGCGGGATAGTGTAAATCCGACCCGTGACCCCACTAGCGCTATAAAAGACTGCAAACTTTGCGGCCCCTTCTTCCTTTTCTTTTCTTCTTCATCGAAAAAAAGCAACTGAGCCTGCCACGACCATTGTCCTGTCTTACGACATCCCCACGACGATGTGTTGCCTTCGGTCCTACGGACTTCGGTCTTACGGGACTGATCGGCTCAGGAGATAGATGATCCTCGATAGGAAGTTCGTTTCCCCTCTGTGTCCTCTTCAGTGAGGGCGGTGGGATTTGAATGTCGAAGACGGGACACATTCCTTCGCGTCAACTCTGTTCCAGTAGTTGAGAGCGAGAGTAACGACCAACGCATTGATTCATGTGATGGTTTACTATTCATAGAATTACATAGGAGAACGGAAGATATCCAATCCAAACAATGCATAAATGCTACCAGTCTCAGAGTCACAGTGCAATGTTCATGTAATGTCGAGTGAGCTAGACCTCTAATACTCGGTATTGACTTGACATCACTAGGAATCCATGCCATATGCTATCCGGTCGCACGGTGGTTTAACCGAACGAAGGACATGGACAAGATCGTCCATATTTGAGTCTGTTTGGGATGAGTCGAACATGACTATGGCATCAATTCCGAACGACGAGTGCAAATTTGTCAATCAAAATGTCCCGGACCAACCAAGGGGCTTGCTCGATCTCTGAATGCCCCTACCCAGGTGGTGATCTCACCCCTCTCACCCTGCGGAATGCAGTATCACCGCATTTTTAGGGGATTGCATGGCAGATGTTTACGATCTGACCACGATCGAGGGGTATTCTCTTACTTGTTGGTATTATTTTCATTCCTTACGACATTCTAATGGTATTACCCTCGCCTTGGCCTCATGTCAGGATACAGTTCCTGTTGATGCAACGGCATTCCCGCCTGCTTGTTGAGCTGGCGATCATGAATGCGACGAAACTACTAAAGGTGTGAAAATTTCCTGACGATGGATTACTATTCATTGCTTCAAAGGAGAATATTCCATCAATCGAGCCATTCTTTTATCCCGCTCCAGTAGCACTCGTTTCCAGTCACTCTTTTAACTCCTACGCGCAAGAGCATACGTCTTTTTCCAGTAACATCCCCCAAGCAACGCAATCATGAAGGGCTTTATCGGTGGAATCCCTGTGGCATTGCTGGCAGTTGCTGCCCAGGCCAAGTTTGCTGAACGTGTATGTCATCCTACTCTCAATATGCCGATCCTCCAGCTAACCCAATGTATAGCACGAGCATGACTTCCATCCCCAGGCTGGTGGGACTGCTATCGGTGGACCTTCAGGCAATGATGATTTCCGCCCCCAGACTGGTGCTACCGCCGTCAATGGACATTCTGGCCATGGTGACTTCCATCCCCAGGCTGGCGGTACCGCGATCGGTGGGCCTTCTGGGAATGATGGCGACGATGGCTTTGTCAGCCCCTACTCTGCCAATATCAAGACCGATACCAAGGTGAACCAGTGGAACAAGGATGACCACTCCATCAAGCTGAAGCACACCGATGTGTATCCCCGCCCTCCCGTGGCCCCTGTGCCGTTTGGCCACCCGGGTGTCCCCAGCGGACCCCAGGTCCCTGGAATGGGACCTTTCGGCAAGGGAAAGCGTGGTGCTCCAGGTGGAACTGCAATCGGCGGCCCCTCAGGCAATGATGAGGGACAGAGCTTTGATATGTCTGTGACTGGTATTTTCAACACCGAGGTCGAGGATGTCAACAAGGATGATCATTCCATCGATGTCAAGAACAAGCATGTCCACCCTGTTGCCGTTGTGCACCCTCCCCCTCAATTCAATGGACCCCCTCGTGGCGGCTACCGTGGTCCTGCTGGTCCGCCTTCCGCTGGCTTCAACACTCCTCCAGGGGCCTTCGGGAAGCGCTTCGGGCCTCCTCACGCAGGTGGCACCGCCATTGGCGGCCCCTCTGGCAACGATGGTGGACAGAGTTTCAGCGCTCCGACTTACATTCAGACCGACACTAACGTCAAGGAGCACAACGAGGACGACCATTCTATCAAGCTGAAACATGAGGATATCTACCCACGTCCTCATGGCCATGGCTTCGTTCCCTTCCGTCGCTCCGAGAACCATGGACCTCCTGGTCACGGCGGGGCTCCACCTCCGGGTCACTTCGAGCCTCACGCTGAGCCTCATTTCGAGCCTCACACGGAGTCTCACTTCGAGCCTCACTCCGAGCCCCACTACGAGCCTCACCCGGAACCTCACTTCGAGAATCACCCTGAGCCACACTTCGAGAACCACCCGGAACCTCACTATGCGCCTCATTACAGCCCCAGCTATGAGCCTCACTATGAGCCCCACACCACAGTGGAGCATGAGCTTACTTCGTTGAAAAATAACAACAACGGCCCCTCGGCTGGCAGTATCGCTTTTGGTCGCCGCGGGTTCCCTGGCGGCCCGGGTGGTCCTGGTGGACCTGGCGGCCCTGGTGGCCCTGAGTCTCACTTCGAGCCTCACTCTGAGCCTCACTTTGAGCCTCACACCGAGTCACACTATGAGCCTCACTCGGAGCCTCATTACGCACCTCACCCCGAGCCTCACTTCGAGAACCACCCCGAGCCCCACGTTGAGAACCACCCCGAGCCTCACTACGAGCCTCACTACAGCCCCAGCTACGAGCCTCACTACGAGCCTCACACTACACTCGATTATGAGTTGACTTCCTTGAAGAACAACAATAATGGTCCTTCCGCTGGAAGCATCGCTTTTGGTCGTCGCGCGTATGCCCCTACCCCGGAGACCAGCGTTGGCGGTGGTACCGCAATCGGAGGGCCTTCTGGCAATGACGGTGGTAGCGGTTTCTCCACTCCGACTAACATTGATCTTACCACCGGTGTGAACGAGCATAACGAGGACAACCATGCCATCAAGGGTGACTTCACCCACGTCCACCCCGATGCTCCCGCTGAGTACTCCCGTGAGGATCATGTTGATGCTCCTGAGTGCGCTGCCCAGGTGCACGAGGTTGTTCACACCGTCACCAAGACCCAGTACAAGACTGCTGAGGCGACGCACATGGCCTACCAGTCGGCGCCCGTTGTGGATACTGATCCGTTCTCCGGCTACGCTCCTCAGGAGTCCTTCACCCCCGTTCCCTACGCCGACTATCCCCAGCACTCTGCCGGAGCTGACCCCTACGCCTCTCCCGCTCCTGCTCCTTCCAACTTTGTTTCCGGCCACCCTTCCTACCCCGTGCCCGCGGGTGAGTCCGTGGTCCGAGCGCATGCGCCTATGGCCACCCCCGTTGCAAGTTCTAGCGCCGACTACGAAAACTACCCTCAGCACCCTGTAGGGGCTGATCCCTACGCCGCCTCAGCTTCCGCCCCCTACAACTATGCTTCCCAGCGTCCCTCGTACTCGAAGATCGCCGTGCATGTTCCTATGGCTACCCCCGCCTCCAACGCCGCACCGTCCAATAGCATGGGCAAGATGATCCCTACTGGTGCCTCCGCTGAGCAGAAGGCTTCTCCCTCGTCCTCCGCGTCGGCTTCTGTATCTCATGGAATCATGTTCCAGGGTAACGCTGCTCGCGTTTCTGGAGGCATTGTCTCTGCCGCTGCTGCTGTTATGGGTGTCCTTGCCTTCATTCTATAGATCGTTGGCCGTCGGTTTGAGCTGCTTCGTGCATTATTAGTCCTCGTCATTCGTTATTACGCGCTTCATGTTTCCTTCAAACCTTCATTTTCGTACAACGTTACTGTACCTTATCCATTGGCCCAGCCTTTAATGACGAATATTTCCTTCAGAAAGCCACAGATTTACCACACTCAAGCATTGACTCTTGGTTTCTTTTTCCGACTCGTAGCATTCGTTCTGTAACTATTAGCGAAGCCCACGCCCATGTTTTGACTGACCGCTTGATAAGAAACCATCTATCAACTATAGCATTTCATGCATGATCAGTGGAACACTCAACCCCAACGAACATCTCATTTGCGGTTCGTGATCCCGAACACCTATGTACCTATGTAGGTAGACTCCAATAGTGTGGGTCAATTCGTCTTGATAACAAGCTGGCATTTGGGTTCGCCACTCCGAATCCTCAAGCTCAATGACACCAAAACCCACCTGAACTTGAATTCCAGGATATTGACCCTCAATCCAACAATTTCCGGTATTGCATATTAATCAACGGCATTTTCTTAATTTATTTCTTGTATTTCTTCTCTGTGCTTGATACCAACGACCAATTAATACCCATGTGACATCATTGCCCATCATCTCTAGATGATCTCCAACCGTTGTGACATCAGTACGAGTGGTACAGGACCTAGCCTCCAGAACAAATATAAAAGGGTACCAGTATAGTCTGATCTAATTGTATCAAACCACGCTACTGCAACCCAAATACTTCATTCATCCCTCGATATCTCCTCCACTGGACATCAAACCGCTTCGAATCCAACAATCACTTATATCTCCAAAATGGCTCAGCAAAACCCCCACCAAGGCGGTAGCCTCTCTGAAATGGCCGCCCAAGGCACACGCATTCCCAATGACGCCGGCATGATGAATACCATCCCCTCGGTGCCACGCCCAGACCAGCGCGCCGAGCACTTCGGCTTCGACAACGGAGGTATCGCCGAGCCCTCAACAGCGATGGCCGCTGACAACACTACCGACCTGCCACGTTCGACCCGGGATGTAGGTCAGACCGGCGAAGTCATCAGCGGCACAGGCAACTCCATGCCGGCCGGCATTGAGGCCAAGCATGCCTACATGGGCTCCAATAACCACGCTGGCCATGGTGATACTCGCGATCTCAAACATTCCAAGTATAACCGGAGTGAGTTTGAGCGCTATCAGGAGGAGTAGAGGGTCTCGTCAACCATTGGCGTGACATTTTCGTTTTTCAAAATGATGGCTGGCTTCCTTGGCCTCGTGCTATCCGGTGTATGATGTTATGAATGGCGTTTGTCATATGTAAAACAATTCAATACCATTGAACAAATCCCATTAGACTTTCTGAGTAGAGTGTGCTATTCAATGATTAGATTCGTAGCCTGGGCTGGTCGGGCCCAATAAACCCTTTATAGAGTTCTTCGAGAACATCTCGCTTCCTCTTGCGATCGGCTTGAGCTGCTTGCTCGGTTTCAGTAGGTTCGCCTTCCGGATCTTGAGACACCCATGACCGGATCGTTCCATCGCCGTGCGCAGAGAACATCTCTATCCCTTCTCCAGAGGCACCATTCCCTCGCCAGGCAAGATCATTGATACGCCCAGCGCTCAAAGCACTCGACCGACCGCGGACATTCTGTGACCCAGCCATGAGACCCGGCACGCGGAGACGCTTAATGAATGTCCCCTCGCGGAGCTCGAACATGAAAATCTCACCACGATCATCCTGCTCATTGAAATTCGGCCACAGTAGTGTTTCATGCCCTGGATTCATGGTGCCTTTCGGCACTATTAACGGTGCTCGTTCAGCTAGGTGCGAGGAAGAGCTATTACGGACTCGAGGGCCAAAATGAACAAGTGTATTGGCGCCTGTTGCAGAGTCCCAGACTCGAATTCGGGAATCCTGTCCTGTCGTCACTATGTGACTGCCATTAGAGGTCCACCGTACGCCGGTTACAGGCCCATTGTGGGCACGGGCATGCCGGGAGAAGGCTGGACGACTCTCGTATGAGATCGGTGCCGATCCAGTTCCTGGGGCCACCAGTCCCACTGGGTCGTCCATGTCCAGGGTAGCGATGGCAGAATTGTGACCTCCGCGACGCACGTCGAATATGATCACCCGGTTGTCAACCGATGCAGAGGCTAAGAGATGCGGCCGATGAGGTGCCCATGCTACTGATAAGACTGCGCCGTTGTGTCCCGGTAGACCTTGTGTCGATAGTCCAGATCGTAAGTCTACTAGCCGGACCGACCGGTCAGACGTGCCTACTGCGACAAGCAGTGTTGACCCAGGCTGAGATGAGAACGAGTGTGAATATGGCGTACAGTCTAGGTTGAATGTATGTATCGGTGTGATAGAGGGCGATTGTAGCGCCGATAGCTTTAATGTACCATCGTGTGCCGTCGAGAAGATCGTCGATGGGACGGGATCAAACGGGTAGATCGACAGGGAGGTAATCGCATGTGTATGCGCGTCGGCGTGAGAGGATTTGCTAACGGACGCGCAGGATTGATGGACGTGTTCGAGTTCTGAGCCTCTTGATTCAAGGTCCCAGAGATGAATCGATGGGTCGGCACCTCCCGATATCATACTGCCCTCATGTTAGATTGACTGACACCCGTCAGATGCTAAGCGGTGGCACACGCACTATCGGCCCTCAAACTGATCGACAGCGAGACAGTTCACACCGGATTTGTGAGCAAATACCTCCGCTGTGGCATCTAGCTCTTGATCTAGAGGCGCCACATCGTCTTCGGACCGGTCCGTTGGCGCAGCTGCTCTGCGGCTGGAAAACCGTATGCCCGGAGCGGGCTCAATGTTGTGCACTAGCCTGGTTGTTTGAGCAACATGGAATTCATTTGGAGTTACAGACCCAAGGGCTCTGTTGAGTATATAGGAATTCATGCATTCATCAGCGCTGGTGCTTTTGCATGGAGAAGTCGAGAGCACTCGATGGTGCTATGCTTCACCGGGTTAAAGTTGTGCCGGCGCATTTCCCGAATTTGGCCGCTGAAGATCCTCGATCTTTACTCCTCACTATCCGCTGCACACCACTGTTTGATTTGCCAAACCTTGATTGGTCTTCCTGGCAAACCTCAAGTATGTCTGTTGCTAGGTCACTCAGCTTGGATGAGGACAGTTCTGTCGAGCAACTCGAAGATAAGCAAGAAGCACCGGGCGATAAGCCTTCAAGGCATATAAAACGCCGCGCCAACGTCTATGATGCGGTAGCTGGTATGTTTTCCGATGCTTGCCGAGCGTGTTATACCAAGCAGAAAACATATCTAATTGCAACTAGGTCGCGTCAACCCCCGTGGTGTCAACGCACCCCGTCACATTGCTTCCCTATACCGCGACACAACCTCATCAAGCGTTCGAAGTTTGCGTCCAGAGGAGCTTCTCTATCGCAATCAGAACATTCCAGTGGAATCGATCGAGGAGAAAACCTACTTCGCGCATGAGAATCTTCCCTCTGACCAAGCTCTCCCGAACTCTGAGCTCCTTGAGACGATACATGCATATGCGGCCGACTACTACGAATACGCTACGGCGGATAACGGCAAAGATGACCATCAAACCATGGACGAGACAGCACTACTTGCATTTGGGATCCTGATTGAAGAGATGGCCAAGGAGGAACTGGGTGAAACCGGGGATCTGGCTCTGGTTGAAGGAGAAGAGCTGTCGGAGGAAGAGGACGATAAGACGGGCCTCGAGAGCGACACCACAGCTAAATCAGCAGCACGAAGGAAACGATCAAACAGTATTGTCCGTCAGAGATCAAAAAGACGCAAATTGGCTCGTTCTGATTCTGTTACAACCGATTTGGACACCGAAATTGACGAAAGACGGTGACTGGATGACGTTGTCAGACTGCACCTATTTCTCCGCGGCCGAATCCTCTCGGAGGCTTTTGATGCTTGCAGCTGTATCAAGCTATGCGCGATCTTGCATAGCTACAGTAAAACCTCTTGAAAGGGAATCGGATCACCCTATGCACTACCATGGCACAGCCACGCTGCACATGGTATCGGCACATATCCCATCAGCGAGGCAACCAAATCAGACTTCAAAGACTCTGATATGTAAGACGATAGCCTTGCTGCGCCTGCCTGTGCGCCTCCCGCTACACCGAATGTCTTTAATGGAGCTATACACAGAATGATAGCTCCGAGGAGAGAACTTGCGGTGGTTAAATCGGCCAATATTTAGCCGGCTGGCAACAATCTCGAGATCCCTCCCTCGTCGAACCAAAATACCATCTTGGTTATGCCGTGCATCCTGCATGAGCTTCAGTTCAATTATGGCTGACACTGGGGCGACATCTGGTTGCGAGACCTCGTTTCTGTAGCAGGATCTTGTCTCACTTGACACGTCTAACCCAAGTAGGGTCTTCCAGGAATGGCTCTTCCTAGAGGTTATTACGAATTTTATATAGTCCTGCGTGAATCTAGTCTTGCGCTGACTCCCAACAAGGCTATCTTTAGCAGCGTTAGTAATCTCTATAGTCATCATTCTACAAATGTGTTCAAGCAAAATAAAAATAGTTGTACAGAGAAACCCTTGGAATAGAAAGGGTAAGCAATGTCAAATGTTAAGTTGAGTTTCCATGTATGGTCTTCCAACCTTAGGCAGGTTGTGTTGCGTGACAGGTAAGCCTCCAGTTCTCTCAGGTGGGCTGCTGACTTTGAACTCATCCATCACTGCGCCTCCACCAATGCTTAGCCATCTCATACTTGTCCAATGAGTGGACGCTGGATTGATAAGCTTTTTCGAAGTTATTTGACAGTGCGTGAAATATGGTACGTGGCTTTTAGAATGTTCCACCTGGACAAGGCCCAGGACCATTTAGATGAGACTACTGACGCGCCACTAGGCCAAATTAACCAAAAGCGATAAACAGGATTTGATTTTGACTCATCTCCGCGCCACTAGAACCTGTCACACGCTCAAGGATTTAGAGAAGTCGCTACCCTCGGTTGCATCCATCAATGGTATCCAGGTCAAGGAATACATCCAAGCTTTAACCGACGAGGGTCAACTGCGAGTTGAGAAGATCGGCAGTGGGAACTGGTACTGGAGTTTCAGCAGTGACGAAAAGCACGCACGCGACCGCCAGTTGGCCCGGGTGACTGGTGAGGTGGAGAAAGTCCGGAAGTCTTGCGCCGATGCAGAAGCGGCTTTGGCCGCTGAAACTATGCGCCGAGGGGAGGAGACAGATGACGAGCACGAAAGGGAATCCCTAATGGCCAAAAGAACCGAGCTTCAGGTGGTAATCGATCGGGTACGGACTACGGAGGCCCAACTCTCCGGACCCCTCAATTCGCTCAGCAGCAAGGGTGTGAAGCAGGTCCAAGAGGAGTTAGCGGGGTTCCAACAGCAGGCACTGCAGTGGACAGATAATATCTACATGTTAGAGCAGTATTTGCGCAAATTAGTGGGCGGAGATCGACAACTCATTGAAGGTGTCTTGCGGGAATGTTATGGAGACGAGTACGTGGACGGAGAGGGTCTTGCTGAACTAGGATAGGATAAAGATTTGAGGAAAAAAGCTTAGGTTTGCTTAGCACATGGCGACCTTGGGGAAATTATGTGAAACTTGAAACCAATTCAGTCTTTAGTTCTTCGTGATCATCATATAAATCATCGAGAAAAAGGAGAAATAAAACTAGTTGAGCCACTCGGGACACCAAGAGAAGCTTGACCGTGCGACACGCGAATCGAAAGCCCCGTCTAGTTCGTTCTCCGCCTCTCGGAGGCTTATCGCGAACTCCCGACCCTCTCTCCTCCCTCTTCTCTTTCTTCTCTTCTATTGTCACATCTTCTCTTATTCTCCCCCCCTTTCGACTACTATAAACCCCTCCGATCGTCTATCAAAGTTGGCTCCTGCGTTCTCGAGTCCCACATTCCTCCCGATCTCGCGCCATCTCCTGTTGCGCCTTTCACCCTCTCTCCCCGGCCCCCGACCCCCCCGACCCCCGTTCTAGACTCTCGACTACAGCACAGTATCCCGCGATACTGAGCCATCTGTCCCTTTCAACCCTGTCATTCCCCACGAAAAATATCCACTCCTTTATCTTGCGATCTGACCTTGCCTCCTGATACGCTGCGAGTTCTTGGCGGGGGTACTGTCGAAATCCTGCCTCGCGCTTCGATGTCACAAGAAACAATGTGGTGCAGTGGCCCTCTATCATAATCCCCATTCCTTTCTTTGGACTCGGGAAATCTCTCGCGCGTGGACAAGGATACATTCCGTGGGCCTTTGGAAATCAGACCGTGTTTAGTGCATTGGTCCTGGACGCCAGACCCTTCGAAAGGATTGATCTTCCTTGTGTCGCTTGATTGGATTTCTTGACTTAGGCTGAGTGCCTCCTGGTCTGTTTGACTATTCCCCGCCATTCCGTACTGCAGAGAATACCGGCGCGTGTCTCCGTCCGATCGGCGCCAAATCGGTCGCAGTTTACCATCCCCACCATCCCTCTCACCCCTGCCACGTTTTCTTGTATAGATGCAGTAAACATTGGCTGTGTGTCATGTCCGCCAACCCTCCAACCCAACCTACGTTGCCGGCCAGTCGGAATCGCAACTCTTTCCTATCCAAATTTCGCTCCCCGCTCGGTCAAAGAAATCGAGGCATCACCGACTTCTATATCGATCCAGATGACCCATGGCGCTCTTATTTCCCCGGTGATGTCATCAAAGGTACCGTCGTTGTGACCGTTGTACGACCCGTTCGCATCACGCATATAGTCGTATGTCTCCACGGCTATGTCAAGGTGTTCAAGAATGCGATTCCGGCAGGAGAGACAACACCCGACTTGGGATTCTTAGGACCAGGGCGGGGTCGACGAGGTGCAGAATACATGGGCAATGGGTTAGCGACCTTGTTCGAGGATGAGCTTGTTCTCTGTGGCGATGGACGCTTGAAGGAGGGCATCTACAAGTTTCGTTTCGAAATGGGGCTTCCTCCTTATGCGCTTCCTAGCAGCATCAACGTGCGTTTGCTGATGCGACCTCTCATACTTAAATATGCTAATCAAATGGGCAACTGCAGTTTGAACGTGGAACTATCGGCTACTCGCTTACCTCTACCCTTACCCGACCGACTACCATGAACCCTACCCTCACATGTAGAAGACGGGTCAATCTTTTGGAAAATATCGACATCGCACCCTTCCCTGCACCCAGGGCTCGCATAGTTACCTTGGAACCGGTATCGAGGCGCTCAAAACAGAGGGGAAAAGCAAAGTCAACAAGTTCAGACGCAACCGCAGGGCCGGATACATCCTCGGTCGATACCCCTATTAGTGGCGCGGCACCCTCCGTAGATACCAGACCACCGCTGAGCCCCTCACCAAGCAATGTCAGCTCATCTAGCCGGCCTAGCGAAAGCAGTCAGAGCTTTCGAATCGCCAGCGATCCCAGTTCATCCGCAAGCACGAGTGGAAAAAATAGCGAGGGTCGCAGTGTGACCCCATCTGTGTCCGATAAAACCATCACCGCAAAGGCTGAGCTTCTGCGCGCCGGCGTGCTCCCTGGCGATACCCTACCCATCACAGTCACGATCAACCATTGTAAACAAGTGCGCAGTGCGCATGGAATTATGGTCACATTATACCGTCAAGGTCGCATTGATCTTCATCCTGCAATTCCAATCGGTAGTACGGCGGCCGGGAAAAAGCCGGTATACGAAGACTGCTATCCGCGGTCACGAACGGGACTTGGAGGACTTACCTTGGGAACAAGTCGGACAAGCAGCACTTTTCGTAAAGATTTGTCGCAGACTTTTGCCCCGCTGATCGTTGATCCAAGCACCATGACTGCAGTTGTAAAGACTTCCATTCGAATACCCGAAGACGCATTTCCAACTATTACACGAGTACCAGGAGCCATGATCAATTTTCGGTACTACGTGGAGGTTGTAACAGACCTACGAGGCAAAATCACTTCACCAGATCGCTTCATCCCGCGTTTCAATATGGTCTCCGGTGGGACTACGTTTTCACCTAGCGGCCAGGCCCTCAATCCAGCCGATTCGAACGGCGTTACTGCCAACTGGGCGGGCAATATCTTGGACACAGATGCAATCCGTCGTGAGAAAGGTGTGATCTCGGTGGCCTTTGAGGTCGTGGTTGGGACGCGTGATTCACAACGAGGGAAAGCGACGAAACGTACATCATCTACAGCTGGCGACTCGACCAAGTCACAAACGGCGCCTCCTGCTTCTGCAATTCTACTTAACCCTGTTGATGGGGAGGAGTGGCCAGAGATCAGTCCAATGCCTAATTCTCATGGCGAATACCATGGCGATTACCATAGCGACTACCATGGTGAATACGGGACAGAGGAGGGGTATTTCCCAGAGGAGACGGATTGGGCAGAGTATCCTGAAGAATACAATGAAAATTTCCAGCCAATGGACCCTATGGTTGCGCCCGCAGAAGTCGAGGAGCCTGTTGACGAGAAAACACGGGTACGACGTCACGAAGAAGCTCTCTTACCTAGTCAGCCGCCTGAGGAAGATGAGGCAGGCCCATCTACAGTATCAATGGAGGTCCCGACCGCGCCGGTTTTGCCAGATGATCATCATCTTCAAGACTACCAGCATGTGCCTTCACCAGATACAAGCGGGGGGCCGCATACTGTTCGCTCTGCGGAATCCCTGCAGACTGTTGTTGCGAACGGCGCTGGGCCCAGCGAGCCACGTACTTCAGGCGATGATAAACAAGAGCTTGAGCGTCACCGACTCCAGCAGCAGGCGAGTGCACCGCAAGACGAGCCCAGTAACCAGGAACCCAGCGCCGGGCCCAGTGCGCCAGTCTTTGATGAGGATGATCAGCTAGTCGGTGGGACGGCGCATGCAGACGAGTCGTTGCCTCGGTACCAGCGATGATGTTGTTATGTACATTTGCATTTACGGGATATTCTGGAAGATACCACTATTCGCATCATTTATGAAACGGCGCTAAAGGCGTTGAAATCTGTATCATACATTTATTTGTCAAAATCGATTCTCAAATCTCACATAAAATGTTTCAATCCTCTACTGTCATCAATTGTTTGGACATCCAGAATTCTGTCTAGGATTTGTAAAACGCCCTTATCTCCCGGCTACGGGCTTGGCATCCGCTTAGCGATACCTGGGGTGACTTCAGCCTGGCCCCTGGTCAATCTCCTTTTCCCTCACAAAACCCCGTCTGCTTTTCCAATTTTCACAATGGCCTTCAAAAGCGGCTCGTTCGCGACTTTCATGATTGTCTGCCGTAAGTCCATCGCATCGCGAGTCCCCGGACTCCAACGGCAAAGAGGCCACGAGACTGTAATAAACTAACTCAGTCTGCCCAACCAGCGACCTGTTTCTTCTTGGGCATTATCTTCTCCCTCTTCCCTTACGACTACCCGATCTTGTGGTCCACAGTGTTGACACCTACCGCACACTATGACTACCTCGAAGCGCATCTCCGCTTCCTGCACGCCTCGCCCCCGCTCATCCCACGCATCCTGCACATCGTAATTTTCGTCGGCCTAGCCGGCCTCCTCACGAAGCTCTACAAGCCCTCCGAATCAAACATGCTCTTCGACGGCGCCTCGCTGGTTCTCTACATGTGCGGCGTGACAGTCTACATCGCCAACATCGTCAAGGGTCTGCGCCTCGCCTCTGCCGGCCGGTACGGCGCCGAGCTGGCTACCTCCACCGACGAGAATGAGCAGATCCTTGGTCGCGAGGACTCGCTCAAGGTTCTTTCCGCTAGCAATACTATTCTGGCCCTCGTCCTCGTTGGCATCCTGGTCCTGCAGGCTGGGCAGTGGTACGCGGAGCGCAAGGATGCGCAGGAAGATGAATCGTTTGCTACTAGCAAGAAGACTGAGAAGGAGTCTGGCGAGGCGACGGCTACTACTTCCGGTGCGTCGACTGCGATTGCTGGGAAGTCTGGTCGGCAGGGAAGCCAGCGTAAGAAGAGCAATTAATTGATGTCTGTTCTTAATTGTTTCTCTTTCTTCCGTTCGTCTTTGCCATAGGGATATGGATACTAGGTGTGAAGTGGCGCGCCTGAGTACTTGCTTTGCTTGGTAGCTATTGTTGTCTTTCTAGTCGCCTACGCAGACGGGTATTTACTGTCGCAAAGAAAATCATTGAAGACGTCTTTTTTTTTTCTTAATTGCCGGGGGTTCAATGTAATTCGACTTTCGTCTATGTACATATGATCCATAAATATAGTATGGCACGTTCACATAGCAACAAAATAATATATGAAAATGTATGAAAATGTATGGATATGGCATGATATGCATCCGAGAGTATGGACAGAACAAAAAAGATGGACGGATGATCATAGATGCATGTAATGTGGACAGATGGTATGGCACCGCAGAAGGGGAATCATTGCGCAGGTCGTGAAAGATGGTGTGTGGTATCATATCATGCATGAGAAATTTAAGTTCAACGGAATGAGAATGGGCTGCGAGGCAGATCCGGTGAGCGCGGACTCAGTGCCTTGGCGAACAATTCTTCGCCGGAATCATTGCTCGGGGTGCGCGTGATTGAACCCATGGCTGCATCCATTGCTGTAAACCCAGTGGGCTCGCTTGTCTGTTGAGTCTCCTGGAGGAAGTCAGGCGGGAAGAGTGCAACGGGTTTCAGTGATTCGGGGCCCGAAAGATTAATGTGAGAGCTTGGGGTAGGGGTGGGATTGGTGTTAGGCGTTGGCATAGAATGTAGGTGGCTATTAGCGATACTGCTGAACGAGCTGAAAGAGGAAACTGCAACATCAGGCGATTGCGGGGAAAGAAGCGATGCTCCGTGAGAACCTAGTCCTAGTCAGTAAGCTTCTGGGACATGTAAGTCGGTGTAGAAATACATACCACCTCCTGACAGATCCTTGTCGCTGGTCTGCAACTTGAGTCCCTTAAGTTTGTCACTCAGATTCCTGCCACTGACTGGTGACACCGGTGTGGCTGGATACACGGAGGATGAGTTCGCGGAATCATGGTTACCGTCAACCGAGTCGACAGCACGCGAGCCTATTCCAAAGTTCAACTCAATCCATTCCTTCTCCTGAATGGCCATAAGCAGCGCGATTCCTTCGGCGTTGTTGCGTGATTCATCCTCAATCTCCTTTTCAAGAACTTGCAGGCGCTTCTTCGCCCAGATAGTATGCAAAACGCCCTTTTTGCCAGCTGTGCGTCCCGTGGCGCCCAATGCAGGAGGGAAAATGGCGGGGAGAGGATTAAGCTGGAAGGTGTCTTGGGGCCTTTTAGGGGCAGGCACACCTGTCGGCGAGGGTTTGGGTTCATACGACAGAGTGACAATGGGAGGAATGGTAGTATAGGGAGGGAGCAAGAAGTAGCAACGGCGTAGGCTGTCACTCGGTCTTTCATCGGCGGGCATCGTGGCAGTTTTGCCGGCCCATGAGACATGCCACGACCCCTCCATCGCAGATCGGGTCGGATCGTCGTCCTCCCACTCAATCATCAAAATTTTAGTGCCATCATTAGACCTGCCAGCCTCGAACTCAAATCGAGCCAGCGCCATTAACGAAAGGCCCCCATCCTTGAGGCCTGGAGAGGTTTCTAGCTCAGCGAATTCGCTATCAGGGGTGAACATGGGTGGTGCTTGAGCCATGGCAGTGGAGGCTGTCGGGCGCGTACTTGGGGAACTTGAGATCCGGACTAGAAAATGCGGGTGGGCTCTGGCGAAATCACGAGGGGCGGGATGGGAAAGGAAGAGTGCGCTGGACAAGATACAGACGGCGGATGGGCGGAGTGGGGAATGACTGGGCGGGGGTTGTTACGACTCGGTGATCACGGGATCGTAGGAAGAAAGCACCTAGGCAGGTAAACTCGGTATTAATTGTCAAAGGCCTTGCCGTGTCGGGGTTGCTGGAGTTTCATGTATTGCTGGGATGCAAAGTTGGAGCAGGGGGTCTATTGGTTCCTCTAATTTTAGAACCGCGGCTTGGCATTTATGCAAACATCCCAGCATTGTACAGGATGGCTTTGCAACACTGGATTCATCTATGTAATGATTTTCAGATGACTCCAGTATAATGTTTATATTATTAAGGTAGTCTCCAAATTCTCAACTTGTTATGATGTTGCTTGGATGGTCGTCCTCCAAAAACCAAGTTGGCAACAGACTATTGTCTTTTGCTTCTTCTTCTTCTTCTTCTTCTTCTTCTTGTCGAAGGAAAAGCTGGAATGCCAGAAAAAAAGAGAGATGTTTGGTTTGTCTTTGGACAAGTCTCAATCAAAGAAGTTGCCGAAGTTTAAATAAACCGACAACTGAACCCAAAGAGATTGAAGGTATAACAATTCTCTTGTATGGACTTAAACTCATGATGTGATTGCTACTGCCTTATAGGAGCAAGAAAAATAAGCAAAAGGACAAACATTGGCAAGGCATAAGGTGAGATCTATATTGAGCGGTGATATAAGTTAGTATATCATAGGAAGTGGATAGGATGGCTTAGCAACTTCTTTGACCGAGGACGACTTCTAAAGATAGAAACAGAACCGACAACAAGTCTAAAGTACAAGCGCCAATAGTCAAATGTCAGATAGTGCTACTGACTCCAAGGTAAACATTGAGAAAGTTCATCAAGGAATACAATACCCACGTTTTCGTATGAAGACAGGTCCAGTATGATACAGTATCATACAAATAAACAACAAGATGAGGGGATGAGGTAGCAGGCCATGAGGAACAGGCATGGATAGTGTGAAAGCCCTATGCAAGGCCGGGATCAACAAGGTTCGTATGGGGTCGATGGGAAAGGCCATGCAGTGGCACTTTGCTCAAGGCGGCAAGATATGCGAACAGAAGCAGCATCAAGGGATATTGCGTTCTAAAATTAACCCTAAGCTTGTGATGGGGAGCTTCGGCCTTAAAAAGAGCTCAGGCGGAGTGCCCTGATTGGCAAGGATCCAGGTATTTGCGGTCAGCTGAATCGAAGTTTGGCTTCTTGGTGCGAAGTGCATGAGGGAAATAGGAAATCGGCCAAGGCTTTTCGTGATTGCCGCTAGATATCCTTGGTTGTCGGAGATTCGTATCCATAAAATGTGTGATCGTCGAGAGAAACGGGCGTCTAAGGCGACGGCGAGGTTCAAAAATAGAAGAAGTAGGCGCTACTAAGAGCTATTATTGGAAGTCGGAGCATGGTCTCGATGATGATCAGTAGAGTGCATGAGGCTCTCGTAGCTTTTCATTGGAAGAGATATATAGTTCGTGGCTAAGAAACACGGACCTGGATTTACCTAGGTGGAGCACAGGCAGTTATGGAAGCCATACAGACCTGATATTAATTTGAGGAACATATCGTTGCTTGATCTCTGGTTCGAAGCTTTCGAGTATTGTGAGCAACTATTATAGTGTATACACAAGATGATCAGAATGAAGGTTGAACGAGAGCGTGGATCTGCTTGTATATCTAATGCGCTTGCACCTAACATACATCGATATTCAAGCATACTCTACACGACGTTGGGTGCTAAAAATATCACATCCCTGTTCATATTGAGCTAAAAAAAAAGCAGGAAATGGAAGTGGCATCAGTTCTATGAATAGAACGCGGTGGTACAGAAATAGCACACGGGACATCACACCGCATAGGAATATGCATACCCCTCCTTCCCTCAATGTTCCTCCTGAACATGATTGGTCTTGCATATGATGAGCCCTCGCAAGTCTAATTTGTTGTACAGCAGCCACGCAAAATCATAAGATAGGGACTGTGATTATTTGCCCCTCTTTATAATATTACGGGTGTTACTCGTGGCAGGGACCGAGTTCGTAGGTAAATGGTAATCTATACCAATTTTACTAGGCAGTCTGTGACTTGAACTGAGTAAATCAAGTCCTATCTGGCCGACTGATTAGAAACAGCTCTTCTTTCTATTTATGGATAACAATGCTTGTACTTGCATAAAAAAGAGATCACACCGATTTGTTGCCTTGGCGCGAAGAAAATGTCACCTGGGTCGAATGTTCCTTGAGTGCCATGCGAGAGTCATTCTCAGCTAAAAATAAGCCGTCGGCTCACCACCCCTGTTGAAAAGAAATGACCCCAACCTCATCACATCTTCTACATACATCCGATGTAGACCAATTAGCAACCAGCCACATTAGTGCCCAAGCGCTGGTGGGGCAACTTTGAATCCCCACTGTTCCATTAATTTGTTGTCCAAAATAGGTATAGCGCCGGCGCTTAACTGCATTTACCACTTCAGTGCCCCTCCTTCATTAATATCGCTGATTGGTCAGAATGCCAGGGATGTGAGCGGTATGTCATTTTTGGTTCTGGGTCCTGTGTGATGATGCTTCGAGGAAGAACCAATATAAACATCTAAGAGGATCAGGAAAATTAAAGATCATATTCTCGCAGAGCAAAGAAACTCTATATCTTAAAAAACAGGAGTCATCAGTCCAATATGGACCTTCGAATGTTGTTCGTGTAATTTGTAGTTGTTTTTTCCTTTCTTAGCAGGTATTATTGGTTTGTACTACTCTCCCGGCCACCTAGGTGTTACCCATGCCTCTTTTACACGTTAAATTAGAGAATGAGACATTGACGGTTCCATATCTCAGGGGCAACCTTAAAACAACTAATGGATTAAAGAGCAACTTGACCCCGGTCACATTTCTTCAGCGACAACTTGAAACACGGGAGGCACTGTATGGCCCAATCAGTGGCGTTATTATCACTATCACGCCCCAGTCGTCAACATCACAAATGCATCCGGTGCTTGTGTTTTCCGAATCAAATGGGAGACCTCGTATTCTGCGTGCTTACTGGACAGTTTATCAAATGCAGAGCTGTAAACTCTCGTTGACTGCATGAATAGTGAATAAAACGTGTGATCTTCCGCATTAGTGTCACGATGTACATTTGTGTATGCCAATACTGCCAGTACGCTGTAATATTACTTCAAGTATGTAATTAGTATTGTAACGGATTAATCTTTTGCATGTTACTCAGTATTACTTGGGCATATCCGAGTAGAGCGAGGAGTAATAAGCAAATCAGACTAAAGCCCGATTTGATTTGACTGGGCCCTATCATTGTATAAGATTCAATATTCCCTTTGTTTGAAATGAAGCCGCATGAGCTAGATCTCTTTCGATAACATCGACGGACATATGCCTGCTGTGAATCTCGGTTTACATTCCAACTGTGTAGCGTCCGATCAATCGAGTCAACAAATTAAGCTGTGAAAATCCGTATAGAATCCTTCGACTACCAGATATGTTATCGGTATACTCCGTAATAATGGGGCCGATGGACTTGCTCAGCCTCGTCCAGATCCTTTGTCCAAAAATAGGAAACCAAGCGCCACTGTAGTAAGATATGCTCTATGGTGTACATGAAAGACGTGCTTCTCGTGTTCACGCAATATCAAGACTTAGGCATTGGCACCCAAGAAAAGGGTTGGCAGTACTTTCGTATATTGAATGAGGCTCATACAGATCGACTATTGCATGGGTGACACGTGGTGAAATGCAGGGTAGTTGAAATGGGAGTAGCGGCACCCGAGAATATGGATAGCGCCAACACAACGCGCGTGTTCAAACTGTATCTAGCAAAATTGTTGTCGATTGTTACCGGGGTCATTCGCCAAGGTCTGCCATCCATGTCTCTCGTGTGGTCAAAGCGGACGTTCGTCGAGTATCACCCTATCCCATCAAGAATCCAGTGCTGGTTAAGCAGCTAAAGCCGGAGATTTAATACCCAATTCCTTGTCCCGATTGGACGGTGTCTAAGTAATGTGACGTGTTCAACAATTCAAGCTAATATGACGACACGTCGTAGGTAGACTTGATAGACTGGGGGCAGAGAATGCAATTGGCTCAGGAATGGTCCTGAGGTCAGTCTCTACGTAGATACGAAGGCAGAGAATGGAAAGAACCTTTCAGTTCAGTGAGTTATAATGGGAATAAATTGACGATGGTAGACAGAGTAAATAATACACAAAATAAGCTTCGACTATCAAAGCACTAACCAGGCGCAAAGCATCAGATGCAATTGTCGGTGTGAGGAAGGGTCAGAAAAAATCGTGTTCCCAAGCCACCGCAAAACGTATTCTTCGAATTACCACTTGAAAGGCAGGACGACACGGTACCAAGAAACATAAGCAAGTAAGACAATAAAGCACCGGGCTTATAGTGTATGATTTTTGAACAAAAGAAAATGCGCTCTCAACGCCGAATCCAGCCCCCACGCTAAAACCACCGACTAGCAAAATGCATGAATCAAACAGTAAAACCCGTAAGCCCAGATTGTCAGTCGACTTCCTTGGCTTCGCGACACTTGCGCCGCTTTCCCTTTGGCGGTGCTTCAAGCTGAGTGCGCTTGTAGGTCACCGTGCGCGTGACAACCTGCTTCACGCTGACAGGCTTCGCACTGCGGGGCGAATCATAATAGCGTAGCGTCCAGTCTGACGGCGAGAATGGCGACCGAAGAGTCGTTGCACTCCGGGGTGTTGCGCTCCGGGGTATTGCGCTCCGGGGTGAGTCCGCGTTCGGCGAGAACTTCAGCGACGACTGGATACGAAGTCGGCGACCATGGAAATTCTTTCTGGATGGTGCCGCTGAGTTTGGGGTCGGTGGTGGCAGAGATATAGTCGGCGATCTGACCGAATCGCTAAATGTAGACTCACTGATTGCGCTCGCGGGTTGAGAGGTGGGCGATGTAGCAGTGGAGGGGTTGTCACCAATGTACTTGGGAAAACCGAGACTAGCACTCATAGGGCCGGTGAAGACGGGTGTGAGAGCCTTGAGGAAATCCGTGTATGCTGCTGGAGGTGTGATAGGAGTCGATTGATCCTCCTGCTTGATGTAGTCGGAAACACTGGATGTAGAGCCATTGTGAAGTTGCGATGGGTAAACCGCGCTCTTTGGCGTCTTGAGAGGAGGAAGAATGGGTTTGACGTTCGGCATCTTGACCAGGTCACAAAGATTTTGAGAAACCAAGTTCTTTCGAAAGATGTGTGAGAGCAAAAAAAGGTGGGCTGAAGTAGGTAGAGAGAGATGTGATGGGGTAAGGCCGCGGGTGAAGTAGTTGAAATAGAGCAGACAAGTCAGGGAAGATGATAATAGAAATATAAGACCAAAAAAGGACAATGCTTGAAGTAATAGCAGAGAGACCAAGAATATAAGAAAGTGCTAGCCAGCAGCGAAACGAAAAGGATGCGGAGAGACTGTTTTATGTATCTGAGCAAGGCAGATAGATGATCCTGGTATTGGGGCGATACAGGTAATTTCACGTTTGGGACTGTAAAATAACGAGGCTGTAATATTTGGTGGTAAGTTACCAAGGCGGAACAAGGGTTCGAGGCCGGACGGGCAGTCCCAGTGTGGCAGTGACTTACTATTTGTGTGCCGTCTTAACGAGGTCCGAAGAGGATATCGGCAATGTTTGCCAAAGACAAATTCAAGGTTGTTTTGTTCTCTTGAAAATCGATGCAAAGACGGCAACCAAAAAAAAAAAATTAAGACTTGACCGTCAAGGTCAAGAAACAAGAAAATATTCAGGTGAACTAAAAGATTGTGAAGGATATCTGGGGATCAAACCAGCACCATGCTTTGGTCTTTATAACTTTCTGTCTTGCTGTTCCTCGGACCTTCTCCTCTATACCCGCTGCAGAAATGCAAAATGCAGGAGCATCGCTGACGCGCGCCATCTGAATCAAAAGACCCCTTATGCCATGTATCAGGAGCCGCCGCAGAGGGCGGTTGTTGTCCTAGGTGATGAGCTGCCCTTCAAGCCACTGTTTATCCTGTACTACGCTCTGGTTCGTCCAGTTTTGACGCGCGCAGCTTGCAGCTCTGCTGGCGGCTCGCTTTAAGGGGTATCTCGGGTTGAGAATTGAAGACATCCTATTTTGTCTCCAGTATAGTGCGCTAACCGAAACAACCCCTTAGTTTTGTTGTGTTTTGAGCTGGACGATCAAGCAGAGACCCTAGTTTGACATTGAGATTTGAACTCTCGGTCCAATCATTCATGTGTTTTACCAGCTCTCCAAAGAAGGTTCCTGTCTCCACAGTTCTTCAGCAGCTGCACGATATTAATAACCTCGATCACTTCTATGGGGTGCTATATCTATTAAAGGGGCATTGTTTACATTTGGCCTACTAACTTGTTGCCAGGGGAAGCTCCGGACAACGAACTCCTCTCGGCGGATACGTGGTCACGTCTTCAAAAGATGTGAATTGGGTTGGTACATACGATGATTCTAATATCTGGCGCTGATAGTAAAGGAATTCAAGACGTTCAAGCCTCAAACTCCGTGTCTATGTACTTTCTCGCCAAGGTCTTGGGTTGGATTGAAAAGACGATGTTGTGCATCTATTCATCACTCGTCCAAAATAACAGCAAACTGTCGGTTGGAACGACTGATGAAACGACGTTTCCTTTCTTTCTTGCTAATTGAGCCCACGCCCTATAACTTTTCCTCATTACCGCTGTGGCATTCTCGCAAAAGGGAAGGTTGGACTTCTTCCTTGATTTACCTATGTTGGTGAAACAATACGCGCTTTGCTTCGTGGATAAACCAAGAGATAACTTTGAAATCAACACTGCAATATCATTGTGCAGGATCCGAAACGATCAATATTATTTTAGTTAATTGGCTTTACCCTTCATGCGTATTGTCAGTCAGTGTAGTAGTTAGTGCATTTTAGGGTTTCAAACATCGATGCGCCCTCTCCTTCAAATATCAAAGTCCATACTGAGTTTCTACAAATTGGAGAAAAAGGTGAACTTCGACTGATACCCACCCGGCAGACAAAATGTCTCAGCTCTTGTTATGCTCCGAGAGAAAGCTGCATACTTAGCTCCTCAGGAAATGATCAAGAGTAGTTGAGCAAATATCTGCCAGCTCTAACCTGGAAATTTTTAACAGGCTTTGCAGTTTGCAGTCTAGTGTTTGGTCTCTAATATTCCAGACTAACTACTACCTACATATAGGTATGTCTTCTGCGAAGTGGGTTTACCAAGCTACAATGCACTGAGACATGCGAGAAGTAATATTGATATGATATATTTTGGATTCTGACCAAAATTTGAAATATATACAGACCCAAATCAATGCCACGTATTGCGTCCAGAATAAGACGAGAAAAAAACACCAGCCTATACATGATAAACAGAACATAAAGCAAGATTCCAGACAACAAATTCGTTTGCACACAAAACAATAAAGACTAGTCGCGAAGTGGGGTATCTTTTACCATCTGAGCCAGCACGGGGATCAACCTCGTGAAAGATAGAATCAAAAACAAAAAGAAGACATGCTCCTCAAATAAGTAGGTAGTTCCAATTATTCCGCTTCATGATGTCCCTCCAGTGGACTTGTTGCTTCTTGATTTCCCGTCCACCCATAGTGGCGCCAGCGCCAGAGGTGGAGTTCGAGTTGTCAAGCCTGGAAATCGGACTAGTAAGCGAGGAGTTGTAGGGGTTCTCTCCAGACGAGATCTGAGAGGAGTTGTAAGGGTCGTCCGTCACACGCCACACCTCATGCAGGAGGCGGTACATGCGTCCGAAGCTACCGAGGTCCCCATGGTCACCCAGCGCAGTAGCGCGATCGGCGATCACGGATCGGAAGGGGCTCGATGATTTGGAAAACAAGCCGGTCATAAGCAGTGGCCAGACAAGAGAGCGATCGTAGCCATGGGGACCGGCAGGAATGAATCGGAGCGCGTCTATTACTGCAGCGATCAAGCTCTCGTCTACTTGGTTGGTATCAAAGCCAGGTGCGATGCTAGAAAGATAGATTTGAGCTGCGATCCGGAAGATGTGAGTCATGGTCTTTGTCAGGGCTTCAGGGCGAATGGCTCCAGTTGCAGGTGAGAATGCGTTCTCCAGCGTGGGATCGGCGGGCTTTGTGTGCTCGAGTTGTTCCGCCAGCGCTTTACTATGATAAGAGACAGCCGAGTCACCGATGCGACCTTCGCTCTTAAGAGAGTCTAGGCAAGCAATCTCAGAGATGAGATACATGACGCGGTCATCGCATCCCATCAATTCGCATAAGCCAGAGGATGCTCCACTCAGGTGCTTTGATCGATACTGATGAGCAAATTCGGGAGTCTTGCCCACCATTGTCGAGCCAAGGATATCAATCCAAGAAGTTAAGCTCATACTAAATGGGGCGACTAGGTATCCGCCAGAGTGCTTAACTGTTGCAGAAGGAAGTTCGAGTCTGGCCACAAGATTTGATGCAGCTTGGAAATGATCAAACCACGGAATATCAGGGAGGTAGTCATCCGAAGGGCCAACAGCGCAGTGAAAGAAGATCATGGCAAGGGTCGCATCCAGGATCTCGTTGTGATTAACATCTTCTCCCAGAGCCTCACATAGTTTAGAGATGGCTTCAAAACGGTGCCGCATGATATCATGGTCAATTTGCTCACCGACCAATCCTTCCGTAGTCTTAAGGTGGATGGCAGCGACACTCAGACAACAGTGAAGATAGCACTTATTTGTCTCCAGAGCGCGGAGAATTGATTGCGCGCGCAAGTGTCCCTTTTGGTGAGTTTCTAGAACGGGGAAAATCTGGCGTAGCACATTTTGGATAAAGTGATCGAGAAGTGGCCGATCATGATCGCTGATAGCAATATTGCTTTGTAAAAATGCGCATGTGTGATCAAGGCTAGGGTTGATACCTCGCGTATTGGCACCATTTGAGGCCTGAGCGAAATATTCATCTTCAAACCATTCATCACCAGAAAAAGTTGGCATTGGAGCACTGATTTGGGGAGGTGCAAATGCACTGAATGTCGATGTCGAAGTATCATGACGCATAGGCACATCGTTGATAAATGTCTGCCGTTCGGTTCGCACATCGACCTCATAGGAAGGTACGTAAGGTCCACGAGGAGCACTTCCTAGCCCAGGAGTAGGCAGCTGGGATGAGAAAAGATCGTAGGACTCGTTGTGCCTGGGGCGACCATGTTCGTGCACAGGTGAAATTGGCGATCCCGCAGACATATGGCGATGACGATTTATTGGGTCTAGAGTGTCCTAGATGTCAGTTGAAAATGTACGCGAAGTATGAACCGAATAAGCACATACCACAGCGGATACCGTTTCGCTCCAGCGTCTTGGTTTCCTTGATCCTGTTCTTGATGCGCTCCCTGTGGGCTCTCCGTTTCTCCGCATTTGCCCACCAGACCGGGAGTTTGTATTCGCATCGCACATTAAGACTGACACAGGCGCTGCAGGCAGGGTGTTTCTCGTCGCACTTCTTCCGACGTAGGCGGCATGTGAAGCAGCCTATTTGAATTAGTATAGTTCATAGGAATGACTTTTTTAGGGACAGTGCGCAAAGATAAGAGCGGATCACATACCAGACCGGGATCGCTTGTGTAAACGACCATTTGCTCTATCTCCATGTGTGTGAGGTGTGCACGGAGTCAGTGACATATCTGCCGAAGCAAGAGGCCTAGTAGCAGAGGCAGAGGCAGAGGAGTTCTTTGAGATCGGCATATTGAAATATTGAAATTAGATGACCGCAGAATGATCGATGACAGTAATTGTGTAATCAAAAGACCAGAATCAATTGCAGATAAAAAGAGTATGGCAAAGCTGAACCAGCAGGCTTTGTAGTCTATCAAGATATAAAGAAAGGAAAGGGAGGTTGACCGAGCAACTGTGAGAAAGATGATGAAGATGAGGAACTAAAACCGTGGGATTTACGATGCTTTAAAACCGATGATAGCTTGTGGAAAGAGAAGCGGGTGTTTCTATTTTAGAATCCACCTGCACAGTTCATAGATTGAGTTGGATAATTTGGGGGTCATCAGCACGAGTTGGGGTTGGATCGTCGCCGAATATTGCTGGGCTGGGAAGCCAACAGGTATAAGCAACCAATGAGAGTTGCAGAAAGGATGATAAAGGTTGCACTCCCGTCTTTTGAGACTAAATTTGGGACAATTAGCTCTGTTATTTTTGTGACTTGAGGTCGCATGGTGGCGTTAGCGCATGCACCTCGACGTCCAAGTTCCTCGAGGGACTGGATGGAGATCGTCCGGTCGGACTGCGATTCCGTGCTCTCTCCTCCGTAACATGGGTGGCTGCATATAGCTCATTGGACCTGGATTGATTTCGATCTTCGGGTTGGTTTTTAGTTCCTTTCCACTATGCAATAGTCGGACTCCAACCCAACAGTCAGAGTTGGTGTTGGCATTCGAATCCTTTTACACAACCAACTGAGGGATTTAACAAATTTAATACGTTAAGCCTACGCATAGTGGATGCCGCTGTCAAAATCGCTTGACCTGCAAGGAACGAAGGCGGGGTCGAGATGTGACGAGCAACAACAGAGCCGGGATAAGTTTCGTTAAGTTACTAAATTCAGAAATATGTCGCAAAATTTCGGACAAATTTAGTACAGTCTGGCCCGCGGCATTCACCATAACCAATGGTTGAGATCAATCATCTCTAGAAGGCTGGTAGATCACGACTTGAACTGAAGGATTATGAGTAGTGTGACAGTATAGGTGGAGCAAGCCAAGCTTTCAGTTCTCGCATCATAATTGGATCAAGAGACTAGAATTATAAAATTGCCCACTGCTCGACCGGGGCCATTGAGAGCTCTGACTGGGTGGCTGGGGTATAGCGTCCCACGTCTGGTGCTCCGTGCAGATTTGGGGGATGTGATGTGATAGACGTGCATATATAGTCCCTTAATTAGCAACACTTAACCGCCCAGCTTCGGCACAATGCAAGGTAATTTACCCCATCCTGTAGTTTATTCTATCTTCATTTTTGGTCAAATTAACCTTGAGCATCTACTTTTCAATAGATTTACTATTAATAACCTTCAACGGAGATCGAGTTGAGTCCTAAAATAAGACAATTAATCTAATATCGAGCTTCAATTGGTATAGCCTTTACACTTCGTCAAACCCCGCTCAAACTGCTAGAATGCCTGTCGCTTTTCTTCCCTTGTGTACGACCAATTTCCCATTAGCAACGGCCCACTGCAGATTTGGCTCTCGATTGGCCATCGTTACTTACCAGCAGAGTTAATAATAATTGATCAATCTATTACCGCATCCAACCCAATTTTAGCCATTCAACCCTCGGCCTGTTGGAAAATTTCGATCTACACATCCACACGTTCAAAGTATAAACGCACAATGAGGAAATTCCTCGTGCCTTCTCAACCTATTGTAAACCAAATCAAAATTTCCCTGGTCCACTTGCGGCTTTATTCATCGAGAAATAACGATATCGAGTAGGTGATGTAGTTAACGATCTGTACTCGTACGGAGTATATGCTTAGTTATTTGCTAGTACTCCGACCGAATGTTGACCGCGCATCATCCATCGTTCAAACCCTAGGTAGTTGCTGGTCGCGAAAATATATCAAGAGAAATGATGCCTCGCATCTTGATGTCGGCTTCCGTTCTCCTAGGGTACCTAGATAAGGACTGCAGGTATAGCCATCCTTCTTTGTCATTCTATTCTACATATTGAGGCTTCGGAGATATATCTATCAGCCGTGATGGTATATGTGCCATGTTATTCTCAATTGCGAATAATCCCTTGAAATTCGGTCTTGCAATGTTGTTTCCAAGATAAAGCCCAAAGCCCTACTCCGTACCTTTAGACTATCCTATGTTACACAACCACAGAAGAAAGTACCACATCCGACAAATTGGAAATAAACACGGTACGGGATACCTATCTGTAGCTATCCGGTTATTTTCTAGGCTGCCATTTCATATTTGCTGCAACTGAAGTCTTATACAGATACTTGAATTCCTAAATTCTCATATTGTATGTGGCGCATCGGGTTAGCCGTCATAATTTTATACTCTATGGAGCCGAAAGCAATGCGTTGAGTTTATGAAATCTTTGACGGTGGGAATTAGGCGAGTCTAAAATACATAAATGAAACCTCTCATCTCAGATCAAAATAATAAAAGTTATGATATGGAGTGTGTTTTCCTAGTTAAATCTGGCAATTTATGGTGTTGATCTCTTCCACATGAACAACTGCAGCTAATTTATCAATGCGTCGAGAAATATGCAGCACATGGCACATCCCAACCCCACCCTAGCTTACCTACAATACGGCGGTGAAAGAATCCAAAGACTGGAAAAATTCAGAAATCGGCCAGCAGCATTCCATTCCCATTAGACTGCCCGCCCTCCCAGGGTTAGTATCCTCATAGTGTGTTTGAAGTGCCTGTCAACACATCCTCCAGAAAGGGCACAAGTTTAACATCATTGTATCCGTACACAGATCATTCGATTAGCCCCCAAGGCTCATATCATATCAACGAATAATAAGACGAACGTAAGAAAAACATGTGCTATCCAAGCCACCAAGCTACTAACTAGTCTATAATCAAAAAATGAAACCGGGCATATTTTTAAGTATTGGTAACGGAGCGCCGTTGGCAACGGAGACCCTGGCAACGTGGAGAAAAAAAGACAGGGGCATCACTCGAGGAATGGGGATCGCAATTAAATATAGTAACCCCGAGTGAAAGTTCACCTTCCAAGAAAATGGCGTAGCGCTAACTGAGGGTTGATGCGTGGTCGTCACGCTGCGTCGGGTTCCTATAGGTGCGAAGTGGGGGAGGGGTTGCCTGCATAGGCGCTAACTGCACACCAGTCACATCTTCACTCCAACGTCGACAACGTGATCACTTTAGAGAAATGCGCATCCTTCAAGCCAATTAATGTTTAAGCTTGGGCCGCCTTATTTGGCAAGAATTGCAGTGATGGGTTATAATTGGGCGATGCTAATGCGAGGTGCTTGCATCTGAAGCGGAACTACTGCAGGTGAATCACCTCGTATCACAATCACATATGCCCTTAATCCCTGCTCTTAGCCAATCGCCTCCGCTGTCTGCTACCGAATTTTAGTTACGCGCTGAGTTTCACCAACTTGGTATGACACGGAATTTTTGTCCCGTTGAGCGGTTCGGGTTGGCTAGATCCTTTCCCCAGCGCTACGTGGTAAATGATTTCTTAGCACAAAGGGCAGACTTATTACAGCCCAACTGCCCCGATGTGACGAACTTCTGTTGGATCTCCGCTCATATTGAGTCTATTTTCTATCTCCATACTTTCATTTCATCATATTGTTAGTTCACTGCTGTGCGGGAACTCTAATAACACCACATTCATTTAATTATACTACTATATCTTGCAAATTACCATACTCACGATTAACGACATGGTAAGCTGGAATCCTAGGAAAATGATATGATCGCTGTTAACCATTCCAGAATATGAACTCATCACTGGCTGCTCGGCGAAGAGTAGTACCTGCTGAGGTAGACACGACAAATCATGAGTGGTTCTATCCCAAAAAGACCGTCGAGAAACAGCGCCCCAACTCAGGGGCAACCTTCTTCGATGACACGGATTCTGAGAGTGGTGACTGGCGCCAATCGCACCGGCAGAGTATGCAATCGGTAAGTGTCCTTATCCTTGTATCAAAATATGAAGTCTAATGTAGTATGAACCAACCAGTACAGTAACGGGAGCAACACTACCCTTTCGAGCCCTGAGCTACCCACTCCAGACCTCCTGCCAAGAAACCTGCCTACCTTTCGATCAAGTAAGGAACTGATTGCGGGCCCTTCAGGTCCTGATTTGTTCAGAGGATCCAGGGGTTCGACTGTGGATGTTGAATTCTATCTTGAACCGTCACCTTCGCTCGATTTCAAGTCACTTACACAGCCTGAGTTTGTCAACCCGCATCAGGCTGAGTTCGTCAACCAATACCAGGCCGAGTTCGTCAAGTACCAGGACGAGCGCCCCAACCAGTACCAGCCTGAGCGCTCCAACCAGTATCAGCCTGAGTTCGTCAACCAATACCAGGATGAGCGCCCCAACCAGTATCAGCCTGAGCGCCCCAACCAGTATCAGCCTGAGCGCTCCAACCAGTATCAGCCTGAGTTCGTCAACCAGTACCAGGATGAGCGCCCCAATCAGTACCAGCCTGAGCGCTCTAATAAGTACCAGGCTGGTCGCTCCAACCCTTATCTGTTATCTCCTAAGACACCAAAGGCTTTTCCACGCAACCCCGATGTGTCTCATCTATCAAAGAAGGAGATTAGGAACTGGGATCCTAGCCAGGTCGCTCACTGGCTATTTATCGGTGGATATCCCGATGATATCCGTGACACGTTCCTCAAAAATGATATCACCGGCGACATTCTAATGACCTTGACAAAGGATGAACTCGAGTACCAACTCCGAATCCAATCTATGGGCAGACGTGTCCAGCTCATCCAATCGATTGATTATCTCCTCGAGAACATGCAGACGAGACCGATTCCAGAAACACCGTCTCAGTTTCCGTCCGAGGCGGCGTCTTCTAACGGGAGAAGATCCCCCGAATCGTTCGCCCCCCAGGAATTGGCTCCTAAAAGAACCCCTACAGGCCAATCTTATACAATGTCTATTTCGCCTGACGGTAAAATTCTCTCTTCGCATGCCTTTGGACAGAGTGGGGATCAAAGCACCGCAGACGCAGAGTCTGTATCGATTGTTGGAATCGAGGAATTTCATCCGAAGCCCCACAGGTGCTCCAAAGGAGAGAAATGCAGCAAGTTCAAGAAGCTCAAGGAGAAGCGCCTGAAGAAGCTTACTACAGAGTATCCCGGCGCAGATTTTCAGGGGGGTGCTATCTTTGTAGGCAGCCCCGGAAATCCTGAAACCGCGAGAAATCTTCTCCGGCCCACGTCCGAGGCCGAGCTTTCAGCGATGGCATCCTCAAATATCTTTGGTCCTCGGTCCGGACCAAGACTCTCTGAGGCAGCTCTGAGCGAAGTTCAACGCTTAGATCCACAAGAAACAATCCGAAACTTTCTCAGGCACCAGCATATCGATGACTTCCCCAAGCCTGGACCCCTTGGGCTGGACACTTACAATCTTCCGCCGGCAGACGACTTTGAGGACATCTCCCCGCTGAATGCCCAGTCAAATTCTATGGCCGCAAATCTGCGCAGTCTTCCGAGGCTTACGATACCAACAAGCCCGCTCACGGAAGATATGACAACCGCTGTTACCACCAACAGATACTTCACTCCTACTCATCAGAATGGCTCTCCTACTGCTGTTCAGCAATTTGGCCCTTTCAGTCAGGTTCATCAAGCCCAAGCAACTGAGACCTACCGCCAAGGTACACCATTCTCCGAAGTTGATGTCCCTATCACTGCAATCCCCAGTGATCCGATATCCCGTGATGTGTCTCAATCTGTTCCCCCAAGTATGCAATATGGAACCTTGTTCCCTCCGTACCGAGATGCCAATCACCTCTCACGGAGCAACTCGACCCGTCCCAGTGATGATCTCCCTCTCCGTGATGCCAACTATTTTGCACGGAGCACTTCGACACGTCCTCGCGATGCTTTCCCTCTCCGGCAGGTGAACGAGGGCAAGCCTCTGACCCCGATCGATGTTCCCGCAGACCTGATCCGAAGCCCCCGCGTGAACCAGTATGGTAACAGCAGCTCGCTAGCTCTGGCCGATCCGGAAGTTACCCATGCGGGATACATGAAAAAGCGCAAGACCACACGTCTGCTCAGACACGAGTGGTCCGACGCACACTTCACGCTCCGTGGCACCAACCTGGCCATGCACAAGGACGAGCGTGATGCGCACCGCATTTCGAGGGCCCTGGAAAACATTGAGGTCGACGAATATGCCGTCGCTTGCTCGTCGCTGGCGACAAGCTCCAAGCTGACGGCTGCGTTCAAGCGCTCGATCTTACGTAACGGAAACAGTACCACTGACATTCGTGATGGTACCGCTTTTGCTTTCTCGCTTATTCCAGCTACAAAGGAGAGTGAGAAAAAGGCTCTGTTTGGAAACAGCGCTGTTAAAACCCACCACTTCGCTGTCAAGTCTCGTGAGGAGCGCATCGACTGGATGCGTGAGCTTATGCTTGCCAGGGCCCTGAAGAAGGGTAGAGACGGCGAGGATGGCACGTCTATGGATGGGAATATGATTTGAGTGTTTAGATTAGTGGTCTTGTTGCTTCCAGCTCTTTGCATATGTATACGCTTACAATTCGTTTGGTGTTCTTTGATTTTTGGTGTGCTGCGGTCCCACCATCGCTGAAGGAACTACCTAGGTATCATTGCTCTGGCGCTTTTGTTGGTACATATTTATTTCCTGTGTCACCCCCTTGGACAAATTCATGAAACGCGTCGCCGTGAGACGGTCAGACTGATACCCCTTGATTAGTATAGTTGCGTTTAGTTACAGAAGAGGTAGTTAAGGAATTCAAATTGTTAATGTGCGAATCTTATTTTTCCTTTATAACATACAATCTTCCTTGATTTTGTAAACGTACCCAACTCCCAGCTCTCCGCGGCTCACTCATATATATCTTCTTTTGCCTGAACATTGCCGCTGGAGGTGTTTCTCAATATCATTTGTAAAGAAGCAGAAGGAATAACCTTTATTTGAGTCTACTCTACTAGCCTACAGTTGAATATGGTTCATCTCTATCTTGCAAAGTTGTTAGCGTCCTCCGAGGACAGTGTAGACATATATTCCGTGCTTGGTGATGCTATATCATCCCATCATCCGAACGACTAGATACGCCCACCCATCTCCATAAGCAGAGCTTCTCACAACCTCTTCGATCGGAGCAGACATGGGTATCACAGCACCGTGTAGCACGGGCTTTGCAAGGACAGGGGTTCTCCGACTGGGAAACAGATTAGGTAGCAATGTGTGTAAAACAGTCCCAACCGTTTGAGGCTGGAGAGTGGAACCGCTCCGCGAGCTCAACATTTGACTTGACTGCATACTGGGTGCTGGTATGGAAGGAGGAAGTGGCGATTGTACCACTTTAAGGGAGGGAGACTCGGCATTTAGTGGGAGTGGTAGAAAGATCCGGATCGGAACGTTGCGAAAAGGTTGTGAGTGCCGGGGAAGAAGGATATTTGATATGCGCTGAAAGGAAAGAAGATCGACTATGTTTCTTCGTGTTAGGATTGTCTCTATGATTAATGCAGCAGAGAAGGTTCTACACAGAATGTTTGACTCACGTTCTTGAACGGCATTCCAAAGTCCCGATGAGTCTTCTTTTGAGAGACTCATGATGCCCTTAGCTGTACCATTTCGTAGGAAATCTGCTTCCTTCACACTGTTTATAAAGGCATCGTTCATGACCATTCCATCGGCATCAAGTCGAACAAGGTCATGCGGCCAGTTGGTAAAGTGCACTATCAGACGCCAAGGCAGCGGTGGCCCGTGGTCAGTGGACTCATTGTCTCTTGTGGCGGTCTTGGAGGCCGGGTCTGCTCCCGCATAGAGGTCAAATAACAGCCCGACTGGGTAGTGCCACTTCAGAGGCACACCCTCAAACTCAAACCAGCCATCATGAGACTGGGAGTTTGGCTCTATCAAAAAATTCGAGAAGAAAGCTCGAAGCCTAGGTAGCAACGAGGGAAGATATGAGATGCGCGGATATGAGATCTAGGAACTGAGATCAGCATTTGTGCTTATCAAGTGCTTGAAGAACAGACATACAAGATATGGATCCGTCTGATCAAAGGTTCGACTTTCTGATGAGGCCAGAACAATCTGCAGTGGCAAGCGCCCGTCCCAGACGGCCTTCTGGATAGATCCGAGAGACACTCGGTTCTCCATCCTGAGGAGTGATAAGGCGCTCGGTTCTTTCTTCAATGTTTGCTTTGCTGCTGGTTTGTCAAAACATGGTTAGCTCATATAGCTATTTACAACCTATAAAAACATACTTGATCTTCACACGCCGTATTTCTGATTACTACACGCGCTGGGATTGATTCGCATGTCTTCAACCGATAAGACTCGCGGATTTGGAAATGCCCCGCTTTCGAAATGGTCATGATCCGGGAAACGGCGTATCCACAAAATTCCAGAGATAGTCGGCCACTCTTGGGAAATCAAGCGTTTGATTCCAAGGAGATACTGGCGGTTCGTGTTGACATAGCGTGACTTGAAGACGCGCCAAAGGTTGATGGCACGTGTTTCTGCCTCAGGCAATAATCCCAATATCTATGCCTCAGGCTTCACAGGTTTTGATTTCCAACCTTCCAACATTAAAGCAGCAATAACTTTTGGCCAATACATATGCAACCTAATGATGCGATGGCATTCAAGGCAAGCGGATCTTGCAGGATACTGGTATCCTCCAGATTCTGGATATTCAAGCGCAACTTGGTGTATCTTCGTTGACCATCAAGGTCCTTGATGAATTTTCTAGATTTATCTACATCTTCTTTTGTGCGTCTGTACACCAAATATTTCTGCACGTCAAAAGGCTTAAGATCACGTCGGCATTAAATGCAGTCGTGGCGCGTTGTTCGCATTTTTTGCCCAGCTCTGGTGCCTCATTTTATTGACATGGCCCCAATAAAGACTGCCCATCCATAATCTACAGGCACGACAGCAGCGGAATACAATTGAATCGCCTCGCCAAGTGTTTTTCCGTCCGCCGTGCTTTGCAGCCGCTTTATATTCTTGGTCTCACCTACATTCGAAAGCTTCTTGGCATGATGTTCCTACCAATGGAGCAGTGAGTTCTAGCCATGGAAGCATACTCCGTAACTGCTAACAAGCGATCAAGAGACCAATACTAGGAGCAGACCCAGGCTGCGCACGTTTTAGTGACATCGATCTACAAGTATTGGTGCAAGCCGTGCCAAGATTGCGTTGAAAGGAAAATCGTAAAGCCGAGAAGTCTTAGAACTGCCGCCACGGATGGCCGAAGACTATCCCGAGGTGCCACTCATGTAGCTTCCATACCACCTCAAGACTCGGCCTCGCAGCCGACAGGAGGAAACTCCGAGACTTTCATCTGGAAGCTGCTGCCAACAGGGCATGCAATATGAAAGGATTCGAGTGTAGGGCTGCTAGAAACTCCAAGGCTGGGGCTTTTTTTGCGCTGTTGTAAGGGGCCTCCAATTTCTGCAAGATCGGCCAAATTTAGCCTTGTCCCCGCAATCTATGATACACAATACGTATTCATCCCCCACGCCGCGTATTCGCCTGTAGGTTCTATGGCGAAGACTGCATTTGTGGATATTTTGGCTCAAGAAAGACGGGTACTCGCAAGCGCAGAGAAAATCCTATTGGATATTCACCAAAGTCACCGAGAAAACTATGAATTCAGAAGCACAATTTCTTCAAGGCCCATAGGATAAACGCTGATAGGTTGTGACAGGTTAGTGCCAATAAGTCCTTCACTCTAAAATTTGGCTTGTATGACTCTTAGGTAAAGGCGACTCGCCATTCAACCTCAATTTCAATAGTGCATTCTTGAATACCAAGGCCGGGCGGCAGCCACGGCGTCCTTCCAAGCCGGAATCGGGCCGAAAAGAGCTTGTATAGTTCTGATCATTTAAACACCACGGCAACAACATCAGGATCATATAGTAACCGTGTAACTTTATTGGATGAGCACATTGACTCATGTATCTATTTGTAATCCGGGCCCGACCGCCATGTCAACCCCGGAGTTCCGTTTAGTGTAAATGTCATTCACCCCAATGCACTATCCCGGGCGGGGCCTATTCCGCCATTCCTGGGGGATCTTATGGGAGATTTCAGGTAGGGACAAGTAATGATACAACTTGAAGGATTCCCCCATAAGCATACATACTAGGATGTACATGCCAGTCAAAAATTCCTCCTTCTTCTATAGTTATTCCTACTCCGTAGCCTTACTCCGTGTTTCGGTTAATGACCCGAAATCAAATAGACTTTTACCCCTTCTTCCGTTTGCCGTCGGTGTACCTCGCTATTCGGACATGTACGGTATTCGGGAGCTCGGCAAAACTCCGCGGCTCCACTGGTGGTTAAGGGTTCTCCCCTATAGGCGAATGAACGTTTTTGCATAGAACATTTGGGGAAAACAAATCACGGGGTAATCACTCAACAAGCGGGACTTCGCTGTGCCAGTCTCCCCCACACTACTACAGTTCGCACTCCAGTTCCCCTCAAACTGGAGACAGTAATCCGTCACGGCCTCACCGGAGCCCCCATGCGATAAAACATATACATACCTACTCGGACGGCTAAACGTAAAACTCTTATCCGGTGTGGAAGCAAAAGTACTGTCACAGGTATGTCTACCATCTACTGCACCCAATAGAAAACTCTTGAACAGGAGGAAATAAGAAATTTCCGGTGAGCTCTTCCAGTTTGATATACCTCAAAATACTATAAAAGGCTTATTTGCCGGCTGAATGTTTCCTTCGGGGAAAACGCTACCCCGGCCAATGTTCCCACTCATAGCATCTTCATGCAGCTGTAATCATCGCCGTAGCGTAGCCTCACGCTCGAACCCCATATTATATTGCCCCAGTCTATGGGGTTTTAGGCGACATATGTTGTGGGGAGCTTAGTTGGGGAAATTTCCACACCCACAGTCCATTAGAATAGCGGGTATTACTTAGGGCCACGTTTTAGCACCCCTTGACTCTTCTTCCTCCATCTGTCTTCGAGCAAAATCTTTCTGGTTTTCTCACCCTGACCTTCACTTCTACCTCGCACGCACAGCTCGAGCTGTCACCTCTTCAGCTATGGGCATTCTCACACTTGCTGAGGATCGGCCAACGCCCAAGTCCGTTTACAACTGGCGTGTATATGCACTCGCCGTCATTGCATCATGTGGTTCCAACATGATCGGCTATACCAGTGCCTTCATCGGTACAACTATCACACTCTCCTCCTTCATGAAGGAATTCGGCCTCGACGAGATGTCTTCCACACAAAGGAGTCTGATTAGCGAGAACATCGTCTCACTTTTCATTGCTGGTGCCTTTTTCGGTGCCCTGGGAACATATGCCCTAGGCCACTTCATCGGCCGAAAATGGAGTTTGGCTGTTGCTGCCACGGTATTCTTTCTCGGAGCTGGACTACAACTCGGTGCTAACAGTGCCCGGGGGCTGGGTATCCTCTACGCTGGTCGTGTGCTGTCCGGTTTGGGTACCGGTGTAGCCTCGAATATCATTCCCATATATCTTTCCGAACTAGCGCCCCCTGCAATCCGAGGACGGCTCGTCGGTCTATATGAGCTTGGCTGGCAGATAGGCGGAATGTTAGGGTTTTGGATTAATGTGAGTCTCCCTGTCTCTCGTTGATCTTTTTTTTCCCCGTGTTATCTTTGCATTCAAAGCTAACCTAGATATGGTAGTATGGTGTTGAGCAACACATGCCTGAAGTCCACGAGCAATGGATCATTCCCTTTGCTATCCAGCTCGTCCCCTCCGGTCTGCTTTTCATAGGTGCCTTGTGGATCAAAGAATCTCCTCGTTGGCTGTTTCTCAAGGACCGTCGCCGCGAAGCGATGAAAAATCTTTGCTGGATCCGCCAATTGGAGGCCGATGACATGTACATCACCGAAGAGGTAGCTGCGATCGATCAGGCTCTTGAGCATCAGAAGACTTCCATCGGTATTGGCTTCTGGAAGCCCTTCCAGGCTCTCGCTACTAACAAGAGCGTCATGTACCGTCTTATGCTGGGCTGCATGCTCTTCTTCTGGCAAAACGGCTCCGGGATCAATGCCATCAACTATTACTCCCCTACCATTTTCAAATCGGTATGATTGCGCCTCATCAGATGCATTTCCGATAATCAATTACTTATGCTAACTCATGTTTCTTAGATCGGTGTCGACCCGAATACCGTTAACCTGATGACCGGTATCTTCGGTGTCATTAAGGCGGTTATGACCTTCGTGTGGCTCCTGTTCCTGGTCGACCAATTCGGAAGGCGCAATCTGCTCCTTGTTGGTGCTGTGACTGGATCGATCTGTATGTGGGTCATCGGTGCCTATATCTGTGTTGTCAAGCCCGAAGATAATGTCGCCACGTCTCTGAACGGCGGAGGCATTGCGGCCATATTCTTCTTCTACCTGTGGACTGCGGTTTACACCCCTACCTGGAATGGTACCCCTTGGGTTATCAATTCCGTAAGTCGCTGCTTATTACCATTCTCAATTGAACATTTTCCTGACCATTTATTAGGAATTCTTCGACCCCAACTTCCGTTCCCTGGCTCAGGCTGCCACGACTGCGAGCAACTGGCTCTTTAATTTCCTCGTCTCTCGCTTCACCGAACAGATGTTCGCCACGATGCACTACGGCGTGTACTTCTTCTTCGCTTCACTGTCATTCCTGGCATTCTTCTTCGCGTTTTTCCTCATCCCTGAGACCAGTGGTGTTCCTCTTGAGAAGGTCGACCGCCTGTTCGATTGCAAGCCCGTCTGGAGAGCGAACAAGATACTCAAGGCCGCCCTTGCGGAAGAGGAGGAGCAGTTCCGCTACGAGGTCAAGGAGGCATCGTACCATGAGGAAAACACTGGTTCGATAGCTCCTACGCCTTGAGATGAGGAGAGACAAATATGAGCGATACAGTTACGAAGAGATATATAGAGCTAGTTAAACCTTGTACAGATGATCACGATGTATAGACGCTGAATAGATTATCATAGACTTATTTTTCAATTGCCCAAAACTATACAGTATGCTTGACCAAGAGTTTGGAGTTTTGGGTAATGGCAGCCCGGGCCAGCAAAAACACCGGAGCCGCAGCGTAGATCAGGTCCCCCCCCCCGGTGTTTCAATAACTCCAAAGTTCGGATATTATTATTCTAGTTCTCTAGTTATTACTATACATAATCGCGTCTTTAAAAGCAAAAAAACCAGGTTTGACGACTGGGGAAGCGCATAACTGTGGACATTAGGAGCTCACCATCACCTAACTTTGGCCACTTAGGTTCTTAAATAATGACTTTGTAAGTATGTAATCCCAGGCATAATATAACACGCAATATACGGTGTGAGCTCAGACTCATCCACAAGCAAACTCCTGCGCCGTCTGGGCAGTAGCGAGAAACCAAAGCGCGCTGGTTGCGACCACACTCATTTCGCCGTATGCTCGCGTGGGGATAAACACAGTTCAAATAGAGTTGGTTTGATGAGAAGACGAAGAATGAATGGAAGAGATTTATGACAGACATAGGACACACTCATTGCTAACATCATGCATAATGATTTTGTGGATTGGTGATTCCTGGTTCGCTTGGCCGGTGACAGGTCTGATAGCATGCATAGTGAGTTGGGCAATCCCCATTTACATGTATGATATCATCTAGCATATATAGCTCTGTAGATCGTTTGCTGATGAACATTACGATCGCTGCGGTTCATTCTCGATTCCAGGGTTGTGGCTAGTGCCTACGTCATGCCACGAGATGGGCCCTGCAGGGTATAGATCAGCACTGATATTGAAGATGAAGGAGATGTGTCGGGCACAGTGGGAGTTGGTGGTTCTTGATTTCTTCAATGCATAACTAGTTATTTGAAGTTGTCGCTAATGATGATCTTGTTGCAGTGCATTTTTTTTAATATGCTTCACAAAGTTGTACACAGCACACAGCCAGGTTTGCATATTCAAGTAGTACAAAGGCGCGAGGGATCGCAGATTTGTCAGCTGGCAAGTCTGATTGATCAGGCGAATATCCAAGACCCTTCTCAGTGTGGCTGAATTATTTGAAGCTGGCGATGTGTGGAAAGTGATTGAAATCCGGGGCACAAATACAGTATATGTGGCCTAAAACATACCCAATCAGTCGTCGCAATCCCAGCAGAGTGTCCTACTCCATAACCTTGCTAAAAATGATGAACGGGGTACTCCGTACGGAGTAGCTCCAGATCATAAAATCCCAATCGGCAATGAACGTGATTAAGGTGAGAACATTGCGATTGGTTGGACATTGCCACCAGTTTTACATTGTCCAATGAGAGACATGGGTCTTAAAACGCGATCGTTCCAAGGTCGACGCATTCTAAATTTAGGGGAACCAGATCCTTTGAGGCTTTCTAAAAATGGCAGGGATCGGCTGATAATCTGGAAGCCGACGGAAAAAGACTAGATGAACACTATATTGTATACACTCAAAGCCAAAGCGTTCCTTTAGAGTATGTTAACTGTAACTACCGGTCTAAAGGCAGAAGAAGGTTAGGTAATGTTGACCTCGAGAGTGCGCGAGATGGCTGCTTGCGGAACTAGTTTGGCCGGTGGCGGCCTAGAGTTTTTTTTCATGTTACGTTGGCTGATTCCTAAGCCTAGGAAAAAGCGAGAATAAGCCGAAATAAAGATTTTCACTACGGAGTCTACGGAGTTTACGGAGTAGGAATCGGCAGGATCGTCTAGGGTCTTGGGGGGGTTGGGGCAGTGTAGAGGGGCAAAAGGCTGGGATGACCAAGGTAGCTGGGGACCGTAGTTGATCATGACTCCAATGTACGGGGTAACTACATTATACAGCTAATAGTAAAGCCAAGTTTAACTGTTTAATGAATGTCGGTTGCCTGAGAGTGGCTTCACTGCACGACCCTGGACGATCTTTTTGGCTCCACTGAGCGCTTACGTCGTACTGTGGAGTTCAATGATATCAGGAAAATCGAGGAAAAGAAAAAGAAACGAAATTCCCATTTTCTCTTTTCAACATACACTCGTTTTGTCGCCATGCAACTGAATGGCTCCCTTTTCGGAGCTCTCATCCTCGTCCTCCAGAGTCTTCAGCTTGTACAAGCAGAGAACCTCATCCAAGCCACCGGGCTGACACAATGTTCCGATAGTGCCGAAGTGACCGTCAATAACTTCAATGCGATATTCACGCCAAACAACAAGTCCATCAGCATCATCTTTGATGGCTATTCCGAAGTGGCCGGAGATGTGCTCATTGACGTGGACCTCCTGGTGTACGGATACAAGGCGTTTACCAAGTCGTTCGATCCATGCAGTCTCGATTTGTCGGTGTTTTGTCCTATGAAAGCAATTGAACTGCAAATTCCCAAAATCACCCAAACATTGGGCGACAGTGTCCTCTCGCAAATACCATGTTCGTCCACACTTCCCCGATAGTCGCAAATTCTTTCAGGGCTCGGAGACTCCGGAAATTGGTCTTACTAACGGTTACGTCATAGCGATCGCCTATAGCGTCCCCGACATCGATGCAGTGATTCGGCTCAGGCTCAAGTACAAAAATTCAGGTAAACAGATCACTTGTTTGGAGACCCGTGTCCGCAATGGGAAAACAGTCTACCAGCGTGGTGTGTCGTGGACACTCGCTGTCATCACCGGTCTTGGTCTCATCATGTCCACGGTCATATCGCTTCTTGGCCATTCGAACACGGCTACCCATCTCGTCTTCCGATCGCTTGCATTCCTCGGATTCATTCAAACACAGGCGATGGTTGGGATGTGTTCAATGGCATTGCCGCCGTTTGTGCAATCCTGGACTCAGAACATGCAATGGAGCTTAGGAATTGTGCAGCTGGATGCTCTGCAGACAATTGCGACCTGGTTTCAGCGCGCCACCGGGGGTACACCTTCGACCGTGCTTGAATCGGCGAGTACTGCATCTGTCGTCTTACAGAAGCGTTCCGCCGGGATCCATCGCAGAGCCGCAGAGGAAGGAACTCAAATTCTTCTTCGCGGTATTAAACGGGTTGGAATTCGCGAAAACATCGAACTGAGCAACATCTTTATGACCGGATATCTATTCTATTACTTCGTCACCGCAGTCATCGTCATCTGTGTAGGGTTGGTTCTCCTAGTCCGGAGTGTTTTAGCCAAGAAACAGACAATGCTTCCAAAGTTGGATCGTGCCATCAGTGTCACCGCAGATTGGAAAACCATCCTCCGCAATACCTTCTTCCGGCTGGCATGCATCGGATACCCACAGATGTGTATCCTATGTCTCTGGGAACTGACTCGTCACGACTCAGCCGCTGAAATTGTCCTGGCCATTACCATGTGGCTGGTCACGACTGCCGTCTTAGCCTTTGCCACATTCAAGGTGTTCCAACGCGCGATACGGTCGAAACAGCAGCACAACACACCTGCGTACACGCTCTACTCCGACCCGGCCACTCTGAACCAGTGGGGTTTCCTATACATCTACTATCGCGCTCCGGTCTATTACTTCATTGTCCCAGCTCTGGTCTACATCATTGTTAAAGGAATGGTTATTGCCTTCGCTCAGCCTTCACCGATCGCCCAGTCGATCATTCTGCTCGTTTTGGAACTCTCCATGATGCTCGCAACCTCCATAATCAAGCCGTTCATGAGCAAGGGGGCTAATGTCGCTGCAATCACGATGACGGTAATGAATTCGCTCAATACGATATTCATGCTTGTTTGGACGAATATCTTTGACCAACCTGAGCTCATGACTGGCATCCTGGGGGTAATCTTCTTCATCCTGAATGCGCTTCTCACTCTCTTGCTCCTGATCTACCTTTTGGTTGGTATGGTTTACGCCATTTTCTTCAAGAAGCCCGACACCAAGTACAAACCTCTTGGCGATGACCGTGACTCTTTCCGCTGGTCTCGCACCGGAACGACGACTGAGTTGTCGTCCCTCGAGAAGATCGCAAGAGGCGAGGACGACACAGAAGGCCACCCTCATCCCCCGCCCGTGGTCACTGCTCCGCCCAGCGACGAAGATGTGTCAATGGCAGCCAAAAGGCCATATAATGATGTTGTGGACCCTTCGCTGCCGCTCTTCCCAGCCAGCTATGAACGCACGCAACGATAGTCGTGAGCATTTAGAGTCAATATTTTCTCTCTTTTTCTCTCTCCTTTTCTGTTTTTTTTTTTTTGTTTTGAAGCGAGATTTCTTAATTCCTGCATTCGGTGCGTCGGCGCTTCGGGTGGCTATTGTACATATTCAAAATTTTGACGTTCAGGAATTGGGCTAGATAATATATGTTTCTAGAAAGCTTTTTACTGTGTTTGCTCTACATTGAATATGAACACCTAATTAAACCTTTCATTTCGGAATAAAGACGTCTTAAGACCGCGCCAAATCTGACTCCTTTGCCAAAGGATTTACTCTGCTCCAAGTCTTCTAGGAATTGCAAGGTTATTGCCAGAAGAGCATCAGCGTCAGGGTCTCGACAGCCGAGAAATAAATTTCCCGAGGAAAAGAAGCATTAGCTTAGTCCATTTTATTGCCTTTACAAGGGGAGCGTGTGTCAAGTGCTAGCTGGTCAAAGGCATCTGGTCTGGCTGTCATACAAAATGCCCTATGAGGAAATGTCATTCCGATGTTGATATCTCTTCGCACGTTGTCTTCTAGTTCTTTTATCATTATGATTTGATTACCTATCATCAATTGCTTACATCTGATTAAGTTGCTATATATTGTCTAGCTGAGCATTGTGAGAATTGCTTATCACCTTGGCTTTCTTTTCCCAGCTCCTAACATAGACGTAAAGAAACGAATTGATACCAACACCATTTAGTTAGTTACAGCTTATCTTTCACATAATCAATCCAAGGGCACTCCAGGAATGCGGCTGTGCTACCATCCCTTGATTCAGGCGACCAACATGCGAGTCTTATAAATATCAAATTTGCATGCGTGTTAGTCAAGGCTGAGCATATTACGATTCTCGTTTATAGTTGTACACACTCTGACAGTGTCATCCCAAGACCCAGAATAGACTCGTCATCTGGACCAAGACGGACTTAGCGAGTAGCCATCCGATTCCGAGTCAGGCCCCTTGTTTGCAGCCAACTCGAGGAGATATGACTGGGGTGTGCGCAGTTCGATGAGGTGGCTTACCGGAAAAAGCTGGATAAAATAAGCCGGCTGCATAGGCCACGTTCACACGCGTGGAAAAATGCGACGTCTCCAGTACGGAGTATCTGTCAGCTGTTTCAGACTCGACGCTCCACTTCGCTCTCGGTGCATATGTAGCTATGGTCGAAACACATGTTGCGATGGTAACAAGCTGCAGCTACTCCGTGCACTTTCGGCATCTATGCCGGAACCCACTGTGGATTAAGTTGATCCATTAAGTTGCGTTTCAGACTGAGGCGTCCTGGGGTGATTGGCAAGGTGAGTCAAATGAGGGAGATGTGTGGACGATCCCTTCCTCTTCTGTCAACATCCTTGCCCCTTGGATGATCCGTTTTTGGACAAGTTTGGCTTTTTTTCTTTATGATAGGTAAAATCCCAAGGAGCGAAGAAGGGTCTCATTATTGAGTTTCTGTAAGCTTCAGGGGCTAGATTTCAGTCTAAAAAAAGAATGAGCTCTTGACCTTAATTTCCCCAGGGCTGAGACCGTTGTGGGATTAGAGCACATCACAAACTAAACGCCATTGCATTCCGTACCACCAGGTCAGCTCACCTGGGACGAATGATCGGCTTAGGTGTTCGGGCTTAGCGAGCCAAGTGATTGACGCCGTAGGTGTATGTAGATAAGGTTGCTGGAATTCCGCCAGACGTGCCTTGCATATCCCAACAGGAGACCCTGTCAAACATTTCTTAAAGGAATGAGCGAATTCGGACACGCGTGGGAAAAGCAACCTTATTATTCCTGAAACACAGGTTTCCATATGGCGAGTGTGGCTTGGGCTTAGCCAAGAATTGAAAAATGAAACCCAATAATGGGGTATATCTGCATAGTTAGTGTACAACATAACGCCGTCCGAAAAGTCTGTCTGCGGACATCCGTTATTTCCGAGGATGCTTCCTTAAAACATAGAGATCAGCGCCAGCACACTTGGTAGGTAGCCTTTAGCTAGACGCCGTGCTCGTTGCCCTATTTTGTAGATATGTAAACGCCTTTGATCAGCGGATAGGCCTAGGTCTTAGTGGCACTAAAAAGCAAAATACTATTACTGCTGTTTCCTTCCTGGGATGTCCCAATCTTTGGACTCGTCATAATCGGCTTTAACAAGGCAATCCATGTGCCCCTTTTCTTAGGCAAGCTCAGTTCAAGTTTCCGAAAATAAGTCACTCGCATTTCGGAGATCTTCAGTTCTCTATGCAGTATACTAGTATCTAGTCAGTTAAGCATTCCTATATTTGTAATAATAGCGATGCAAAATAACCTTTAGGGCTCAAGGCTGGCAAGGCATGGCTGGTATGGACCTGCTACTATCAAAGTATCCTGCGGCAATAGTGGCTTGCCTTATCCCGACTCGTCGTTGAGGGATCTGCAGGGTTGTTCTCAGGAAAGGGAAATGAAGGAAGCATGCAGCAGACGCGCGTGGGCCGGGGAATGTAGCATGGTGAGCCTTGTTCTATTTTATTTATCTTTTTGACCTCTTAGAGCTGAGTCCCTGGGTCAAGACATATGTTCATGACCATGTGATCGACCACGTTAGTCCCCGACATTGTTTCACCCTAGAGGGAGCGAGGATACACGGACATTGCGAAGCGCTTGTACCGCCAAGGGTTCCGGATTTGTTTGTTTCAACGGGTTCTAGACTTGTCTTGTTCCTGTTTTTTTTTTTAAAAAAAGGAGATCATGACCTTGTCCCTTGTTTGATAGCTCTGTCGAATATCCGTTTGCAGAAACTCGAGTTGATGTTTATTTCACCCCCTCACTTCATTCCACAGCACATATGTAGAAAGTCTGGATATTCCGAAACCTGAAACATGCGGCTGGCCATGTGCCGAAGAGGAATGTTGGATTTACGCTCAGGATGATCGTGAAAGCGGGTCTTAGTCCACGCATCCATATGCGGCTGGTACCTGCCTCTCCTAGCCCCGGTTACCTGCATTTCAGCCAATGACAACAGACATATCGCTTGTTTTGCGTAGATGAGCCGACGGGTATGTGCTTTTTTGCTATGGACCCTCGGAGTTTCCCGCTAAACGAATACCAGAACTGGCATGGTTCATGCGGACTCAGTCTTGGCGAACGTTGAGCTCAAGGGTCGAGATGCCGTCACAGGCCCATGGCAGGCGGAGGTTATGCACTCGGTGAAGATCTTTTCCTCGTTTTCTCCTTCGTTTAACTTGTACTGTCCATGTGGGCTATGATGCGAAGCTCAAACTCGCGTGTCCGGCCGCAAAGGCATGCCGTCCTCATGCATAGCGTCAGACCTGCAGTGTATATATAAGAGCTTCCGCTCAGTTGTATCCTGGTCATCATCCACTCAGAAACTCATCAATTCATTCGTCTCTACAGTTCCTTTTCAAACATACCGATCAAAGCCAAGCACATACCTCGCTCTTGAGCACCACACTACCCCAACCCTCCTTCTTTCTACTGGGCCTCTTCCCGGTGACCTGACTCTTTGATTCGCTTGAACCGCTTGCGAAGACCTCACGTTTATCACCAACAACCAACTACACATCATGTCTATCCCGGTCCCGGAACCCAGAACCACATCGTGAGTGTATCTATATCAAAGTGCATCCTTTTAACAATGAACTAACCGGCTTTTCCTAGTGTTGCCAACGGCACCAGTACCAACGCCTTAAGCCAAGGCAACGTCAGCCAAGTGCCGGCAAGCAACCGCAGCAGTGTGGAACGATTCGCACGAGCACCAGCCTCCGAAGGCCCTTACTTCGCCAATGCGCGGATGCCAGAGAGATCGGCACACCTCGCGGCGCTATCAAGCCAACTCAATGCCATAGAGGAGATTATGAAGACTGGGAGTTAGAAGATCAAAGCAAATGAATAAATGAATAAATAAATTATCCAACACCAGCTTCTATGTATAGTCGGTCTATTAAATGGAACGCAACGAAAAACCAATGAAGGCGGATATATCCCGAAACTCCCCCTCAAAGAGTGGATAGATTCCGTAAACCCTTGTTCATAGTATATCGAAGATGTAAGATGCTACTTCCTCGTACTTGGTGCTGGGGAACTCATGTCCCGCTTCGTAAAACTTGAAGACAACATTGCCATCCAGGGCAGCCGTGGCATCTGGAACAAGTTCACTTTTGACAATGATTGAATCACTATTACCACACAGAATGTGCACTTTGTTATCCGCCGGCCTTTTATCTTCATTGCTTGAGGCGCTATTCTGTGCAGTTAAATACTCACCGAGACGCGCCCATGTGTTCCATTGGCGCTCTCGAAGGATTGGACCATAACGCATGCTAGACATGAACGCGTGGACAAACCCCTTGTTATTATTCACCTGCCACGCCACGGTAGACGGGATGTTGATGTGGGGATACTCTCGGGACAGAATTTGAGTTGCTGCAGCGCTCTGGGATGGCAGTTCTTCGGTGAGTACATCCGCGGCACTGGGTTTCTCGTTCTTGGGCTTGGACGAGGCCAAGGGGCCTGCCTTCAGCCGACGGCTAACCAAGGATGCTAAGATATTCTCAGGCATAAGACCCTTTGAGTAAAGGAGTCGACTTTGGAAACTGATATGCGAATCGCGGAGCAATCCCGAAGGGGCTAGGAGCACCAATGACGACAGAAGCTTAGGAAAGTAGGATGCAAAGGCAGCCGCAATGCCACCTCCCAGAGAGTACCCGGTAAGGCAGAATTTACCGGACTCTGCACCTGTCCAAGAGATAGGCGATGATGTCAGAGCGAGGAAGATCTGTGTCGAGAAGAGGCGGTCATCTTGTGGAAGATCAGCAGGGCAGTCGGAGTATCCTCTTCCGAACCTATTTTTCAAGGGTCAGCGATAATACAAAGTGTTGAATGTTGTGCAACACGTACAAGTCAAATAGCATCACACGGCAGCCGCGGTCCACCAACGCATGGGCCACCCCGCCGAGCGAGATACACGGTGTGGTGATACCGTGCACGAACAACACCTTGGGTCCATCTTCTGGGCCCCATTCATACACTCGCATAGACCCGTATGGGCTAGCGACATCGCGAGCACCGGGCAGGGCATCAGCCGGGAGAGGCAATTTACGATTCTCCGACTCGGGTAAGACTGTCGACCGAGGCGATACGAGAACAGTCGGGAGCGATTCGTTTTGAGGGAACACCGATCGAGCGAGTAGACCAAGTGTGAATGAAGCCCCAGTCACTGCTAGCAAAGGGATCTGAGTCTGATGGTTTGAGAATGCACCAGAAAGGAAATCCACAGTTTCGTTGTACAGGCCCATGGTTGCAATTGCGGGAAGTCACCCCTGAAACAACCGTAGAAGCAAGTTCGTCGAAGATTGGAAAGGTGTTGTGATGTAATATTGACGACCTGAACCGACGAGAGTAATGAAGGGAGGTACCACTCTGCAATGAGGGTAAACGAATGCACCGAGTTGGAAGACACTAGTGCTTGAGGGCTGCGACCGAGGCTCACCGCGCTGCCGTGTTGACGCCATGTGCCTGCCCAAATGGTAAGATTAGATAAGATAAGATAAGGATAAACCTCGGCAGTTCGGTCAACTGGTCAGTCTTGGAAGTATAGAGACCCATTCATTCAACACCAGTTAAACTACAGAATATAATCAGCAGGACCCTCAAATGTTTATTTCAAAAAAATAATAACATCAGATGGTCCTCTCCTTCACAGAATGTGTGACAGGTCCGCCCTCACACGCTGCCCGAGCCAGCCAATGACACTAAGGAATGTTGTTTTCCCACAATATCTCACGTGGTGGCTATCTATAGACCAAGTTATTTTCAGTATAAGTAGCTAATCAATGGTATTCTACGATAATTCAGTGATAATTCAGTGAAGAGGAATGTGCGGTAGTCGTGGGTGTGAAATTCAGCAGACGAGGTCATCCAACAACGTACGTGTGCGATGGATAAATGGATTGAACCCATGACTCTCCTATGGTCAACCAGTTCTGCAAGAGGATTTGCAGATCAAGGTCTAGACATGAAGGACAAAGTGTACTTTGACCAAGAAAATAGCACAGAGAGAGAAAGGAAGTATAGAAATACCTAAAGGCGGCCCTAAGGCACCAGGCGCAGGCCTAAGAGAAACCATATAGTTACTCCGTACAAGCGCAAAGCTTCATATTATAGATATTGACTTTTGTATTCAATCTTCTTCGGGTGAACATTAGGGCTAAAATAAATTACAATTTGGGACCTAGTCAATCCGACAAAGGAGGGAAAGGTCGGATGAAGCTAGAAGCAAAAGTTAGCAAGGGACTCATTTGGAACTGGAATAATAGGGACACATACTGAGCAGGACACTCATACCCAGCAGGGTTATTTTGAAGATAGAGCTGGTGATATTCCTCCGCATCCCACCACTGGCCTGCTGGCAGGATCTTGGTAGAAAGCGGAGTTTTATACCACTGCTTGCTGACCTTGTCTGTAATCTCTTGTGCGATCTTTTGCTGCTCTTCCCCGTGCGTAAATATCGCACTACGGTACTGTGTGCCGACATCTGGACCCTGCCGGTTTTCTGTTGTGGGGTCGTGCATGCGGTAGAAGAATTCAAGGAGCTGACGGTAGGTCACAATCGAGGGATCAAAGACTATCCGGAGGGCCTCGGCATCTGTGGAAAGAAAAAAAAAGTAAGTATTCGAAGGTGCGATCGCGATAAGAAATTCCGCGTTATTTCTATCAGATAGCACGGCACTTACGGCCAGTTGAACCGGAGCAGACAGCTCGATAAGTTGGCGACGGAACTGGGCCACCGCAATAGCCCACCTTAGCGTCGAGTAGGCCTTTGCCGTTGCCGAAATTCTTGCGGTACAAGTGCTCAACGCCCCAAAAGCAGCCAGCTGCTACGGTCGCGGTCTCCGTGCCAGGCATTTTGCGGGATTTGGTTTCTGATGTCAAGGGAAAAGCTGAGCTGGTGGAGAAGGAACGAAAGAAGCGTGAGAAAAGGGTCGAGGCAACCGGAGCGACGAAAGTCATTGGAAATTCTGGTGATGGTGGAGACGTACTTGATAAGTGGGGATGCTCGCGGGTTCGAAAGTGAAAGGGACCGTACAGGATGCTGTAAGACTAATGAAAGGGGAGCAATTTGAAGGGAATAAATATAAAAATCAAAGTCTCAGAACAAAGAGTGAGAGGGAGGAAAGGGAAGAAATAGAAGGGAGCTCGAGATTAGAGCTTCGCGATGGCGTCATCCCAGAATTTACAAAGCAGCGCGGGGAATTCGACAGGGATGGAAAGATTAGGGCTTCCAGCAGCCCTATCCGAGTATTATTGTGATTGTACAAGAGCTGCCCTCCAGCTGAAAACCAACAATGCAAGAACAGAGAGATAATAACAGGCGAAATCCAATAAGAATTCTGTCGTACAAATGTACAAAAAAGAAATGTGGTATCTGCTACGCCAACAAAACACCAGTTCCAAACAAGTCAAAACAAAATCAAAGCTAGTCATGAATAATTTCAAGTCATTCACCAGAGCCCACTACCACGCTTGCGAGTTATGGTCGGCAGCAGGGGGTGCTGCCATCGCACTGAGACGGATGGCCTCTCTGCTGGAAAGGCTGATATTTCGAGGTCGGCCGTCTCCACCCAATGTTGTGCGGCGGCCCGTGTTCTTCATAACTGGGAGAGTGTGAGGACTCAAGACCCGAGGCTTGACATCGTGTTCTTTCTCGCTTTTGACCATGCGCCGCGCTTGTGATGCAGTGAACATGTGGTTGTCTGCGGGCGGAGTCCCATAGGTAGTAGAAGTCGGGCTGCGACGGCGGTGAACACGCAGAGTATTGGAGGATGGGTTAAACAGTCCACTAGGAATCCGTCCATTAGACATACGTCGCATGGCTGAATTGATCTTAATTGCATCTTCCTTGTCCGACTTCCAGTTGACCCTGTTTTCAGATACCGGACTGCTGGAGAAGTTGCCGCTGGGACTACGAACTGCAATCCGCGACGGACGATCCGTCGAGGGGCGGTTCATAAAGCTGCTTCCTTCAATATCACGGAGGGGAGAGCTATCTCTTTTTGAAAGAGGAAGGCTGGATGACGGGGGTGGTGCCAATGGTGAGCTGCCATTTCTCTTGGCCAAGAATCCTGCCTTAAAGCGACTGCTGTTCTTTTGAATGTTCAAGGTAGACCCAGTGGATTCATCAGGTGTAGGTGAAATAGAACCGGCCGGGCTGATAACCCTCGGAATATTTCGTGGAATGGGAGATCCCGATCGAGGTGGCAACCATGACTTTTCAAAGCTAGTTTCATCTGCAGAGTCGACCTTCTTAGGGGTCTTTTGGAACTCGGTCAAAGTGCCGTCTTCCTCATCGTCCTTCCATCGGACGGATCGCTTGGGAATTTTCATCTGGACTTTCTTTGGCGAAAAACTGACACTCTTCCGGCCGGCAGTGCCTCTACGGCGACGTGGAGATCCTTTAGTTGGTGAAGCAGGAGCATCAGGGGTGAGTGTGGTTGGAGGATTGGCGCTCGATACTTGTGGCAAGCTCACCAAGCTGAAGCGCTTCTTTGTTTTTGTGGGGCTTGCAGGCCTAGCAGAGCTGAGGTTCGGGACAGACGGCATGGTACCGTCTGGTTTGACAAGGTTGGTTGCTGCATCTGAACAATCCTCTAACATCTTTGTAAGGATAGTCCGCCCCTTTTTGAGAGCCTCGTTGGCGTTTAGCTGCATGATATCCTCGATGGAGTTCATCATCTCAAACTGTGCTTGCAACAGAAGCTGCACGGCAGCAGCTTCTCCAGCCTTGTCCTGTTCTAGCACAGCGGTCAATGCTTCGCGCTCTGCATTGGACCGAAGAAGATCTGCTTCTCGGTTCAAATTGGCATAGTCGCTGTTATCGGTAATGTCAAACTCTTGAAGCTGCTTTGCCGCGTTCTCCACCGCCGAGTTCACCGCTCGGTCCCAAGTGCTCTTTGCTAATTTCTGGTTGTAATGATGTCTGCTACCTTCCAGTTCAAGAAGGATTCCCTGTGCAGATTTGCGGACAGCATATAGGTTCGATAAGCCCTCCTCAGTTTCATGCGCGGCGCAAACATTATCAAAGGCCGCAATCCAGGACGATAAAATGCCAATTCTGCGGCCGATTTGCCTTAGTTTCAGCATGTTGTTCGTCTTCTCTTGTCTTTCGGGTAACGTATGTTCGTAGGCATTGCGAATCCGGGAAACGCCCTCGCGCAAGACAGCGTCTTTCTTCTCACCTTGCTTGCGGAACTTAGTGAAGGCTGCCTTTTCGTAGTCTTTTGCCTGTGCTTTGAGCTCATTGATCAAATTCATTTGCTCGTCGATCTTGACCAAAAAGTCCTTCACGTGTCGGTTAACGTTGAACACATTTCGTGTGACCTTAGTCTGGATGTTCTTCGCTCGATTCGCATATCGAAGTGTATTTTGGGTCTCGTCAAAGTGCTGGCTTGAGGGGCTGACACAGACAATCATCACTGTCTTGCAATTGCCACCAAGAGCAAACTTAAGTAATCGAGTGAGCTTTGAGTTACGATAGGGGATGTGGTTACGCTTTCGAGGGTCGCAAAGTGCATTGATGCAACTTCCCAGGGACAACAGAGACTTGTTGATATTGGCGCCTTCGAACAAACGTTCTCCCCTGTTCTGTGTCGCGCTGGCACGCTCACTTCCCGCTAAATCGATGATACTGAAAGTGGCCATAGTGTGAGGCTCATTGACGTCGGCATTTCGGTCTTTTTGGGCGATGTTGATTTGAAGGACGGCATGCGATCTTGATGAAGTAGCATTTGCTGCCGTAGGAGACATGGTGCGACGCTCGTTGCCTTGCATGATCATGTCCATTACCTCTCCCACATTGTGCGGGTGGTAGCTTGACAGCCCAGCAACTGAGACCGACTGGTTGGAATCCTCCCGCAGCATCAGTCCACCCTTTCCACTGCTACCACAAGGGACAAGCAAGTCACGAATGGTTTCATTATAGATTTCGAGGTAGGAAAGAGAAATTTCGGTCGATTTTTCGTCTGCCCGTTCGTCAATCCGCTCAAAAAGCTCCTGCATAGTGAGAAAGATGATACCGGGCTGTTGGGCAGTCCCGGTGATTGTATGGGTCTTTCCACATCCAGTAGCTCCGTACGCAAATACTGTCGCATTGTATCCATCGAGCACGTTGTCGAGCAGGCTGCGTGTTGTAGATTCGTATACCTCTCCCTGGGAGGCATTTTGGTCGAAGATGCGATCGAAGGCGAATGTTTGGTCCTTGACACGCTTACCATTTGGCACCACGCTCCTAGAGAACTTTTGGACGGGATTGTCCTCTGGGGGGTCAAACACCCTAGTCCGGTTAGGATGTTGGACCCAAAACGTTCAAAATACATGGAATACTCACAAGCAACGGTCGTCAATCACTTTAACGATGGATCGTATACCCTTCTGGTTAAGCTTCGGCGTCGGCGCACCCGCGAGGGAACCATCGCCTAGGAACAGCGGACCCTCGTCACATCGTGTGATCTGGGCTGCCTCTCTGATAGTAAATGGTCGTACTCTGACTGTAACGCTGATCGAGGAAGCGCCGTCGGAGGCAGCCATGTTGGAAGGTCGGGTCGGATCAACCCCAAGTCGCGAGGTGTCTTGCGGGGCCGGTACGTCAGGCGGTTGACGACACCCTGCAATGGCAAAGCCAAGGGGGAAACTTAGCTATTTGTCAAAATCAAAGAATGTAGAAAAGTTGAAGAATGGATCTAAAGGTGTATGGGGTAGGGGGTGCAGGTATTCTCCGAGAGGGGCTCCTTGAAGCGATTTCATTTGTTGATGCGTGTATATGTTGTCATCTAGTGGTTGCTCCGAGCAACCGTTTCATAGTGGTATTTGGTCATTTAGGCGTGGCAATACCAGTCATTCAATACAAAGAGTTCTTAGTCACATGATATGTTGTGTGTTTCAGGTTCTGAACACGTCCCGTCCACTTTGTTCACAGCCACTATGTTCAAGTTCGCCGGCCAAATTGCGGTTATTAGGCCTTTCATAGTATTAACCTCAATATGCTAAGACAAAAGCTGTAAATAGCTAGGAGGAGATTATGATCGTATTATGACATTGACTAACATTGTAACGATTTCAGTGAATAACACCAATCTTTACCATAAAGCGGGTATATTTGCTCTCGAGATATGGAAAATTTATGAATAAAAATCATCGCTTTCGTGTTGCTATTGTCCTAGTAATATCATTTTTCGTCTGCACAAACATCATATGATAGTTTGACCACCAGAGCCTCCTGAAACGCCGAAGGCCATAGAGATGTATCCTCTGACCCTAGTTCTTCCTCGCAAATCATAATGGCCCTATTATTGTTCCTCTGGCTCATCTTCATAGGTCGGCATGATGACATCCCAGCCCGGATCTTCACCATCAAGGTCCATATCAAGACCGCCACTCTGATCCTCGGTGGATTTGTGGAAGCGGAAGGCAATTGAATATCCGTTCTCTAGATCGGCTTCCATTACAGTTGGTGAGTCATTTTGGTTCATATTTCTTTTCGGGGCACCCTCGTTGTCCATTCCTGGTACATCTGCCTGGAGGCGTTTCCAGCCTTTTTCGAGGTCCGCTCGGTCGACAGGCTCACCGAACTCAACATCGGAGGTGGAGTCAGGAACAATGTCGCCATTAATGTTGGTAATATTTCGCGATTTCAGAGCATCCAGAAGCCTTTTTTTGACGAAGTAGAGTGACTCGTGGGGTTGGAGCATCAGAAGGACAGTGGTTTTATGCTTCTTGAAGAGGACGGTCACAGCGCGCGAGTCGGTTTTGGATTGCCTGGGAGGCTGCTTGATAATTAGCCATCCTGCATTCGATGATATTTACTTGAAGATATCAATTCTCATACCATCTTAGAGGCTGCGGGGAAATTAAAGGGTAGGTCGCGTCTGTAATTGATTATTTGGGAGTGACGGAAGGTGGAGAATCCGGCGGGACTCCGACTTCCGCGCTCCGAATCTCTGAGCTCTGCCAGCATCTCACATTCACCACGCTCTCTATAGCCAGCCCTTGAAATTGGTTGCTAGTATCCTCATTCTTCCTTTACAAGCTTCACCATGGATGCCAATCACCCCCCATCTACCGACTCACAGCATAATTCCATCGTCCTCAGGATCGTCCACTGGGACAAGCTGTTTGAATCCGACAGCCCTCCACGGTTAGGAATTGAGTTCGGCAAGCGGTTACCGTATGCTACCCTATCGGCTTTTTCGACTGGTCTGGCATTAGGGTACTACCACGGCAGCAAAAGGGCAGGGCTCGTGTTTCGGGCTGAGAATGCGCATCGTTTCCCCACGACATCAACAGGGTGGTTCCAGTACCATAAAACGAAAAACTATATTGGCGTGGTTGGAGGGGTCAAGGATGGTATGAAGATGGGATTCAAGCTAGGTGCTGGCGCACTTGCATTCTGTCTGTTTGAGGAAACAGTGGACTATGCTCGGCATGACGAGAGAGACTTTTTATCGACGGTCACTGCCGGGCTATCATTCTCCGGAATCTACAGCTTGCTTGGTAAGGAAACTATTCCACTTGGACATCAATACTAGGGGAACCGAAGCTGACCTAGCTTGCATACAGCTCGTCACGATGTGTACACTGCCGCCCGCACAGCGAAGCTTGGGTTGAAATTGAGCTTGACCTACGGTCTTCTGCAAGATGCTCTTGGGACTTTGAAAGGAAACCGCCCTGCCTATGTTGATTTCCTCCTCGGCAACCGGCGGTCCAAAGTCGATAAAGAAGCATCAATGTGATCATAGGCGGACCCATATCAGAATGGTCCCTTAGATCCTTCTTTGTGCGCATGCCCCAGTCTCGCGGCAGGCTTGAGAGACCCCCAATGCCGATAAACAATATTAGGCTCTCCCACTTCACTCCCTAGGACACTCTTCGGCCTACGCATGCTACTGCAGGTGGTATGCATTCGACGCCGGCGAGATGAGCCACATATCCGAGTCAATGCCGCCCCAATTACTATGTCTAGGCCTCGAGCCACTCTGAGGTTTTTAGTCGGTGAGCACGGCCTCTCTCCGTCTGATCGTGTGTTTTTCAGAAGCAACACCCACACTGTACTCTTGGTTACTTGTATTATTTACATTTTTTGATACCCCCTCGTCCAATTAGCATCGAACCAATGAACATTATTTTTCCTTGGGGTGCTATGTACATAGTGACACGTGACCCGCCGGATTCTGTGTTGGGGTTATGATCATGCACCAAGTCGATTAGCAACGCCATTGTGGCGTGACTAGATCGCATTCGGACTAAAATATTAAGGCATTCTATAAACATCCAACGATTGGCGTAGGATTACTACGTGGCTACATGGCCCTGAAATAATATAATTATAAAAAAAGTCTGACGGTTACCCCGACACAACGATGTAGAGAAACAAAGTAAACTAGCTGATTCCGGGCCCTGACAGCGAAATCTACGTACTTCGTATATCTTCCCAATTGGCGTCCACGGATCTTTCTTTGTCTCCGGGGATAAGCAAATAGAGAAGATCGGCCCGAATGCTGCAGGTTCAAAGGATGGTGATTGACCGCTCAGTGCTGTCCCCCACTTTTTTTCAAAAGGAAAGAAAGAAACGTCTTCAAGACCAATATGTATCTATATTGATCTATAGTGATCTATATTGGCTTACAAGACTAGAATACGTCAAATCCCAAAGTGGAGGTTCCCATAGAGTTTCCGAAGGCACCCAGGTGATCGGTGGAGAAACCGCATTTGACGTCGCTGATTCGGAAAACCCCCCACCTCAACACCTTAGCTCGAACTTGTCGTGTCCGACCTTTTTTTCCCCAATCTTCGCTTCTCCTCTATACCTTACGTCCATGTCTGTCCGTTAAACTCCGCGATAGCAATTGGGCGAAGATGCCGATGCGAGGTTCGACGCTGCTTTCGTCGACGTCATCGATTTATTGACCTCTTTAATGCCTGGGAGAAATAATTGAATCATCCATCCCACATCTTCATTCAGACTCGTGAACTGCATCACAATGCGTCGCCATGGCAGGTCCAGTGGCGGTCCAACCAAGGCCGTCTCGCCCTTGTCCGACACTGTATCCCTCATACGTTCATTCGATTCGGTCATGAACCCAAACCGACCCGCGCGCCCCTCACCCTTGGCTTCCTCTCACATCCAAGCTTTGCCCTTGGAACTAGTAGATCGGTTGCGGTCTTTCCCGCTGTTTCAAGCTACCCCGGAATCCTTCCTGATCGAGGTTGGACAGCACCTGCGTCCACAGCTCCACGCACCCAACGATTATATCTTGACGGAAGGCGATGAGTCAAAGGCAATATACTGGCTGGTGCGGGGTGCCGTCTCGGTCACATCTCGCGATGGCGAGAGCATATACGCCGAGCTCAAACCCGGTGCGTTCTTCGGGGAGATTGGATTACTCATGGACCGTCCTCGTACTGCGACCATCATCGCCCGGACTCGATGCATGCTGGTCGTGCTGACAAAAGACGACTTTCGGAATATATTGCCTCGGTATCCGGAGGTAGAACAGGCGATCCGGGAGGAGGCGGAGGAACGATTGATGATTTTAGAAAAGAAAAAAAAGGAAACGTCAGCGCCTGCACTGGATATGCCGAGCCCGGCACGAAGAGGCTCAAAAAGACTGCGTGAAAGCATTTCAAAGGGTCTAGCTGTTGCCGAGGATGATGGAGACGTCAGTGCCAAGTCTGTGTACAAGAAGAGGAAGTCACCGAGTCCCGGTCGGCGGGATGGCTCCAGTGCATTAGCAAATGGATTGGTCAACGTACGTCTCTTACTGAAAGAGCTGCCGCTTTTTTCTGGCTTGCCTGCCGATATCCTCCACTACCTTGGTCTCAATGCCCAACCGCGATCTTTCCCTCCATTTACCGACATCATACAACAAAATTCCCAGGGCCGTGAGCTCTACTTCATTGTTCGCGGCGAGGTAGAGGTTCTTACTGAAAAGGCGGAGATGGACCACTCGTCGGCAAACAAAACAAGCCCAAATGGGCACATCGAACAGCCGGGAATTGAGGTCAAAGCTAGGCTGAAGCAAGGGCAATACTTTGGCGAGGTGGTCAGCCTAGATTTGGCACCTCGGCGAACCGCCACCGTTCGATCTGTGACTTCAGTTGAGTGTTTGATGCTCGGCGGTGACGTCCTGGCTAAATTTTGGGAGAAATGCCCTAGTGACGTGCGAGAACAAGTCCAACGCACTGCCCAGGCAAGGCTCCAGGCGGCAGCCGATGGCGATGTTATTATGTCTGACGAGGCGGACTCACAGCCGTCTCTTGGTGATCTCGCCCTCGACGACAGGGTGAAGATCACATCATCCCGGCGGCGGTCAATGCCACTACTTACCCTCACTGAAACCGAGCTGGATGGACCACATCAATCCTCAAATGCTGAAGACCAAGACCAGGACGTGCTGCGGCCCTCAGATCCCGATCCATACTTCAGCATGGGTCTAGATAAAGTCCGGATGCGAAGTCGACGTGGCTCGCTGGCACCTCTAGCCCCCGAGGAGGTATCAAGAGAGCAGCAGCGCTCATCTCCTACAGAGCTGTGCTCTGCCAGTTCTTCAACCCTCGCCCTTTCTGAAACTGCTAGCCTTTCCAAGTCATATCATACCGAACGGCCCCGGGTCGATGGTACCAATGGATTACTCCCAGACAGTGTATTGCTGAACATTTTCCAATTCCTTGAGCTTCACCAACTTCTTCGGATTAGGGCGGTGTCATCCCATTGGTCAGATCTCTTGACCAGATCTGCGGACGTGATTCATGATCTGGATTTGAGCGTCTACAATCGTAGGATTACAGATGACGTTCTTGTTAAAATCATCTGTCCGTTTATTGGCAATCGAGCCCGATCGGTCAATATCAACAACTGCTTTCATATTACCGACGAAGGCTTCACAGTATTGGCCGCGACTTGTGCCCCAAATATCACCGCGTGGAAGATGAAGAGTGTGTGGGATGTAACGGCCTCTGCCATTCTTGACATGTCCAGCAAAGCTACAAATATACAGGAGATAGACTTGAGCAATTGCCGCAAGGTCGGCGATACACTTCTCGCCCGGATCATTGGATGGGTAGTGCCCGCCGACCAGACGATGGGCGAGAAGCAGTCATCGATCAAACCTACAATACAGACAGCAGAATTTACAGTGTACGGCTGTCCAAAGTTAAAGAAACTTACTCTTTCTTACTGCAAACATGTCACCGATCGATCTATGCATCACATTGCGTCTCATGCCGCTGGTCGGATTGAGGAAATGGATTTGACTCGCTGCACCACAATCACAGATCAAGGGTTCAAATACTGGGGGAATGCTCAGTTCACTAACCTGCGGAAGCTTTGCTTAGCAGATTGCACGTATTTGACGGACAACGCCATCGTGCATCTAACTAATGCAGCCAAAAACTTGGAGGAATTAGATTTGGTAAGCTATTCTTTGTCGGGCTCTGTCGAACTAGAAATACCATGGTTTACTAATCGCCACCAGACTTTTTGCTGCGCATTGTCAGATACGGCAACCGAGGTCCTTGCCTTGCAGTGCTCACATTTGAAGTATCTCAACATGGCGTTTTGCGGCTCTGCAATTTCCGATCCCTCCTTAAGGAGCATTGGTCTCCACCTACTTTCTCTTCAACATTTATCAGTCCGTGGCTGTGTTCGAGTCACTGGAGTGGGTGTGGAGGCTGTTGCGGAGGGCTGCCACCAACTCCGGGTTTTCGATGTCAGTCAATGCAAGAATCTTGCACCGTGGCTTGAGGACGGTGGTGCTGTTCACTATCAACCGAGAGTCGAATTCAAAACCGTCGCCCCGAACAAGAAGCTTCCTCGATTAGGAAGCAACACATACAAAGCTTAACCTCTTCATTGCACACTCTTACGCTGGTTTCTCTACCGTTACCTTTTCCCCCTCTACAACGACGCCTGGCGCGACGCCCGTCCATCCTCCATCCTCCAAGTTGCATGATACATTTATTGATAGATGATGTACGCCTCTCTAATCTTCTTCTCATTAATTTCTAGGCTTACCGTTCTCTAGTTTCCGCTTTGCCATCCCTAACTGATCGATCTCGGCGTTTGAATTTACCAGGACAATCTTTTCACATTCGGATTCATTCTTCTCGCGTCGGGCTGCAGGTTCTTGTTTTTACATTTTGGTGGGGGTTTCGGTCTAGCCTGTGGGCAGGTCAAGCATGGCCGGAGTTCAGAGATTGAAAGCATCTACGAGTTACATGGTGTTTGTCTGTTTTCCTTAATATTCAGTGTTTTGGGGCTATCTTGTATCCTTTCTTACGATGTAACGATGCACATCTATTTGATTTTATCGACATTTCTTTCTGTATTTTAAGGTCCTTGATGCTATCTATTTCTGGTTTGTAGAAATTCATTTGACTATAAAGCCGAAGGTCTTGTAGCGCATGCTATAGTGCCAAGCCCAAATCATATACAACATTGAACGCTTTTCCAAGGTTTTACATTACACCTACACAATCCATATGTCTCTACCCTTGGAAGTTGTAAACATAAAACTTCAACTTATAGCCTAAAAATGTCCTTTGTGAAGTCTTTTCTGCCCCCTTTGTCACCTCTTCGCTTTCTTGGAATCTTTATCGGGCCTTGTCTCAACCTATTTAAGATCGTGTATGAACATTCATTGAGACGAAGACAAAGAGCCCAATGAGCATTGTATTATGTTCTGCTATACCTTTTCATCAGTCCCCATGCTCTTCCTATCTACTCTATCTCAGATTGACTTTTCGAAATCTGAACTCGCTGACCGAAAATTATGTGCTGTGTTATAAATAGAGGATAATATATCGCCATCAATCCCCACGCTGGCTTGAAAAACGAAAAATTGCAGACATCAGCCAGTTCTGCTTACTTACAATGGTGGCTGCTTTGATATATAGTACACTCAGCATACTGTCTATACTCTGTCTTCGGCTTCTATGTATTTCACAAGGTCTAGATTTCTTTTCACTGTGTCCGTGTTATGCTGTTTCGGGTGGCCGTATCACGATCTTTTCGCTGGTCGTTCATATCATTTCCATGGTATTTACTTCGTGATCTTATATATAAAGTGCCTCTCTTTATGGTCCATCAGTCGGCTGATCAAGATGCGATGCCATTCGTGCCTAAACAGAGCATGTCTCCCCAAAACCCCAGCTTGCTGTCTTTTCCCACATTTAGCCGAATCGTCAATTTGAATCATCCTTCCCCTGGTCTCTTTAGGGGCCCAATAATACTGCCTGAATAACGTATGGACTACGAAATGTAAGCTACAGATAGGACTAGCCGAAAGAATACGAAAGGCAGAGATTTGAAAAGGATATGAGGTGACCCACCCTCGAGGGAGCCGGACATGGGCGAGCCTGGCAATTGTGGATGTGATGGGGCTAGGATAATACCTTCTTCAACCGCTGAGGGAGAAGAGTAGCTACTGACGGGGTTGTCCAAACCTACTGAAGCGGCATGTGCTGCACTAGCAATGGTCTAGTGGAGAGATCTATCATCACAGTCCACCCGGACCGAGACCCCGACAGCCGGCTCATCGCGGCCTACAGCAGTGGGGCACTCTGGTAAGCGGTCCTTTCCCTTTGATTCTAGATCGGCTTTCTGTGCTGTTTTCATGTAGGCCATCATATTCAGTGGCAATTAGACGAATTCCATTTGACATATAGTACTTTGTACTCACAAGGCGGGGAAGATCCTCCTCTTGAAGTCCAGGGCAAGGGGAATTGGTGAAACATCTGTTCTCAAAGAGAAGCGCAAGACTGCCTTCTATTTAGCATAACTCAACTGCCAGCAGGATCTCGTTGTTTTGCACAAGCTTTTAGTTGAGAAATTTAGCATAAGATGTGAAGTGAGTTTGGTAATAGCAATTACAGCCGCCAGCCAGCCGAGCACGGTACAGGCATATAAATGGCACCGGCTCGATCTACCTCTAGTCTGACTTTTGAGGATTTATATATGCAAGTTGGTCTCAACGAACCAAGGGTCAGCTGAAAGTGTGTTGATCTGACGGCGATCAACAGATCTAGGGTTTCTCACAGCAGTGGAAAACTTGTTTTCCTTTTTTTCTTGACCTAGCATATGTAAACATTCTAATAGACAGGTCTATTTATGTGTTTATGTCTCAAAACAATAGAACTATACCAGAATCTTAAAACTATATGACAAGTATTGTGGAGTAGGTATAGCACTAAGCTAGAAGGGGCAAACGAACACACAGCGCAGATGTTGAACATTGGAGAAAACGTGCCATGTGTATTTTGAATCCGACCTGGTCTGCTCTTTAACAATGCCGTCATACAATGCTATCATATAATACAGTCTGATAAAAACCAGTTAAACTACAGCAAAAGCAACCAATAATCAAACCCCCTTACATTCCACACCCCTTGGTTTATTGTAGTAGATCTAATGACGCATGTGTAGTTACTCATGTATGTAGATCAGAGATTGCCAAAACTTATGTATGTAGATCGAAACATTCCTTCTAGAAGAATACCTGAAAACAATCGGTTGCTGGCCAGCGGTGAGGTACCCGGATGAGGGTTATGCTTATCTTGACCGTTATCGGTCTCCCCCTATTATTATCGCCGCACCCAGCCGAGAACGAGAACGATCTCTCATAATGCATGCCCGTGCCAGACACTAGTGATCCGCGTCCCTGCCCAGTGCTTGGTGTATCCGCCGGTGCCTAGCGACTGACTGACAACTGAGACAGATAAGGTTAGATCATATTGGATCACGGTCCTAATAGGCAGGAGTCGCTAGTCAAGTCTTGGGGGCAAAAGTGAGCTTCCTAGTGCGGAATACAGGTGCTTGGTGCCGAGTCCGCCGAGAGAGAATAATGAGTGTAGCGAGCTCTTGGTAGCTTGTGGCAGCCTAATGCGAGGGTCACGCATGGAGTACGGAGGAAATTATCGAATTTTAAGGTCTGATTTCTCTTCTTTGTCCTAATGGCTACATTTACCTTCGGCTGGCCTCATTGGTTCAAGTCAAGACGCCCCGAGAACGGACATCGGATGTCCGACCCAAGGGGTATCAAAGTATATATCGTACAGTATACGTACACAGCAAGAAAATGTACTCCGCACTCCGCATGGTACATCATATTCAGAATAACATTGTCGATACACGGGGTATGGAGTATGTTGTACGAAGTATATATGGAGTCGACATTGTCTGAACTGGTTTATCTGCGGAGAAAGGAAAAGGGAAAGTGGAAAAGTACCAATGCTCGCACTAGTACTGTATCTAGTGTACTCCGTACAGCAATTTCCGACGACAAACACCTGGGGTGTCTCACTTCTCAACGGTCACGCATTGGCTGCTGGCCATCATTGGTCAGATAAGAATAATTTGGCTCAAAGCTAAGATTGGCTAATTTGGTCAAATTAGCGTATCTTTTTTCCTTTGTCATACCATGATCACCTGCGCAGGATCAGCTGTTCATCACGAACTTAAAATACCAGAATACTATACATTACCATGCAATACCACGCACAGACGGAACCCCCCGAACCTCTCCACAAAAAAAAGGGAAAAAATAAAGAATAAAAAATAGACGAGCAAATACCAGCCAATCAGAATCAGCCCAGGCTTAGACAATTGACCCTTTGGCTTCGACCCGTGGACCCTACCTTCCAAGGTCGACGGCGTCCATCCTGATTGGGTTAGCGCCTGTCAATTCATGTTTTCATGTTTTCAGTCCACGGAGGGGAGGGATAACTACCATGCATGGTATTAATAACTATCGCCTCCCCTCCGTTTTCATTCTCTTTCGATCAGACAACATTGAACTGCTTTCGTTCTAAATAATCATCGCCTTTGCAGTGGATATAATCTTCACTTGCTGCCTCTCATTTATATCAACATCTAACTTATACTATCGCCCCCTTTTTTTGTTTCCCCACATTTTCCCTCGTTTCCTGTGGCTTGGATTCAAATCATTCGATATTCTGTCATTTCCACTGTACATACCAACAGTACATATATAATGGTTCGCTTCGTGACACCTTTGCTCCTGGCCTCGCTGTCAGTGACCGCCTTCGCCGCGCAATCCTGCAGCTCCAGCAGCCAGTGTGACGAGAAATACCCCTGCTGCTCCCGTGAGTGATACTACCCTCTAGATCGCAATTGATAGCTAACAAGTCATTCAAATCTAGAATATGGTGAGTGCGGTACTGGTGCCTACTGCCTGGGCGGTTGCGACCCTCTTGCATCGTTCTCTCTCGATTCATGCGCTCCTATGCCCGTCTGCGAGGATAAGACTTACAACTGGAACAACCTCAACAATTCCGTCACCCAGGACAAGTACCTCGGTAACGCCAGCACTGCCGACTGGACCTACAGCGGAAAGGTGAAAACCGAGGATGGCAATCTGATCATGACCATGCCTGCCAACAGTGTCGGTACTCTCTTCGCCAACAACCACTACATCTGGTACGGCAAGGTTTCCGGAAAGATTAAGAGCTCCCGCGGCAAGGGTGTCGTGACTGCTTTTATTCTTCTGTCCGATGTCAAGGACGAAATCGACTACGAGTGGGTCGGTGCTGATTTGACCGCCGTGCAGACCAACTACTACTGGCAGGGTGTTCTGGACTGTAAGTCAAAAGCAACAAGGAATATCTGATCCCAATAATAAATACTGACTTGATGAACCAGGGGAGAACGCCGGCAACATCAGCGTGGATGGCGAGGACACCTTCAATGACTGGCACACTTACGAGATCGATTGGACCCCTGAGAAGGTCGACTGGGTCGTCGACGGCTCCGTGCGCCGCACTTTGAAAAAGGCCGACACCTACAACGAGACCTCCAAGCAGTACGAGTTCCCCCAGACACCCTCTCGCCTTCAAATGTCGCTCTGGCCCGCCGGCCAGGCCAGCAACGCCCAGGGTACCATTGACTGGGCCGGTGGTGATATCGACTGGAACAGCGAGGACATCCAGACCGTCGGCTACGACTATGCCATGGTCGGCGAGGTCAGCGTTCAGTGCTACGATGCTCCTTCCGACGTCACCAAGACCGGCGACAACGCCTATATCTACACCAAATCTTCTGCTATGGAGAGCGATATCTCCATCACCGACAACTCCACCGTCCTTGCCTCGCTGGGCGCCACCGGTCTCGACATGGATCTTGGTGCTGACAAATCTTCTGCATCCTCCTCTGCGTCCAATAGCATCCCCACCAGCAACGGTGGCTCCGGTGGCATGACCAGCAACATCACCAGCTCTGGTGAATCTAACTCCAGCTCCAGCTCTGGTACTTCCACCACGGATAGCTCGGGGACTTCCACTTCGGGCTTCACCCAGGGAACCGCTACCCAAGACAGCGGTGCGGCCAGCCAAAATGAGCGTGTCCTCCGTGGCTCGCTCTTCGGCGTCCTGGTGGCTCTTGTTGTCCTTGTGACAATTTAAATTTTTTGCTGGTTTGATCTATATATCAGCGTTTTGTCCTTATTATTTTCTTTCTTGCCATGCTTATTGCACAGCATTGGGTACATTTTTTGTTGACTACTGTGCAACTTTGCTTCGTGTCTATCTCTGACCGACCTTGAACAAACACTTAATGAATACCTTTGTTCCTTGTATATTTTTTTTCCTTCTCTTTTTTTTATCCTCCTTCTTGTCCCTTCATTAGGTTGTGATGTTCAACGGTTGACTGCATACGTGTCTGCATTTTCCCTCCATTTTATTGTTTAACATACACCTCCCTGGCGTTCTTGGCCGATTCATGCTCTGTCGGTTTATTTTTGATTGATGTACCACTATTCTGGTAATGACTTGTGATTCCCTGCACATGACTGGAAAATACCCACAAGCTCCCTGTGATCTTTGTTCATATTTAATCTCTATAGCTTCCTCTTTCTGCGTTAATTTTTATTTGCCGCTTTTTGACCACTGATAAAACTGAGCCCTTATTGTGTAACCAATAAGCTTGTCTGGAACTAACTAGGCAGTCTGCCGGGAAGTGACCAATGAGACATTTCTTCAATATTTGAGCATGCAAAATAGATATGAATATAGAATGATAACAAACAGCGTTGAAAGGAGCATATAAACATAGAAAAGAATGCGTGAACCACAAAATGACTATTTCCAAGAAGTCATACCCAGCTTTACGCCGATTTCTCAGCCTTGATCTTTACTTCCTCCACCTTCAATTCCTCCTTGAGAGGCTTTCTTGCCCACACGCGATTCCTGAAATATATCAGCATGAGTAAATCCAGCGATCCGATCCGAAAGCAAACTTACGCAGGCTCATAAGCGTGAATACGCGGGTTGTTCAGCTCCTTGCGCACTTTAACCAGAAACACCTGCACCTCCTCCTTTGACCACGGCTCTGGCTCTCCAAAGTGAGTGAGAAGCCACATCGCCCAACCCTCTAGAGCGGCGTTCCAATGGCTATGCTGGAGGTGTCCGGCCTCCTTCAGTATATTATCCCTGGCCCAACATCCTAGAGGAATCTTGTACTTTTCCTCATGCACGTCCACGAACCCGGCTTCCTCGATGGCGCTACGCATTGTTTCGTGGGTTCTGAGTGACCGTCCTGCTCGTTCGGAGCATCCGATAAAAATGTCGCCCCAACCATATAGCTGGTGTTCTTTCGTCAAGGTGCCGTCATCGCTGTAGACTCGCACGTCTAATTCGATTTGTTCGATCCAGCCACCAGGCTCTAGGGCACTAGTGAGAGATGAAAGAAATTAGGGCGCCATGTCTCGGAAAGTCGATTAGTAGGGAATTGGAACTCACTCGTAGGCCTGTTTGTATAGCTTTTGCCATCCATCGGGAGGGAAGGCGCCATACATGAGGCGCATGTGGATAAAGTCAAACGGCTCTCTCCATGTCCACTCGCGAAGCACATCATCCACCTCGAAGATGCAGTTCGGGGGCATCCATAACACGGGTGGGGGAAAGAGATCCACGCCGCGGACGGTAGCTAGTTAGTTTCAGTCAGGGGTAGTTCGGTCAGAAATAGAAGGAGTAGAATCAAGAAATTCAATACCTAGAGGATAGCGATCGGCAACATCACTAAGGACTTGTTAGAGATTCTCTTTCTCTCAAGAAGGGCTACCCGTTGACATACATTGCCCAACTCCCTTGGCCAGTTCCGATGTCCAAGATATTCTATACTCCGTAGTTAGCAGGGCGTTTAAGCGAGGGTCTCCGTATAAATTCACCTTAGGCGAAGCGCCGATAGGGGAGCGGAACAGAGGATTTGGCTGATCGTGATCTAGCACGAGAAACATCAGGTGGCTGAATTTGTTAGTATCACATCTCTGAAAGGTATGGGGACGGGATGTGGTTTACCCAATCTCAAATGCCTCAAATTGCTGCTCGTCGGAAGGACCCCTTGATATTGTTACTTTATGTAGAACAAGATCGCTGCATCGTAACTAACCAGTAGTCATCTTCTTTGATGGCTTGGTATCTGCATACCGGGTTAGTCTTACAAAGCATCTTAGACTGGAAGTATACTGACCTTCGGCCGTTTTCCAGCCGTCCCCTTGCAATAGCGGACGCTATGGATGGGGTAAGAACTCGACTTATATATATGATTTGCAGTGACACTCACGACTGAAGGTCATGATGATCCACGTCATAGCCAGTGGCCATAGAGTAGAAATCGGGGTCCTAGGTGAGAGGTGAGAATGACTATATCGGATTATGAGATTACCACTCACCACCGCGATTTGGTCCATTTTCTTAACCATTCTCTCGACACTTTTCCAAATACTGTGGAAGATAAAAGGAGGAAAACGAGGGTGGAGTGTAAAAGTGTCAGCACGGGAACAAACTCCCGGGGAATCCACAACCGTTAAGCTAGCAGGGTGTGAGCCGAAGCCACAGCCCTAGAGTATGACCGAGTTGGGTCTAGGTTGAGGACTCGCATAAAAAAAGTACGAGGGGAACGGCAGGATGCTGTTGATCCATGTCAGCTGGTCCGTGTGGGACCTCATAAAGCGGCACCCCGGGAGCCATGTTCACTTCTGAGTATGTTGTACAGGCAGAACAACAAGCCCTAAACCAACATCCTCCCACTTGGTATTCCACAAAACAAGGCTCATGAGCCAAATTCAAGCTCATTCCATAATAGGTGGCCTCAAAGCTTGCATCTACCTTATCACAAATCAGGTAAGATACGAGCATACCCCTCTTGGGAGCAACCTCAAGTAGAGATCTTCGAAGGATAACCCATGCAATAAGAGAAATTCAATGGTCCCTTGAGCCGTTTTATGTTGATAGATGATATTTCAGTATATAAATCAAGTATTGCCTCGGCATGAGACGTGACTACAAGATATAGCAATGTGAGCGAAACAGATAGCTAGTATGTAGGTATGCCTTTCATGTAGCTTCATATAACTCTTGGGATATTCACGGATAGGAACATTTAAGTCTATCACAGCTTTTAATACTCTTTGTCTATGTTTGGCCCTAGCCTCCTTGTCCCATTATCTCACCATACTGGTTTCTTTCTTGACATCTGCGTATAAGCTGTATGCTCCAAAGCAGTTGATATTTCCCTCACTAAATACCTTTACCTCCTACCTCAGACTATACTCCAGGGCTTTCATCATGATTTACGTAAATAAAATGATATTTGTTCTTGTGTGGATGGAGCAAACAGAGTAGCAACAAACAAGGCTTATTCTTCAGCTCACTTTTCCTTCATTGTCACTGTAGTATATGACCTGGCTTCATTCACTGTGCTCTATCAAAAACAGGCTTGCTTTACCATTGCGCAAAGCCCATTTCTTCGTATACTGGACTCCCAACTTCCTAGCATCGCACTCAACCACAGGTTCTCTATATGATAACAAAAGTCATACTAGCCAGTCTCATACTACGCGACACGTCCCAGACTTCCCACTACAATCAATCAATCGCCCTCACATAGTGAGGATACAACCAGTAAGCGCAAATAGACATTCTACCTCGAACAGCACTGACACGTAATAAAGCTCTCTCAAAGCAGACGAACGTAGAGTCTGTAGCCTCGCGTGGCATCCACACGAGATACTTCAAAATGTGTCTATTCATGGAGACCCACTACTTCAGTTGCAAGCATACGTGCTTTGAGCTCTACCTCTTTTGCCGCGAGGTCCTCTATCAACTGAACCGTATCAACGACCGGCAACAGCTCAGAGACTACGATTTGCCATTTGACCCTGATTGTCCTACCTGCCAGCCATATACAGTCACCATGAGACCAGTCACATTCAGTCCGGATGTGAATTATCAGAGTGTGATTTTGGAGAGCAATATTGTGCATCGGAGGGTGGATTTGGTGGCGAGCTGTCCTAATTGTCATACACAAGCATTGTGATTCCAATTTATACTTTAGCCAGAATATGGGTTCATGCCGATAGAAAGTATTGTGGTGATGAAGGGATGTGCCTATTGAAGATAATTTACTGGGCATCTAGAAGCCAGAAGAGAAGATAACACCCAAAATACCAAGCTTATTTCTCGTAAGACTAATGTTCGCTGTACACGCGTGTTCAAGTAAATGCGAGAGCTAAATTGCATATATGTATATATAATGATGATGATGATGAAACCCCGAAGTATTGACAGTGCTGCCCAGTACAGAAAATTCACAGAATAGGTAAATGCCGAGTGGTGACAATCGTTTAGTGGATAGCACCACATCCACAATCATCGGCAGATCGCTTCCTGAAGTCTCCATGGTAAGTGTCTAGTCCCTCGGCATGGAAATTCAAGCCCAGGCGATCGCCCATCCAGTCACTTCCAGACTTAGTATCCTGTAGCAACTTCGTGACGTTGTCGACATTGAGATCAAGATAATCAGCAAGGAAGTCTCCCACATCGGTGTTCTCGTTGTTGCCAACCAATGGCCAGGCATCCTTGGTAGACGAAGCGTAGATGTTGACGTCAACAGCTATAACGAAATTAGCATACTATCATAGATCACTGCTTGAGACTATCTTACCAGAATGTCCATGAGTAGTCCAGCCAACCTGAGCGCGACGGCTGATCATGTCCGCAAATACGTATGCCGTAGTGACTTCGGGGTCCGGGTGGAGCAAGGTATTCACTTCATCCTTTGAAGCATCATCGATGCCAAGCCCATCCTTGAGAGTTTGCCGGATCCAAGACTGTTTACTCAAATCCTCGGCGTCCTTTCCTGGCCCAGAAAGATATTCCTTCAGTTGAGCGGCAAGGTATTCGCCGGAGTGGTTTGCCTTTTCCAGGACATTCGGAAGCCACAAATACTCCGGGTAGCTCTTGTGCAGCTGTCGTGCCGCGGCAAGACCACCAGTCTCGTGGTCGGAGGTGCTCACAATCACACCAGGAGTAGAGTCATTCTCTAGGAACTCGAGCGCGGCAGCAAATGCCTTGTCGTATGCCAGTACCTCGTGAACCTGGGCGGCAGGATCATTGCCATGGCCGGCGTGATCGATGCGAGAGCCCTCGATCATGATAAAGAACCCTTGCTCGCTGTCCTCGGTGGCCTTGCTCAAGGCCTTCAAGGCAGTGCGAGTCATCTCCTCCAAAGAGGGATAGATATCATTCTGAGTGCGTCGATCAATCTCATACGGGATATCCCCGCTAGCGAAGAGACCTAGCAGCGGTAAACTGACATTATCGCCGCCCTTGAGGCTATCGAAGCCAGCACGATCATCAATATAGCCAAATCCATTCTGAGAAGCAACCTTGACCAAATCATGATCATCCGAACGGCAGCTGCCAGCCTGTGAGTTGGGCAAGAAATGGCATCGCCCACCGCCAAGCAGAAGATCTACCACCCGACCGAGAGGGTGTTCACCAACTTCTTGGGCAGCGATCAGATCTTCGTAGTTCCGTAAATTGGCATGGGCGGCGAAGCATGCTGGGGTCGCATCCGTCAGGCGAGTGGTCACAACCAGACCTGTCTTATAGCCCGCCAACGCAGCGGCCTCCAGCACAGTTCCACAAGGCGAGTGGTCGGGAAGCACCGAGATAGCAGAATTGTAGCTCTTGCGACCGCATGAAAAAGCCGTCGCTCCAGCCGCAGAGTCTGTCACCAAGCTAGAGCTTGACCGTGTTCGCGAAGTCCCAACGTAGTGTTTATCCAAGACCAGAATGTCATCGAATGGCAGATCGTGCGTGTATTGCCGGAAGCTTCGAGTCAGCGAGAGACTGGTAGGTCCCATGCCATCAGACACCATGAAGATCATGTTCCGCTTGCCTGTCGGCTTGCCTCCAGGGCCCCAGGTCGTGTTTGACGCAAGATGGTTGTGAGGCTCGGCTGACTTGTGTGGGTAGATCGCGGCCAGCACAATGACCAAAATTGTTGCAACAAGGGCCCAGGAAAATACTCCAATTTCCCGCCAGGAAGGCCAGGCTCGTCGTTTGTCTTGATGAGTCGTTCGCTCGCCGGTCAGAAGAGCGTAGTCCTCCTCGTCATTTCGAATCGATGAGCCATCGGAGGACAGGCGGGGAGGTAAGAGAGACTCTTCCCGCGCCATAGCTGGGATAGAGACAGAATTAGAGAAGAGTGAAAACAGATGTGCGAGGTTGAGAGATTTGATTACGGCCTTCCAAGGTTGTGTCAAGTGGACCCTGAACCCCAGGGGCGGAGGTGAGGAGATAAGGCTAAGATAACAACCCTAGAGGTCGCGTGACATGTAACTGTGTATGGATGCAACGTACTCCGTATAAGAACTACACCTAGCCTTTCGTAAAACCAAGAATGAACGGAGAAAAATTCTTACATTTTGAAACAGGCTAGTTCATATACTTGAACAATATTTATAATACATGTCATTCTCAAGACAACCTATAACCCCTATACTATAGAGGTCTGGCCTTCCACCCAATAGGAATCATGGCAGCAGCAATCTCAGTTACACCGCGCTCCGTCGCAAGCAGATTGAACTGTGCAGCCGCATTCCGGGTATCGAGAACATCCACCCGAATGCCCAGCGAGTTGATGTGACGTTTAGTTTCGGGCGAGAGTGGGAACATGGAGCCACCAAGACCAAGGATGAGCATATCTGTAGTAAAATATTAGAAAATTGGAGAGTAATTTGGCAGTCAAGCTCAGGTATGTCTCATCCATGGACGAAACGACATATCTGAGGGAAACAAAAAGCAAGAAGAACCAACATACCAGGCTTTGGCCAGACAAGACTTAGCAAACCCCATACCGACTCATCAAGCTCAAACTGCCCTTTGGAGTTGAGCATGGCATCCTTAGCGGCACTGTCGCTCTCTGCACCCTGGACAGCCTTCCATGGCCGCCACGCAAATGCCTCACCTCCAACCAGCAACAGCCCATCGCCGTTGGTAAGCTTGACGCCATTGTTAAGATGGAACCCAGAATCTAGGCATGCATCAATAGCCGTCGTTGGCGCAGGGATGTTGCCCAGCACGTTTAACGCATCGAAGTTGGTCTGAGTGTCTTCTTTGGACTCCGGGCCGCGGTCGCGACTGACGGGTTTGTGCGCGTGTGAGCGAGGAATCATGCGCGTTGGTTGGATGGGTGAACTATAGTTCCGACGTCCTGAGGGCAACCCAGTGTTGGAATTTGAGACGAGACATGGTGCTGCGGTCGCTGATGGGATCTGGCAGAATCGAGTCAAGTTCGAAGTGCGGCGGCTATTGGCTAGAGAGGTGCGTAAGACGCGTAGGAGTTGTGGTGATGGTGAAAGCATTGATGCGATATGTGGGATAGAGCGGCTGTCGGGTTGGTTCTGTATGATATAGCTTGGTGATGTAACTAGTGGCTCGGTTGGTGTCACGTGAAGTAAACCTTGGAAGCTTTCTGTCGGGGTCTTGGCTGAGAAAGCTAGCGGCCCCGGCCTACATATTGACACGCACTAATGCGCCTCTACATAAGTTTAATCATATCACGCACTCATATTGCAAGGATGTAGAAAGAAAAACGGTTGGGAATTCTATACAAACCGAAAGTGGCTCTGTGTGGAGTGAGCATGGACTCCATGATCTCAACTTGAAGCCCTAGTCTATCAGATAGAAATGATGCACACAAGCAACTAGTTATGATCCACGTTAATAATTGAATTCTTCTTATATTAATATTGAGCCTAGCGATTCATCTATTTTGACTTTGCAGGAGTCCCAACCCCGACCCTCTGCGTCTGGATTCATATGGAACAAGGACAAGAGGAGAGACGACAACATCGTACGCGTCGTAAACCCAAAACGCCAACAGAAAAAAACAGATAACGAGGGGGAAACGATACCTGGAAGAACGAACGAACTGAAAAACGACAAATAATGGAAGAAGAGAAAAGCAGATTATGTGTCACCCCTCGAGATGAGACATCAAACTTGATGTCATGCTGCCTCCGATTGCTACTGCCTCTGAATACTTTTCTTGTAAGGATATGAAGAAAAAAAAGTATGCATATGTGAAAAACAAGAGCCATTCACTGACCCTATTTTAGCGGTTCGGGCCTTGCTGATTTTGTTGTTTCAGCGACCGAACAACTTTGCGGTCTTCATCCGACTGACTAGAGCTGCTATCATCGCTTGTGGTTGCAGTGCGGATTCGCTCGGCTAGAACCTGAGCTTCTGCCATAGCCTTTTGGGCGCGAATCTGTTTACGCCACATGCTAGCATAGCGACCCTTCATAGCCAAAAGCTCTTCATGGGTGCCGCTTTCAGCCACTTGACCTTCTGACAAGACCAAGATACGGTCTGCGGTAGTGATGGTGCTGAGACGATGAGCGATCACCAGCATGGTGCGACCCCGCGAGAGAGTAGCGAGTGCCCTCTGAATATGCTCCTCGGTATCTGTGTCTAGAGCTGCGGTTGCCTCATCTAAAAGAATGATGCGCGGGTTCTTGATGATGGTGCGAGCGATAGCCACACGTTGCTTCTCGCCACCGCTAAGCCGTAGGCCACGCTCTCCGACCTTCGTGTTATACCCGTCTGGGAAAGCAAGAATCTTGTCGTGAATACTGGCAGCGCGGCAAGCCTCGAAAACATCTTCATCGGTGGCGTCCTGGTTGGCGTACTTCAAGTTGTACATCAAAGTCTCGTTGAAAAGTACAGTATCTTGAGGCACCACACCAATGTTCTGGCGTAGTGAATCGATTGTGACATCCTGTACATCATGTCCGTCGATACAGATACGTCCATTATCGGAGTTGTAGAATCTGAACAAGAGGCGGAAGACGGTGGACTTACCTCCGCCAGACTCACCAACCAAGGCGGTGGTAGTTCCCGGCTGGCAGTGGAAGGTAAGGCCATTCAACGCGGGCTTACGCGCATCGTAAGCGAACTCAACATTCTCGAATTTGATGTCACCATTGCATACGGCCAATGGGGTGGCACTTGGGCTATCGACCACAGTTGGCTGCTCACGGAACAATTCTAGCAGTCGTTCGGCATTGATCAATGCAGATTGAATAGACCGATAGAATGTGCCAAAGAAATTGAGCGGGCCCTGGAGTTGGACCATATAGGCCAGTAGAGACACGAACTTGCCGACAGGGCGCTGACCACTAGCAACCTGGTATGCACAAATGAAGCACATTATCAACAAGCCCATCATAAACACGGTGTTTTGACAGGTGTTCAGTAGTGTTAGAGAGAATAGCACGTGGTATTCGGCCTTCTGGAAGTCACGCACAGCACCCCGGTACCGGTTGAATTCGTACTGTTCGGCATTGAAGTATTTCACTGTCTCATACGAGACCATGGAATCGTTCCTAGAAGAAGCATAAGTTAGTACCACATTTGTCTCGAATCTATAACAAAAGCCTCCTTCCAACTTACTTGACAGCATCTTCTTGTCGCGAGGCATTAACCATCTGTCTTCTGATCTCTGCTCTCCACTGGGCCATGCGAATAGTGACATAGAGATAGCCAAAAGTAGAAATTCCGACAGCTAGGGCATAGTAGACATCGAATGCGACCATGAAGTACACAATCGCAATGACAAGGTCGACAAGCATTGGCACAACCTGAAAGGTGACCTGCTCAAGGAAAGTATTGATCGAACTGCCCTTACTCAGAGCGGACAGGACTTCTCCGGTCTTTTTTCCGAGATGGAAGTCTAAGCTGAGACTATGGACGTGTTCGAATGCAGCGGTGGAGAGCTCCATGTAAGAATACTGGCTCACGGGAATCCAGAGGCTAGAGCGCAGAGAGCTGAGTAGGCCCTGGCCGCCCTGCAACCACCGGTACAACACATACAGGCAAATTTGAAGCCATGGCACATGGAAGTCCCCACCCTCACCCTCGCTCTTAGTAAGAGAACCTGTAATGAGTCCGATTTGGTAGGGTACCAGGACGTTAACGACTCTCTGGCATATGAGGAGTCCAAAACAAAAGGTGACAATTAGTTGCAGACGGCGAGATTTGGACGGCCACAGGTATGGGAAAAATAGCGAGTACCCGCTCAGGTACTCCCACCAGCTAGTGGAAGGGACAGTCGTCGGACGCACCCATGGATCGGTAGGTTTGGAATTTTCGGGGCGAGGAGCTCCGTTCGTCGAGCCATATGAATGACCATTGGCAGTTCCGTTTCCATGTCCGTTCCCATTGCCATTTTCTGCACCACCGGAATCCAAAAGTCCCGTGGCTTCCGTGACTCCATTCGCTCCCTGGCTTGCCTTCCCGTGGCTCTTCATGCTGAACGATTGACAGGCGTAGAGAAGAACCAGTGCAAACAAGATAAGGATGCGTACACTGTTCGATCCCACTTCGAGGGACTCCCATAATGTAATGCTTCTGCGGATCCGACCACCTTCTGGGTCTCCGACAATTGGCTCGTGGTGAACCGAGGTGTAGATTGAGAGGGAGGTGCTAACAATAACCAATTCGATCGGGATGGCGACAGACCAACAGACAAACTGGGCGATCGTAGGCGAGGGGGATGTGTCTAGCATTGCCATGAGCAGCACTGCGTAGACGAAGAACGAGCCGACGACGTAAATCTGTAATAAGTGTCAACGGCTGTCGAGCAGCACCAAACCATCTGAATAGAACGTACCACGAAGGGCTGTCCTCGCCACCAGTTCTCCGACCTGGCCGTCATCACATGTACGATATAGATAGTTGCATCCGCAAGGAAGGTCAAAAGAATGGCCGCGGAGAGCAAGTTGAAAACTCGTTTGACGTTCCGCGAGAACTCCTGGGATTTGTAGGCAGGCACACTTCGAGTTCGCTGAGGGAGTGGTCGCCCTCCCGGGCCAAAGTATTGAGACTCATGCTTGCTAGCTTTCTTCGCAGCGATGGTAGTACTAGCCACGAAGGCCACGACAAAGAGGATAAGAAGGAAAATTGGGTAAGAGGTGCGCAAGTATTCCAGCAGCTCAAGGGCTGCATGAGGATCCATTGCCCACTAAATATCCCGGAAATGAGTGTTTTAAACAAAGTCCATGACAGACTCCTCCCTCGAAAGAAAGGTAAGAAAGGGAGATTGCCGGGTTCGGATCGGAAAGGACTGGACGACGGGTATGGCGAGAGATCGACGCGAGGAATGATGGCGGAGAAACAACCTCAGCAGGTTTCCACGTGGAAAGTTTAGGAAAAAGAAACAAGTTGAATTATGAAGATTCCACAGAAGCAAACGTAAGAAAAGAAAGGAAAAAGATATACGAATGCTTATTCTTCTTTTCTCACTAAATTTCTTATTAAATTTATTTTTTTTCCTACTTGGCTTTTGCCTCCAGGATTTATTTTTACCTAGAAGGAAGGGATTGGATGCTTTTTAAGCCAACAAGAGCAGTGCTATAACTAGAACAGGAAGAGGCAAATATATGGAAATATTCTCCGTAAGGCATGTATATATAGACATGGGTAGAATGGCTGAATGACGGTGTGGATTGGATATGTATGTAGGTTGCTGCAGCTAAAAAAATAAAAATGGGGTCACGCTGCAACTTGCCGTTCTCTTTAATATCTATATCTTCTTTCTCTGGGTTGTCCTTTAGGGTTCTGTCTGTCTCTGGTAATATTGGAAAATGTCCTGGTATGAATTAAACAATCTACAGCCCTTCCTGCCCAATGGTTGGTGTTGAAATTGTCTCAAAGTGAAAACAGGGGGGGTAGAGAAGGATCGTCGATCGATCGAGAACAATCCGCGCAGATGCCCATGTGATGACTTCACTAAGCTGCCAAGGAACATAAAGCAACCCGAATGTATTATTTTGCCTCTCTTGGTGTCTTTTAGTCACGTCGGGTGGCCAAGGGGCGCAGTTCAATGGCCACGGATCGTAGTACCCACTGATTTGGTACTCGTATATGATGTACGTAACTAGTTTGTGAATATGTCATCCCTGAAGATCTATGAATAGTTATATATTTCCGATGTATGTGTCTCGTGTTCCACTTCCTAACTGGTTGAGGCAAAACAGAATGCTTCCCAGGTCTTATATACAACTATATACTATACAGTATTATAGGTCTTTTAATCTTTTAATCTATAGACATGTTCCCTTGAAGAAAATAAATTGTAAGTTCACATTCGAATCTGATCCCTCTCATGTGTTGTCTTCTAGACCGCCCTTAACATATGTTCAGGCCCGATGGCTTTCAATAGGTAAGGCTTGAAAAATATAATATACATTGTGAGAAAAGTCACGTAGTACAACTAACTGATGCCCTAGCTTCATGTGTAATGTTATAACTATCGTCCGGTATGTTGTTAATGGATAGCAGTAAGGCATAGATCGGTGCCTCAGGGATCTCTCCCTCACCGCTTGCATTTCGATGATCTTCAACTCTCCGCATCTTTTTCCCTCGAATTCGGTGATCGCGTTGCCATAATGGAGACCTGGCTATAAACCATGTCGGACCTCTCAGGTTCGCAATCTCCGATCCCTCCTCCTCCCCCTCCGCCACAAAAGTACTCCAATCGCGCCGCCAATGCCCTTGCGAGATTCGCCCAACCTTTCTTCTCGGGCTCAAGACCACCTAGTTCCCAAAGCAGTCGCGCGGATGGTCCCCGGTCGATCAGATCCAAATCACTGTAAGTGTTGCCGCTCTATCACACCGCTCTGACACCCCTGCTCCCGTGGGTTACTTTTCCCTCTTTTGCTTTTTTTTTTACGGATGTAGTGACCAACCCCACCATTCGGTCATCGGAGCTAGTGTGATCGGGCAATTGCATCTGAGCCAATGGAATCTTCAAGTTTCTAATATTTGCTTCTGTAAAGACCAGGAGAACCGCAGACTGTAACCCACAAGACAGGCATCGCAATCACGGCTTTGGACATCTCGCCCGAGCGGACACATGCGGTTATCGCAGGCAAGGAGATTCTCAAAACTATCCAGGTCTCGCCAGACCGCTCGTCAGAGGAATTCAATATTCGCAATGCCGTCATTAGCTATGCATCTACCCACCACGACACGGGTGTTTCGATGCCACACAAGGATCAATTGAATGTCAAGGACGTAAAATGGTCACATGGGAACCATGACCGGATAATCGCAACCGCAGTCGCGAATGGTCGGATTGTCATTTACGACCTACATCGGCCCGGCCTGCAATTGTGTCGTTTCCAGGGTCACAATCGCCAAGTGCATAGGCTTGCCTTCAACCCTCATCTTCCTTCTTGGCTGCTGTCCGGTAGTCAAGATGGCACAATTCGGATGTGGGATCTGCGATCCGCCTCTGCAAATCGCGGAAGTTCAACGTGCGGCAGCAAATATCTGTATCAGGGCAACAGCGATGCCATCCGAGACGTCCGATGGTCTCCTAACGATGGAGTCATATTTGCGACTGCTTCAGATAGCGGCGCGATCCAGATGTGGGATTACCGAAAGGCCAATGCTCCACTAATGAAAATCGCTGCTCATGATCGCCCATGCTTCGCAGTCGACTGGCACCCAGATGGAAAGCACATTGTTAGTGGAGGCACGGATCGCCAGGTAAAGGTCTGGGACTTTTCTTTATCTGCAGAGCGACGGCAGAAACCGGCATTCCAATTCCGAACGCCACAGGCGGTCACAAATGTGCGATGGAGACCTCCCTCTTGGGTTGGTGAGTCTGCTTCAGGACAATGGCAATCTTCTCAAGTTGTCACGTCCTACGACAAAGAAGACCCACGCGTTCACCTCTGGGATCTCCGCCGCCCGCACATTCCATTCCGCGAGTTCGATCGGTACGACACACCCGCATCGGATTTGCTCTGGCGCTCCAAGGATCTTTTGTGGACGGTTGGCGAGGCCGGGGCGTTTACCCAGACCGATGTTCGGTATGCGCCAACCGTGGCCAGTCGCCGACCGATGTGCTCCGTAGCCTGGAGTCCCACTGGCGAATTTGTTGCGTTCAGTCAACAACGGCCTAGGCGACGTCCTCTAGGAGTCAAGGCCGCTGAATTTCTACGGCTCGACGATGATGATGACAGCTCTGGCGAGAGATCACTAAGTCAAAGCCCCGCAGATGACATCTTTGATGAAGCCGTTTTGGCTACTTCCCTTCGAAATCGGCATAACAAATCGGCCTCGATTCGACCATCCAATTCCTGGGGCAGTACTCCGCCCGGCGGAGTAGATTACATACCAGTGCTCCCTCTAGAACAAGCACTAGCCAAACTCGCCACCCCAATGCCTAGCCAGGTCGGAATCATCACAAGTATTCCGGATGTCACGAACGACTCAGCCGTCTTTCGGCATTTGGCAAGCCACTATACGCCGTTGATGGATGAGCACAGCGAACATAAAACGCAGACCGACGTCCTGAACTCTTTGATTGAGTCACTGGACCATAACGCAGAATGTGCAGATGAGGTGTCCCTGGCCAGATTGGCTCAGACTTGGAGAATTATTAAATACGCCATTCTTGAAGAGCTCCAACGTAGAGCTAGAGATTATCCCAAAGGTGGTCTGAAAGATAGGCCATCCAAGGATGGGGGCTTGATAGAAAGGTCACGACCCGATGATGGTCGGCAGGACAGAGTGAAAAGTCGGTTGTTCAAAGCCGTCATGGAGACGGTCCCCGAGGCCGAGAGCTCGTCAAATATGACCACACCCCTTGTGCGCCCATTGCCAGATTCCCCGAAAGACTCGTGGTCGAGCACTGATTCCCAAATGCCCTCGATGAGCGATGCAGTGATGGACCTTGACCCTCTCCCGCCATCCGTCTTGAGTGATCATAATAGTTGGGCAATGTCAGACCGTATACTTGGACGACAATCATCAACCGATGACGCTCATTCTTCTCAATATCGATGGGATCCTACACAAGAAGATTTGGACATAGAGCAACGGTCTGCGCCTCGGGCAATTGCCGGCAAGGCAGATTGGCGCCGTCGTCCAGACTTCTCCCGCGAAAATTCCGAAGATGACTATGACCTGAAGCTGGAAAACAAACGTGCAGCGATTCGTGACTACAAGCAATTCCCCAAAAAACCGTTGACCCTCGAATCACCATTGGAATTTAATCGGCCTCCTCGTCCTGACCGTTTTAGTCGACATGATTCCTCGGAGAGTTTTCCCATGTTCTCTACATCCACCGACAGTTCGCACCCATCCAAGTCTATTGGTGCATCGTACTCGTCTAGTATTGAGGCATCTAAATCCCTGGATCCTGGGCAATCTTCCGCAGCGCTGAGAAGAGGGTCGATGCTAGCTTCCACACGCGAGGAATCTGAGGATGAGCTCTTCGACCAGCTCATCTCAGAGACTGACCGAATTCATTTGGATCGCCCATCAAGCCCACTCCCTTTGATCACAGAATCAACGCCCCTTGAAAGACAGCAACCTTTCCCACGAGACGATACCCTCAACCCCGGCACCACGCCTTATTCAACAGTGGGCGGTATCTCGCGTGTCCCAATTCCACTCACGCCAGACGGAACAGACCTGAAACCGTGGGGTATTGAAGCAATTATGAAAGAATCAGTTCGATATTACCACAGCAGCAGTAGCTTAGTTGATATCCAAACCGCGGCCCATCTCCTCCAGAAGATGCACGTTCTTTTTCGGGACTGCGAACAAATTCTCCCATATGAAGAATGCGAAATGGTCTTCAAAACTTACAATGAGCATCTAATTCGGCACTCGATGGACCTCGAGGCAGCAGAGCTCCGCTTATTTTGTGTGCCAACATATCCTGCCGTCTACGAATACACCCAGGCAGATTCATTCATCAACGTCTACTGCTACACGTGTCAGCGACCCTTTGAAAACCCCACCCAAGATAACAGCCGCTGCTATCGCTGCAACACACCTCAAGCACCATGCTCTATTTGTATGAGCCTTGATCCACCCCCAGAATGGGTTTCAGAGCAGCAAACTCCGCCAATCGCTTCATCTACCCTCACGAGTCCCGACCTAGACTTCGAAACCACTTCGAACCATTCGTCACAATCCTCAGTTGCCACTGAACCCGTCCCAGCATCGGAAATCGATATTATGGAGCCTTTCACCGTACCGCGACCCAAAGGGTCCGCCCTTTGGACCTGGTGCCAAGGCTGCGGCCACGGCGGCCATGTAGCTTGCATCACAACCTGGCTCGTTGACATTTCAACCAGCGAAGGTGGCTGTGCCACAGCCGGCTGCTCGCATGACTGCGGGCCTGGCCCACGTCGCGAACTGAACCGCCAAGACATGCAGGCGGAATCCAAGCGTCGCGACTCGGCTAGTCGCTCCGCCGGTGTCGGGCTCGTCAAGCGTGATCCCTGGAGTAAGGGTGAAAGTAAGGCCGTCGAAAAAGTGCGCGGCATGCTGGGTATTGCCGGCATTGCTGCTGCCACCGGGGGCAGTGGTGCTGGCCCGAACACTTCGACGAACAATACTTCTCCGGCGCCGGGCGAAACCGGCGCCATGTCGCCTAAAAGGGTGCGTCTTGTTACCCCGATTGAGCAAGATAAGGGAAGTGTTGCCCCGGATCGCATGGATCCTCCTTCAAGGGACTGAGCTTGAGTCTTGCGTAACACTCTGTGTACCATTAGCGCGGTTTTTTTTTTCACTTTACGTCTTCACTTCTTTTTTGTCTTCTTCTTCTATTTGATTCCCCAATCGCGATACTTCAATGAAACAATACACGGATTCAAGTACACGCGTATGGCATACAGTGTACAGCCCTGAAATGCATTTATTCCTAGCACATAATAGATAATGTGTCGTATGTACTCATAGCAACCTTCGCCGGATTGCTTGAAAAGGACTTCAACACATTCTTCAAACATAATATCCCCACTCTCCTTCGTCTAGAACCTCCGCTTCTTCTTTGCAGGAGCTTTTGCCTTGGCCTCGAGCGACCTCTTCAGTTCCTCGCGCTTCCGGTCAGCGCGTTGGTCTTCAGTCTCCGGTTCTGCAGGTGGAGCTGGAGGGATCTTCTCTTTTGCTGATGTGGGCAATGGAGACTCCTCCTTTTTAAGAGCTTGTCGGTCAGCCTTCGGTTTAGCAGGTGTAGCTTTCTCGGGTGACATGACCACCGTGTCAGATGTAGGTAGCGGCGACTTATTTCGAGCTTCCTCGGCAGCTTTGGCTTTGGCTTTGCCGCCTATCATGCCAAGTTTCCCGGGACGTTTAGCTTTTGTCGTTGCTGGTACCGGTATCGACGATATCGGAAGAGAAGGATCTCTGCTAATCCTTTCTTCCTGTTCTGGTGACTCTGGGGGTCCTTGGGATTTTGGCGAGTCGCGGGCTTGTGCTGGAGGGGAAGGGGCTGGTGAAAGCGAGGGCTCTTTCGCTTGCTTTTTCTTGCCGCCTATCATGCCTAATCCGCCCTTTGGCTTTTTCGGTGTCTCTCGAACTTGCGCTGGAGGAGAAGGTGCTGGAGAGGGAGATGGTGAGGCCCGGCGCTCTGGTTCTTTCTTGTTCTTGCCGCCAATTTTACCCAACCCACCTTTTGGTACTTTCGGTATCTCCTGAACTCGCGCTGGAGAAGGGACTGGAGACGGAGATGGCGAGGGCTTGCGCTCTGTTTCTTTCTTGTTCTTACCACCAATTTTACCCAATCCACCCTTTGTTACTTTCTGCGCCTCTCGAGCCTTTAGCTCTGGTGCGGCGGGCCCTCGCGACCTTGAAACGCTGGGAATGTGTCTTTGACGAGGTGCTGGCTCAGACTCGGATTCGGAGTCTGATGCTGTGGCTTCGTCTTCCTCTGAAGGCAATACTGACGGGACAGGACTTTTCTCTCTGGGCTTTTGCTTGGGTGGTAATGCTTCGCCTTTGCCATGTTGGGATTTGAGTCTAGGAGGAGTTTCTTGTCGCTAGATGAACGGAGTTAAGCTATACATGTTATTGTGATTAGGGATAACTCGTAGCATACCTGAAACTCATCGTCATCGCTACTCGCTGTTGAGTCTGCTCCTGTGTCGATGTTCTTGATTTCAACTGGCTTTGTTCTATCTTGGTCGTTGGAAATTTCCTCTTCGATGGGAGAGGCCTCTCTGGCGCTAGTTTCAGGGGGTCTCGCAAGTTGCTGCCACCATTCGCCTTGTGACTGAGTGAAAGTATCTAAAGCACGAGAATCACCGGATTCTGAGATCTCATGGAGTAAATTGGTAGCTAGTCCCGCCCGATGTGATAATCCTCTCTCAGCGAGCCAAGTCTCCTCCTCAAACGGCGCGATACCTTTCACAGATTTAGCAGCATCAGAACGCGTAATAGCCTTGCGAGACATGCGCGACCCTGCAGCGCTAGGAAACACTGACCCTAGATCCACGCCAAGTGTTTCCATTTTGTCAAATAACTTGCCAAGTACGTAGTCTTTCTGTTTGATTTGGTTCAAGAGCAAACGTTGGCGGGACTCCCACTCCGCCTCCTCTCTCAACAGCGGAAGTAATAGAGTATTGGTCAAGGACGACAGGGGTTCCTTTAATAACTTCAAAGACCACTTGAGAGGTTTCAATGGGGAGGGCAGCTTGGTTGTTGTCATGATTTCAAGGGAGTTGGTTTGTGTTCCACTGCTTAAGATTGCGCTTTCATTGCCATTTTGCAAAGCTTCTCCAATTGTTTCCAGGAGCACATCGAGTTGTTCTTGGTCCTCTCCAGGATCGATCGTTGTGACATCTTCCTCCGCTCTCTTGGTGATAGCTTTACGGGGTAGCCGCTCTGACCAGATATAGGTGAGGTCTGTTATGTGGATCTCATAGCCTTGTCGGGTCCAGGTGTACTGGAAGAGCAAAGGAGGTATTCCCTGCTGGGACAAGTGAAGACGCTGCCATCTGGAAGGCATGGTTGCATGTTTGGATGAGTTGTTGATTTACCAATGCGGAGTTGTGAAGTTCCAAAGTTGTCTCATATAGCTGCCTAGGCCATAAGGGAAGGTTTGCCGCCCGCTCGACTTTCCCGCTGATCTCCCGAACTGCTAACTTCGTTTCCAACATCCAAATTACATGTTCGGGTCGCTTACGCTTGGATCCTCAATCCTCCTTATATCCTTACAGTTCCTACGATGTCTGCGCGATTCCCAAACCGATCCGACTCAAAGCGCAGCAGGTCGCGATCCCCGTCCTCGTGGGGTCAGCCCCAGAAATATCCCCGTCGGGACGACGGAGAATGGCGCAACCAACAAGACTCGGATCGCAGATGGAACAATGAGAGATCAGGCCCTTCGCAACAGCCTCGCAACATGCGCGATCAAGTAAGGCTCAACTTGATCCAGGAAGACCAGCAAGAGCGTGAATGGGTCGCGCAGGAGGATGTGTTCGTGCTCAAGCAGGCCAAAAAGAAAGCAGAGATTCGAGTCAAGGAAGGACGCGCGAAGCCTATTGACTGGCTGACGGTCACCCTCCGCATTATCGATCCTACGCGTGATCCCTTGGATGACGAGATAGCAGACTCCGATCTGGATGTCGTGGACCCGGACGGTGTGTTTGAGGGACTATCGCAGACCCAACTACAGGACTTGGAGAAGGATATTGATACATTTGTTAACCTTGAGACAAACGCAAAGAATCGTGAATTCTGGCAGGTAATTTTTATACTTTCTGCTATCGACTGGGCCGTCCTGCTAACCACCGTCCCCCACAGACTATGAAAGTCATCTGTCGAGATCGTCAAAAGACCATTACACCCGAGAGTCGCGCATTGAATTCAGTGGCTGCTGACATTAACAAACTACTGAGCCCAAAGTCCTACGAGCAACTCCAAAACCTCGAAGTGCAAGTGAAACGAAAGTTGAACTCGAACGAGCCGATCGATACAGATTACTGGGAAGAGCTGCTACGCAGTCTGGCTGTGTGGAAGGCTAGGGCTAGTCTGAAAAATGTTTATCAAGCTATTATTGATGAGCGTGTTCGCGACCTGAGGAGACAGCAAAGACAGGAAGCCGAATCAATTCGGGAAAAACTAGCACCTCTTGCTCCGGTTGTCACGGCGGATGATACAACAAATCCTGATGAGTTCGAGGGCTTGGATCCAGATCCAATGCTCCAGATTCGCCCGGAGGACAAAGGCTTGGAAACCATGGACGAGTCCGTATTTCTTAACCAAGTGGTAGGTTTGGGGCTTCAGCTCATGCATCCCAATCCACATTCTAATTAACCGCACAGGCCCGCGAACGCCAGAAAATTATTCGTATGGGTTTCGTCCCACTACGGCACCGAGCTGCAGAGAAGTCCTCCGCGATAGTGTCGAATCCGACATCTACCAATGCCCCCACGACCTCTGTATCCACGCGGTTCTCGTCCATCCCGAATGAGGACTTCTCGCAAGCGACCAGAGCGCTATATGAAAGGGAGCTCGCCAAGGGTGTTAGTGAGAATGAGGAAATATTTACGGGCGAAGAGGCCGTGAGCACAAGCTCACAATCTCAATGGGCCGGTAAGCATCGCCCCCGAAAGCCGCGGTACTTCAACCGAGTCCAAATGGGTTACGAATGGAACAAATACAATCAAACTCATTACGACCATGACAACCCGCCACCCAAGGTTGTACAAGGTTACAAATTCAACATATTCTACCCCGACTTGATTGACAAGACCAAAGCCCCGACTTACCGGATTGAGCGTGAGAACGGGCGCAAGCGTGGCGAGTCATCGGCCGAAGCGGGCGAGGAAGACAGCTGTCTTATTCGATTCATGGCTGGACCTCCGTACGAAGACCTTGCTTTTCGAATTGTCGACAAAGAATGGGATTATAGTGCCAAACGAGAGAGGGGTTTCAAGAGTACATTTGACAAGGTATGCTGTGTTACCAAATGATCCCCCCTGTTCCTCAACTGACGTAATCCTTTCCTTTCAGGGAATCCTTCAACTTCACTTCCAGTTCAAAAGGGTAAGTCGATTTTTTCTCTCTTACGGCCATTACGAAGATAATACTAACAGCTTGTCTCAGATCTATTACCGGAAGTAATACATGCACGACCAACGATTTCCACATGGGCGTCATATCGAAATGGAGAGAGTGGGTTATGGTGTATGCAGGGAGATATTCGGGGGGTGTATTTTCCAGTAACTTGATACCCAGTGAATCAAATTAAACCTGGATTGATTGGACTGGAAACATTTCCCCGCCAACGTTCTCGCAGAATAAGCCGGACTTTATATCGGATATCAGATGCTTGATCCAACTGCTTCCTAAATTTGATGACCCTATCACCTTTCCTTTCCACCTCTATGATCGTCTTTCAGGGGGAAGCCAAAACATTCCTCGCTCGCCTTGATCCCGACTGACGTATTGGCACCATATGTCTATTTTCTCTTTTATTTTTCTGCTACCGGGGTATTTGCAACACGGGGGACGTTGGGGATGTCCTCTGGGTGACACTATCCCGGCCTGCAGGAGCAGGATGTATTCCTCACTTCCGGCTGGCTAGATGCAGGCTATGAAAAAAAGAACAATTTGATACAAAAGTAGAATACCGCACCGGTTTGCAGTCAACTTCTAGAAGGCCCGGGATGACGCCGGTGTAGGTGAATGCCCTGCAGGCTCCCATCCGCCTATTTGACCCTTTGACTATCCCCTTCTAGCTCTAGGAGGCATATTCCATTCGCACTAGTCGCATGTAGCATGTAACATGTAGTACCAGATCCAGCCACTTTAACTTCCTACTCATTGGCCATTGTCTGTACTATGAATCTCCGTTGCACGACTTGGGCATCTAAGGTCTTTTTCAGAATACAGAGTAGAGCTCCTATAATACAAGAAAAAATAATTCCATTAGATCCAGATCGTCTTTTTCTTGGAGTTAAATGCATCTATGAGGTTATTTGCAGAGAAAAGAAAGAATAAGATGTGTTGGTATGGGATCTTTGAATTATACAGCTCCAAATCATCTGAAGTTGAACACACACACATCCTTTGAGGCTGCACTCTTATTTGTTTTCCTCCCCTTCCCATTCTTATTTTCATTCCCTCCTCTTCCTCTTCCTCTTCCTCTGTCTCCAAGATTTACGTTTGCCTTCTCATATCATCTCCCACACTTCCATGCTTCTCTTGCATTTCCCTTGCTACTCTTCTGTCATCCAACCCATCAAGTCACTCTCGCAACTGGACTTTGTCTTGCCCAAACATGGATTTCACATTCCATTCGGATCACTTCGACAGAGTGCAGCTTTCAGACCAAGAAGACTCCAAACCTGATCTCCCGTCGCAAGCACAAGCGCTATCTCAGGGTACTGGCAATGCCACGATGAATCAATTCAGCGTCCCTGACTGGGCGAGATGGAGATCACAGCCAGCTCCCATCCCTCCTCGATATTATCAAGGTTCGAGCTATTCCCGTGTTGCTGATGGCGAGCCATACGGCTTAGGCCCGTTGTCTCAAGACCTCATCGGGGATCCAAATGGATATCTCAATTCATACCGCTCGCATGCTACCCCCACCTTGACTGGTACACCGTCGGGGTTATTCTTCCCTCAGGCTGGAGAGAGCCACTCAGATTGGCCACGCCTGCGACCTCCTCATGTCTTCAGAGACCAGCCATACAACTACCCTCAGTTGGAAGCTCAACCCTTTCAAGACTCCCCACTGTCGCCGTATTCCGATGCCTCCTATCATTCCCCGCAGTCGCTCGCTGCTTCGAGTCCGGCAATGACAGCTCAGACAGCAGACCGTCTCTCACCACGTTCAAGCTCTGGTGACAATAGAGAAGAGCGTCCTGGCCACCCTCCGTATTCTGTTCTCATCTACCAGGCCTTGAAGGATGCCCCGGGAAACAAGCTTCCACTCCAAAGCATTTACTCTTGGTTTGAAGCGAACACGGACAAGGGTGGAGACCCCAACGCGAAGGGATGGCAGAACAGTATTCGCCATAATCTCTCGATGAACGCGGTAAGTCTCATTCTTCATAACTCTTACTTTCACTTCCCTCTTTCTTTCACTTCCTTGTTGCAATATGTTTGATTGGGCGTCTGCTATATTCGATATCAATACTAACCTTAACTCTAGGGATTTGAAGCCGTGAAGGAAGAAGTTGGACCTGGTAAGAAAGCCGTGAACTTCTGGAGACTGACGCCGGAAGCGATCAACAGCGGTGGCATCCAATCGACTACCCGATACCGCAAGCTCCAACACCAAAAGAAAGGTGTGAGCTCAAGCCAACGTGGGCCCGCACGTCAGCCATCGGAGTCGAAGGGAGTCCACACCACGAAGGTGGTCAAGTCACGCAACAAAGCCAGCGCCCATGGCGAGCGCGCTGAGGCACATCCTCAGGAAATGACCAGCACAAATCCTAGTCTGGGGAGTGAATATGGTCCCACGAGCCTTCCAGCGATGCAAAGATACATGCATCACCCTATGGGTCCTGTTGTCGGATGCACCCCCATGACACCTGGCAACGATGCGCTTTTTGTTGATACCGAGGAGGCAGGGCCGGCATTTGACGCGGGGCATAACTATGACTGGTAGCTCCAGAGTCGGGCTTCCACGCTCGAAGGTCCCGGTCGACCATCGGCGTGAGAATTGAATGGAAAATGGAAAAACAAAAAATAAAAACAAAAAAAAGGAGGGGAGGGGAGCGGAGGTGTGGTGGGAGGGATGGAACAAGATTCAGCGAGGAGAACCCGATGGTTATGTTGGGTTCCCTTTCGGGTTTGGTTGTTTTTGCGCTTTTTTACTTGGGAATTTCGTACACTAGGGGCATGGCGTTATTTGAGGCGTTGTTTGAATTCAGAATGTGTTTGGCGGGCGTTCCACAGAGCGAGCATCATGGCGAAGGAGATCGATCTACTGTTTTTCACTTTTTCCTCATGACTACTTTTCTTCTTCTGCTTCTTTTCTGTGCCTCAGTCATTCTGGCATGAGCAACGCATATTTTCTCTTCAAGTGTACCATAAGTTAGTAGTGGTGTTTGTGAGTTGAATTCGTGGGATCTACCACGAAGGCAGAGATGGTATCGACCATCATTTTTCTGTCATGTTCATCAATGGATCTTCTATGAGACGCTTTGGTTGAAGCATGCATATATCTGTATTTCCTCGCTTGTCTCGAGTCCCACATGTCTTTAGTTTATTACAAATGTGTGTCATTGGTATTTTTAGGCATGGACAATGCCAAAAAAATAGAAATTAGTATACCTCTACTACCCAGTCCCTGGGTTTCCGTACAGTAAATATTGAATCCCCCGGGCCAATATATTGGAGTTGTTCTTGTCCGTAGCGGACTACATGCTGTACTGCTGACAATGCTTCATATGCTTGCACGGTGGTGTCTCAAGTGACAGGAATAGCGTCCCACCATAGATAAATGAGAACCTGTGAATAACACTTTGTTTCTTATATGGTATATTTTCCCGCCCCTCTTTGCTAGTCTCCTTTAGTCTCTATTGACACTTGGGCTCTGTGCTTAATTAGCCACGCTGAGCAATCCCACCAATACCCCGCTATACCACTCTGCTGGCTTGGGTAGTAGGTCAGGGTGCTGGGGTGATGCAGACATCCTTGGCAGCATCGGCTGCATCGGTTGCTGCATGTTGCCTTGCTCATGATCATCTTTCCTCCCTGTCATTCCCCAATTTCCCCAAGAGGACGGAGTCCGACACCCTCGTTTTTAGCTCATATTTTGTGGGGCTAAAGCTTCTTTTTTTTTTACCAGAGTGTGTTCCCAAGTAGATCAACCCTAAGGAGATCTCAGGCAAGATATAGGAGCTCAATTGTAGATATGTCATGTGTTATAGTTAGGGCATATTAACATACTACTTGCATTATCATTCCCTTCTCAAGTCACTATCCTCCGCAAGGACACTTATCTACAGGTTTCGTAGCGCAGTCGTAGCTCAGGCACAGCCCCATTGTTCAATCTAGATCCGAGAAGACCACGTTATATGTATCAAATCAAGCCCAACCCGGGTTCATCCTAAATCGATTTTGATCTATCGAATTATGTCGGAAAGGAACAGGAGAAAAGTTATATACTCTGCAGATCTCTTAATTTTTAATATGTATGGCATCAATTGATACGGGTACGGAAATGTCACTTGCGTATGTACTTAATAGCCGACGGGTTGCCCAGCCTGCTGGAATCCGGGATTTGCAGACATATTCCGGTCCGCATCAGGTTTACCATATAGTTTATGTTGATAGCCTTTGATAGAGCGGTTGTATTTGAATATATAATATGATGTAACCATTTGTCTTGTATTCTGACTTGCTATTCTTCTGACAGAACACGCACGAACCTCGCCCGTTGGGCGTTTGCGGGATGGAAACATCCAAGTTCTCGTTTGTACAGCAACACTGGCCTGTGGTATCAACCTCCCCGCCCATACCACGACAATGGAGATCTATCGCATTCTGTTTCATCGTAATCCTCAACAGATGGTGACAATTTGGCATCCGCATTTTGTACCTGATGGATGTCCACCAATCAGATCTCGAAAATAAATCCAGGCGTTCAAGTAACACCCACGCTCGGACCGAGCTCACTGGGTCTTGCTCTAGCTGCCACGAAGGCATCATACTATATTTTACTTCCGTTTGAACCTTAAGTTAAGTAACCGTCCTTTTTATGTAGTACATGTACTTGTAACGATAAAGCTGGCGATAAACTCGGTGTATCTTCAACCAATCTCATATGCAGCCTCGAGGAGGTCAAGGCACAAAGAACCTGCAAGATGAAGCTCCTGCCTGAAAGAGTAGTTCAAGATATCGGTAATCAAGGATAATTATGCCACTATATATGATTTTTTCTTCGATTGATTAAGTGCAGGAAAACCAATTGTTTTTCATTGTATTTCCCGATATATTCAGGACTAGCCAACATGACGTTGCGGATAACACCTCAAACTAGATGAGATGCTCTGTAGTGAAGGCCTGAGAGCCTGGCCGGTTTTATTTAACCCTAAACCTAACGCATGCCTGGTCGAGGTCTCAATTTGCTAAAGAGTCAAACTCCGCGGACAAAAAAGACCCCCACAATTATTGGGACAACATTTTATAATCGTCTATACTGTAGTAGTGGGTAGTAGTAAGGACACCCTTTTATCTTTCCGAGATTACGAGGTGAGTTGCTTAGCAAAGAATGCCACTGCTTTTCATAACAAGCATCGAATTTGAGTGAAGCCTTGTTGTCATTGGAAGATCGGTATGATAGAAGGAGGTGCACGTTCATGTCCAATGAAGGTGCTTTCGAACTGGGAATCCTGTTTTAGGTGGTTGCGAGAACTTTTCGGATTCCGTGATTCCGTGTCTTTAGCACCCAAAATAGGAGCCTCTGAGTTGATTTGAGAAAAAAGGGAAAAAGTTGGTATAGACAGCAAGGATGTTGCATGCTCTTCTCTTCATGCTGCAAAAAGGGTTGTGGTTTTAAAAGACAGCCTGGACCAATACCTCAAGTTTCTACTATATATAACCACGATATATATTCCTACATTATTGATGCAACAGGGGCTGTGATAGCCTTAAATATTAGACACCATATAGACTCACAGCTGTGTCTTGTTCAATTACATGACCACCTACTATGCTGAGTGAGTTGACCTCTTGGGTTCACACCAAAAGCAAGGCTTAAAGTAATTGACCAGACCATGTGGGGTCCTAATCCGAAGAATGTATATGCAATGGAGGGTACTAATGCAACTATAAATGAGATCGACACCGAGATATACTTCAGCCCTGGAGAATAGGCAAATTACACCCGGCTACGGTGGCCAACATACAGGAAACTATTGTTCTAACCATTCACGACTACATTATATCCAAGCCTGAGTGCCTATGCCTGGTGCAGATCAACAGATGCTGCTGGCCTGAAAGATAATGCGCAACCTTACTCAAACGCGTCATCAAGCTAGACACCGAGTGCCACGATCGCTAGCCGGAACAAGCACGAAATGTACGAGGCTTCCATGCGAGAAGCAGATTCAAGACACCATGGAGATGATTTTAGACAACTTGATTCGACATGTCAGGGGATCTCTCATGAAGGCAAATGAAATTAATTCATTTGCTTAGCCACGAGCCTTTTTTTTGGACTCGCATGCTAGCTGTTCCTGTTCATCTTTAATATTTTAAGAGAACCATTCCCAGCCGTTTTTCCCATAACGTTCGCTCCACCGTAAAAGGACAACACCGACAAAAAGCACGCTTAGCGCTTGGCGGCCTTCTGCTGGGACTCCTTGAGGACCTTCTTGACGATCTTCTGCTCCTCAATCAGGAAGGCACGCACAATGCGGTCCTTGACACAGCCAGCGCAGCGAGAGCCACCGTAGGCACGGCTGACATTCTTCTTGGGGCGCGAGATCTGAGAGTACTCGCGGGGACGGAGGGCAGGGATCTGTAAGAAAAAAAAAAAAATTGTCAGTCGATCTGACTCCGAAATTCAGCGAGACGGTTGTATGGAAATTGTAGCGTTTGTTCGGTCGGCCATTCGTTCGCATATCCGTCCATCCAGACAGAGTTTTTTTTTTTCAAGTCGTTCGGTTGGCCCACACGCGATCGCACATATCCCACACAACCGTTCAAAAATGTATCAGGGACGCCGGGGGAGTACTCACACCGGGGAGCTTGATGCCGCAGTCACCGCACTTGGGAGCAGTACCCTTCTTCTTCAGGTGAAGGTAACGGAGCTCGCCGCCGGGGGTCTTGATGATGCGAACCTTGTTGGACCGCGTGTTGTACCTATTGAAAGCAAGAAAATCCGTCAATAACTCGTTTGAAAAGGTGATAGCCATCCCGATATGAGAATCATCGTATAGATCATGGTGGTGCGAGGGAGTGGCCTTGGAAGGAATTTTGAAACGTACGGGTTCCGGCGGCGCTGAAAATCGAGTTAGATCAATAATTTTTCAATCGGTATTTTCTCATAGAACTCACGTATTGCAATCTGTTGTTGGTCATCTTGACTGTACTTGAACTGGTCAAGGGCGGCAGTTGTCGGAGTTGTCGTGAAGCAGAATGAAATATGTCGAGATGGGTTTGTGTGGGTTTCTGCTTCAACCGACGCTAGCGCAGATTTGGCGAGGCTGCGCTAGTCCCGATGCGGAATAGTGCCAGTCGGAGCCGCCACTTCTCAAAGTTCGACGGAGAACAGGAGCAGAGATAGTCACATCGCGTAGGGGATCTGGATCTCTATCTTTGTCGCGTTTTCATCTTAATCTTCCATCCCGCCATCACCTAGCTCTTTTTCTTTCAGTTGTATTATTCTTTTTTACTAGCTGAAAAGTCTTGCTACACATGACCTCCAACTTGGCTTGACGCGACTTGGAACCAACACAACCTCTACGAGGGAGGGTTCCATCCATCAATCACGATCATGGCCTCATTGCCTCCCCCTCCTCCACCTCCGGGATGGAGTGCAGCTCCTCCTATGCCGATGGCGCCGCCGCCCCCGGGCTACCAACCACCAGCCGACCCGAATGTCGCAAAATTTGCGCAGAAGAAAAATGAATGGCTGCGCACGCAACGCAATCGGTT